CCGGTTAAATCGATACAAGATACACAGATATATTTAACACGATTTCGTTTCTGATCGCGTACACACGCGCTCGCGTCGCGTGTTTGCTCATCGATTCCGGTCACGCGACAGCCGCGCCGATTGCCACGCGTAAAAACGGCTTTATGCGCGCGGAATGACCGACAAACCCGTGGAAGAATGCACCGTAGGAGGGGAATTAAGAATCGTTGTGAGACTCGTGTGTCACGAATATGCGTACGTCCATTCCAATTTGTCCCTTTGGTATTATACTCGGGGTCAAACATCGAACAGATGCGCTGCAGATCGAGCCACGTTCCTATGTGATGTTTGTTTAAAATTCGTTATTATTTGGCAACGAAATTTTATTTACTGGGGGCCACTTGAGTGGCTCAACGGTACCGAGTAATCGTGGACGATACAGTATCGATACTTCGAGTACCGATACTTTTCAATTCAAATATCAATTCTTTTCCATTCAAATATTTATATTTTGTATCGATACCTAATGTGACGATATATGTCAGTATGGATACTTAACCCACAAACATCGAAACATCGATACAATCGCTACAATTTGCCGTAACGTAACAGGTCGTAAAGAAAACGGACCAATCGTCGAGCCATAAAGTTTCCGCATGGGCGATTTCTCTTCCACGCTGTTACCGGAGAATCTACTTCCGTAAATACTGTAGGGTGTGAGATGCGTGTGTTTAGTTTTAGATCGAGCGAGTGTGGTGCGAATGAAGAGTGTTTATACCGTGTGACAGTTTCTACGAATGAGAGTGCGTGCTAGAGAAGATGGAATGAAAGGAACTGCGTCGAACCTCGTGATCGAAAATCGACACGAGGCGAGAATGTGTGAATGCGTGTGTGAACCTATGACCGAGTGTGACCATGTATGAAAGGGAATATAAGAGAGAAGTCAGTCAGAGCGAGTGTGTCTTAAGAGCTAGACTGTTGCAAGCGTGTCCTAACGAATTCTTTATACACATTTTAGAATAAACCTTTTATTTCTACCAAATACAACCACCACTTAATTTTATTCCCACAATACATGATTTATTTTCCTTTTTTGGATTTTATTACTTCTAATTTGATTGCAAGTATCGATACCGATAGTATCGACATTTTATTCCCGATATACATACACGTGTACCGATACTCTGGAGATATCAATACCAAATATTGATACAATTCAAGTCTATTGCTATCACTGGTACCAAAAATTCGTTAGACAATGGAGTTCAATTGCTCCGTTTCTAAGCCATCGTCTTGCCTCCCCCCAAGTAACGAAACACGTGCTTTCGATGGCCCTTCTCCACCCCCGGGCCTCTTCCTCGGATTGGCGGTTGCACGTGCACAAGGGGAATCCTTTTGTCCGCCTTCAGAAAAGTCCGATAATGCGAGACGTGGCCAGACGAGACGAGCAAAAGTAACCCCCCACCGAAGAGGACGACGAAGGGGAAGCAAACTCTGGTGGTGGTGCGTCGTGAGGATCAGGACACCGTCGGGGATTAACGCGAAGGGTGAAGAGGGAGGAAATAGAAAAAGAGAGAGAAAGAGAGGACCAGCTGGCCCCGGGAGGAGACGATTCAATCTCCTTTCTCTGCCCTTTCGTTTCGCCTCAAAACCATCCGAGACCCGTTGGACCGAAGGGGAGACGACGAGAGTGTGTCTCGAATGTCGCATGCGGGCTACGTTCTCTTCCTCGGCCCTCTTTTCGCCTCCATTTCGGATCCTCTTCCTCTTGTATCCCTAAACCCTTCCTCTCTTCCTCCTCCGAGCCTCGCTGCTCTCTCTTCTTACGACCGTTTCGTTTTCTTTCTTTTTTCCCCTTTGTCTTTCACCCCTCCGCGATCGTGTCGAGAGCAACTTGTTCCGGGGGAGCATGATTTATCCGAGCGAGAACAGTTTTATGCGATTTCGGACGGGTTGTCGGAAACTGATTCTTACCGAGACCACTGGCTTCTTACTCACATCCCGAAATTGCGAACGTACTGCACTGTTATGTTAAAATAAGAATATTCTCTTTTGTGGCGACACGAGTACGTGTCAGGAAACGCGAATGAAATTAAAAAAAAAGAGGGGAAATTGTCCCCGAAAGGGAGGAAGTCGAATATAGCTCAATGATCCATGACATCGAGAGGACGATCGACCAGAAGAATTTCCGGTAAAGTTCCCTGCTCGCCGACCAGTACGGAAGCCAACCGACGCTTTTTCCCATAACAATCTCTCGTCTCTTGTCTCGCCACTTAAGCTATTTACTCCAGGGTGTACGGTGAAACACGTGAACCAAAACGGTGGACGATGTAACCGCGATAAATGCAGGGATCAAAGAGCAACTGTACACGGGATCCACCGCGGGCCCCCGGTTGGTAAACAAGCTGTAATGGCGGACGGTTAATCCGACTACGGAAAAGACCACCGCATCCGGCGATGATCGAGCCCCTTGGACCGATACGGATACATATTTCTTCCGTCGGTGAAATTGTAATTGGGCCCGAGATGTAAAAGGAAGAAGAAAAGGAACTGTCCCGGAACCGAAGGCATCGTGTTTCGATGGCTCGCGATTTTACGGATGAGGGAACCGCCAGACGAGGAACGAATACACTCCGATTTTCGGGGAACACGCATAATTTCTCGATCTTCTTCGCAATGGTATTTCCTGTCACTGTATTCCGTTATTAACACATTATGATCGCAGTAAGATAATGTTGAAATTGAAAATGAACCCCCTTGAAGATGGAATTCTTTCTGTTTTTCTAACAAGTTTTATAACCGAATCGCTTATTTCAGAAACCCCATAACTGATGACTACATGTCAGTGTAAACGCAGCTTGAGAAAAACAGTCGGTTCGAGAGAAGGAAAGAGAATGGCAACGCGATAATTGATCCGCGACGGTCCATTAGAGCGTGTTTTTCTAGGCGTCGTTCGAGCAGCGGAGAAAGAATATTTTTCGAGGCACGATCGGGGGAGAGAAAGGCCTGTCCAAACACCGAGATTTTTCGTCCAGACGCCGGCAATAATATCTCATTTGCAAACAAGTAGGAGCAAGAGACTCGGCGAAGGGGAAGCGGATTTAGTCCTTCGTGTATACTCGAGAGGGCTGGGGGGGTTGGAAGCCAAGTGGTCCACTAGAACCAATTTAGGGATACTCGAGAGCACACCGTCTTGGGTTTTCACTCGAGGACGTGGATTCCACGAGTGAAATGTAAACAGGAACAAAGTGGTCTTTGAAATGGCCCGTAGACGAAGTTGTATAACAGTTGCACGAACAATTGCAAAGGCAGATCATGTCTAATTAAGGTGTAGATAATATTTACTGTAAAATAGATTTACTGTAATTCTAATATCTCTTACTCAACCCCATAGACTTCTACATTCTGTACTGGCAGTGGCAGATCCAGGTAGTAGTCTACTTTGCCTTGACAATTCAGAATGTTTAAAGATCTTTAAATTCCCCTATATTTTAGAGCAAGGTCTTAGCAAAGATCATCTTGCCATAAATATTACAATGGTTACAGGCATCTGGGTACAATTATTTACAATAATCAAGGCTAATTATTCGAAACGTGAGCGTAAAAGAACCGACCAAGGAAATAAACAGAAAGAAGTCTCCCCTATTCATCTAGCACCATCAAACAGCATCAACTCTATTTCCAGAAAATCAACCAGTGTCTGTGGGACACGTGGCGGCGCGAGAATCCAGCGGGAAAAACCGGCACGAAAAAATAAATTCCACGGTGTCTGTCGAGGCGCATTAGCCGGGACATGAAACGTGGACCGCCTGAAAAGCAAACAATTAGCGGAGATATGAATCTTCCTTTCCCCTGTCCCCGAGACTCTCTTCCCAAGCCCCGATATTATATGTATGTAGAAAGAAGCGTTTAATAACCGACGGCCGATAATGGGCCCCCGTGGTCTCCTCCCCCGTGTGCACTTAATCCGACAGACACATCGGCGTTCCTTCCTCTGAACATTCATCGTTCACCCTATTCCTAACGGACGTGCGTACGAACGGAAGGTTGAAATCGATGGACCCGATTCGATATCGAGAGTATTATCGACGCACCGTTCGGTCAGGTGGAAGACCGGTATCGTGGCATTCGAAAAGAAGACCAACAGAAAGAACAACAGGTTCGACGTGTGCTCTTGATAAACTTGTTCCGTTGCACAGTGGTCCAGAATGAAAATTTAGCAGCTACGAATAATGATAAAAAGAAAAGCAAACATTCCTTTTATCTCTCAGAAAACTAACTTATCATTGACCTTCCGTATCATCAATAACAGAAAATAAAATTCTATAAAAATTCCGACTTTCATGATAAATTCTCCGAGGACCATTCCAGAGGGGAACCCCCTAGTTGTGGGAATAGCGCCGTTGCTCCTGTCGCACTCATCGAGGAATCGAGAAATTAAACGATTTCCGGAGCTGCTTGATCTAGCTTCGAGACACATACACACCACTACCATTCTAATCCAAGGAATTCTAATTGAAAAAAACGATCTTTACTTTTTTGGTCATAGGAGAGCGAGACGTCCCACTAACCAGTCCGTTAATTGGGAATAGCGACGGTTAATCAGCCCGCACACTTTGATCCCGGTCGGCGACTACTACGCAACAGGTTGAAACGAACTCGTGATTTCCTTTCGTCGACATTCTCGCTGGGACGACCGCTCCATTCCCGGCGAAATTTATATTTCCGGCGTTTTGGGTACGCTTCGACGATCGAGACGATCGTACGATTTCTAATTGGATTTCTATCTACCCTCGTACAAACCGACAAAAATATCGGTATTTGGTAATATATCGGTTTCGGTATAGCTTTGATGACATAATACCGGTATCAAAATCATACCAATTTAAGTCACTGAGTCCAATACGCTATAAATGCATAAAATTCGCAGTTCAATGTCACCAACGACCCCGTTTTAATTACATCGAAACGATCGTGGTGACACGGATCACCCAAAGAGAATTCCACAAAATTGTACTCACTTCCGGCCGCTGTCGAGGAACCTGTCGAACTCGACCGACATTTTGCAGCAAAGGGCCCGCCTGTTATGCGAGGAAGAGCACTTGGTGTTGATCATGTGGCCGTCTGAAAGCAAAGAACGTGGACGATCAGAAAGGGGGGTCTATAGAGATAGGTGGAGTGGGCGTGCAATTAATTAAGAGGTTAATAATCGTCCTCCTGGGTCGTCGCTACAGAGGCTCTAATTAATTCGGCTCGATGCCTCCCGCTCCTTCAGGAGCCCCGACGATGTTTCGAGCGAGAGGCGTATGTAGACACACCACCCAGGCCCGATCATCGTGATACACCGTGTTGTACCTGTGTCCCGAAGCAGCACTCCCACGATACGCTGTTGCCCGGTTGCCCAACGCGCTTCAATTACGCCCGCGAACAATAACCGACAATTAATCGTTCGAACAGCCAATAATCATACAGGTTGCTCGATAAACCTTGCAAAGGATGACGAAGGCAGGTAATAATCCGAGGGATACCAGAGACATCCTGGATCATATTTTCGTTTAACCCCTAGATCACTGAACGATCTTAAAAATTACAGCTTGAAATTCACAGTTCTCAGAAATCGACAGTGTATACCGTAAGTGTCTACCCCGAGAAAAATAATATCTTTCCACAATACATTTTCTTTCAGTCAATGATTGGTGATAATGTTAGTCACAGGATAGTTTAGTGATCTAAGGTTAAGTCAATTCCTCTTTCTATCCAACATTGCAACTTCATTGACGAACGAATTGTTCGGTAGGATCGGTCAGAACCTCCGGACGATAATTATCGAACCGACACATCAGCAGATTAAACACTTTAATAACGAGCCACCAGAAGGCCAGGCATCGGTATATATAATTATTATTCGATCTCCGTCGAAGGCAGCTGCGGAACGTTCGGCGAAAGCTTCGACAGTGACAACTGTGGGGGAATGAAGTGTTCACCGTGCGTATAATACGAGATAATCGAACAAGTAAAGAGCGCCAAGGTTTGAACCACGTACAAAAGAACGTGGAGAGAGAGAGAGAGAGAGAGAGAGAGAGAGAGAGAGAGAGAGACGGACACGTTCCTACAAAGGTATATGGGTGGACGACAAACGAAGGGTGGATTATGCCAGGCAGGTAGAAAACGGTCGAGAAGGTGGAGGTGCAAACCGGTGCAAAGCGCGTGGTGAGGTCAAATGTCGGACGGTGCCCGAGGGCTCGCGTGCTCATCCCCTCCTACTTCGTCCTTCCGTACCATTATCCTCCCTGTTTGGCTCGAGTCCACCCACGCTCCACGGCCACGGGAAGCTAACTGATGCGTCGCTCGTGTTACGACGGGAAATACAAAATGGTCACCGGGAGGGATACTCGTCGAACGAGCCCGAAAAGTTATTGTGCTGTTATCGTCGTTAAACGTCTCCGCTCTTCGCCGTTACCGTTGGACAATAGCGAACGAAAGGATGTAGAACAGGGGTCGGCAAACTACGACCCCCACCTCTTTTTGTAGGGCCTGCGAACTAAGAATAGATATTACAATTTCAAATTTTTTAAAATTCAAAGTACGCGATATAACGGGTGCTTAGGTGTAACGCTCTTAATGGCTAAAATATTTACTATTTGGCCCTTTACAATAAAAATTTGCCGACCCCTGCTACTTCCTAAACTAACTTCAGGACCGACAAAAAATTTAGTTACCATATCGAGAGGTCTCTTCCTCAAAGAAATTCGCCTGACTTACATTCTCACTTTCTATTCTGATTTTCATATTCATCGAAACTGTAACATTCTCACAGCGTAGGTCAACGACACGGACCGGATTAGGTACAGAAAAGTGTATTCGGTTCTTCCAACGTTCATCCTTGAGATGCAAAATCCGCGCGCGGATTTCACCGTGCGCCTTTTCTCTCGTCGGCCAGTCCGCCTTCCTCCGCCCTCATCCTTCGTCATTTGCATCCGTGCCGGAGGGTGTACTGTTAGTATGCACCGCCGCGATGCCAGGAGCACGCCTTGACGATAATATTGCCGTTGAGAATCCTCCGTCCGTTGCCATTTATTGCGATGGATATTCCGTCGGCGTGCTGCCCCAGCCTCTCGCATGACTCGACGCCCGAGATAGACGGGGTACCACGAATTTAAGAGAGAAACGGACCACTTCCGTTCCTGTGTACGCCGTTGCAGAATGGTCGCAGGGAATACCAATACCCAAACCAGATTTTGCTATCGAGCAAATTCACGACGATTCTACGAAACAATATCCACCAGGTGGCTGTTTACCGAATAGCTTGACGCTCTAACAGATAGATTGCATGCAGCGAGATCGAGTCAATCCAATTACGCTCGAGGAGATCCGATTGATCGAACGACATCCAGGCTCTCCAAATAACGACACGTCCGGCCGCCGCGGCTTTCGAAATCGCACTCGGTCTCCACCATTAAAATACTCCTGTGGTAATTACTGTGGGACAGAGACGGGCAAATTCATTACATAGATAAAGTAAGAGTGATCGAATAAAAAATTAAAAATAAAGTATTTTGTCGCTTTTTAATGATCGTAAGCAGCGGTGCTTGGATCCTCTTGGATCTCTAATACTTCCGACTCTTTAATCGTTATTTTCGAAAGCAATCATTCAAAACGATCTGCTCTTTTATACGACTTGATACGAACAACTTCTACCAACTCTGCGCGGTGGTACTGTCCAATGCGAAACAGGCATGTTTTCGGCGACCGTTAAGGATCACCCGTACACACATCGAGGACGACGAAACTTTTGAAATGATTGACGAGCTTGACTTTGTTTCACGGAAACGAGGAGGAGGAGGAGGAGGACGATGCGTCGGCTCCTACACGCACGCGCTCGTTTCGCCAGCAATTATCGCATAAACGAGGGCAACCATTAAGTTCTCGGCCGCGTAATTATCCGTGCCTCGTATTACAACAGAAATAAACGCTCCTCTCGCCGCGGCTGTTTCTGCTTCTTTCTTTTTTTCGTATTTTTAATAGAGCCATTTAAACGGTGTAACACGTTTACCTGGAAGCAATACTGGAAAGACTTTGGCCTTCGAACCTGCGGTCGACATCGGTATCAAACTATCAATCGAACACAACGATCGATCTACATTCGGTTCCCCTAATCTACAATATATATACAGTGATCCCTCGATTATTCCCACCACTAGGGAAGTCCCAATCAAAACAGAGTAAACAGAACCTAGGCTTCGAGTTAAAAAAAAAACAAATTTAGAAGGGGCTGAAAACCTTTCCACCTTGCCACGAATGCTTCGAAGTGGACTCGAGTACGTCGCACTCATCGAGACATTACTGTACCAATCGAGGAATCCGTCGGTTCTTGCCCACGAACGAATACTCACTTGCTCGTGGGTATCATAACGAACCACGACATATTTCGGCTCGGGTGCTTAATTGCTTCCTTAATTAAGGAACGAGGGATACCCCCTCCTTTTCAGAGCGCGAGGTAACGATCGTGGGTCTCCGAACAGCCAGTGTTTCTCACTATTAGAAAATTTTACGCGTACACTTCTGTGATCCGCGATCTCGCGTGTATTACAAGAACCGTCTCCTACGGCCTCTGTAGCAACCGTTTAATTAACACTGGATTTACGGGACGCGTCATTTTTACGTATTTCGAATGCCCTCTAACTTCGAAATTCTCTATATGGTATACTTATCTCTACGGATATGCGTCAATTTCACGCGATCGTAAATTGAATATTAAATAAAATAAGGTGTTTTTTAAAGAAAATGTGCGATTTCGTTGTTACGTGTCCGTAGAAATAGGTGTACAAGAAATGTCCGTAAACCTACTGTTAAGTAAATAAACCCCAGTATGTGTTAAACAAGTATTTGTACTCACTCGTTTGATTCTGGAAGTACGGATCGTCCCGATCGGTGAAGAACCACGTCTGCAAGCAAAAAGAAAAAGGCAAAAGTGAAAACTCTGGTCACAGCTTCGTTGGATATCCGTTTGTTCGGCTTTGTATCGATGCAACGTAAAGAGAGAGAGTCTAATAATCGAATGGTCGTCGGTCACGTACACAGCCGCCATTGTTCACCGCAGACGATTCCAATGGCAAACACACGCCGCGTACCGATCATAAATTTCGATTTCTTCGCCGACGCTCGCGGATCGTTCCCCCGTCCACGGGGGACCTATAAATCCTCGCCGAGAGACAGTCCTTTTTTGGCTCGTATCCGCGCGGTTTCACCTTCGTTTCACGCTGGGGAAAATGAAGTTATCATTGTACGGGTTTTCAATTCACTCCGACTCGGCAGTTTCTATCGATTCGATCTCAATTGATCATCAACGAGTGTTCGCAGGCTCCTCAACACTAAATAAATTTCAAAAACTAATATCAATATGTGGTTACAAACAAATATTAGCTTCAGAATTCCAAGTTCTATCTTTGTTCTAAATCTCATTGAAATGTCAGTGTTACTCCTAGGATTCTCTCTTTGCCAGTTCCAAGGAGCCTTCGAACAATAATGGAGAATTTACTGTAATCTTCGATATTCGGTTCGAACGACTGTCCATGATCCAGGGGGAATTTATTGTTTCGAGTGAATTCGATCGAAAGGCAGCTTGACACCGAGCTTCTCGTCGGTTCCCCACTCGCCACTTTCATCCGGACCGAGCCCTACACCACGTCATTACGATCGGAGCAGTGCACGTGTTAAAGCAGCCGCCTATTTTTAGTTCCCGAGTTCCCTTCAGGAAGTGATGAACAGCCGCAAAGAACGGCGGAAAGAGGGGAAACTGTGGCGGCCAGAGAGCAGACGTCACAGAAGCATTGTCTCGAGGATTTTCACGTGCAACGCCAGGTCATTACTCTTGCGTCGAAGCCTAGGGACATGGGGATGATCCTAGCCATTTCTAAAAGAAAACAAATTGTACTGGAAACTGATCACTGGTCAGGGGACCAAGATGAAGCCTGATATTTTATACTCTGATCATAAAGAACTCTGTACTTCTTACGAATACTGTTGGAAACCTACAAGTCTAAGAGAAATACACAACTCGTAGTTTTTAAAAAATTTTCAAACAAAATTTCGTTAATCAATCTACGTGCGTCTCGCTGGTCCAAAGAATACAAACTCACCATGATATAAAGAAAAATCAACCTATAAATCTAAATTTTTCTTAATGATTGTATCTCCAAATATTAAGAACAAGTAAAAAAAATTAAGTGTTGATAATAAGATCAAATTTGGTTAAATATTGTACTAAATAGCTAGTCGGTAGATGAAATAATAAGCTTGATTATTTCACTACGTTCCTGGTACTATATAATAAACTTCTTAAGCTTTAAACTCAGTTTTCTATGTTTAGAAACTGGTGGAGACAGAACAATTAAGAACTAGAGCGACGTTTAGTCTTTGGACACAGTATCTTGATCATGTTCACCAGTTAGGGGTCTTTAGCGAGTCCAGTAAGTTGGTCGTCCAACAATCCTAATCCACTGAAACGAATCTTAGATATATTAATCTGATCAATATTCACGAGTGTATTTCTTAATTGAATAATATTATATTAATAAGGCGGATACTCTTTTTGCACCTGGACGGCCAACAACCCAGGAACGGTCCTGATTGCTACCGATATAACCATCATAGAAACCAAACGTCTGTTCACCGTGGCCTCCTCGATCCCCAACCGTTCGCTAAGCTGTGGTGCAGTGGTCTACGATTCGTACGGTCGATGCAATTGTAAAGTCCCCGGTGCAGCAGTAACAGCAGGCAACCGTTTGATCTAATTTCAGCGATTGTCGCGGCCTACGTGGCGGATGTCCGGCGTGTTCGTAATTAAAAGAGGTCTGACGGAGAAAAACGAATCAACGAAGAAGTGGAAGATGAAAAAAGGAGGTGGAACGAGACACAGAGGGACGAGGGACGACGACGACGCCCCGTCAGCGTTCGCAGAAGGAACACGAATATCCGGCAAACAAGAGACGACCCGGAGGGCGGGTGGAGGGATCGCGATGACGTCAGTGGCACCGGCGTCCCGTTACATCGGACGTAATTACGTTAATCCACGCACGTACACGACGACAACTCGCGACTAAAATAGGCGTCGTCGTTGTAAGCCGATCTTCAGGGTCTGTCCCATGCTTAGAACCGTTCGTGCACTTCGAGGACCTGAACACGATCGGTCCACCAATGGTGGTTCCGTGGGTGGCAGAAGCGAGGCGAATTAAGCCTGCTGGCCACGTTATACGCTGAATTAGGGGAAACACTGAACTGTCTGAAACGTTCGTAGGAAACACTGAAAGGTTCGTTACAACCACGTCATGCATGAAGACACTGACACCACGGAACATTGTTTTGTACAACAAAGTAACGATCGTCAAAAAGAAGAAAAAGGCCTCGATATATAAAACTTCTGTTCTCACCAAGCCCTTCCAAGTATCCTGTAGTCGCTTTGCGAACCCTTTTAATGATCAAACCCGGGAATCCAATCAGTTTCAGGGCCGGTTCGTCGAGCAACAACGTGGAAAAAAAAACCAAGCAGCAGGAACTCTTCGAGTACCCTGCATTTTCGTCGTGTAAAAATTACTCGGGGCTCGCGCGGATGGTAGAAGCGCTTTCGGATAAATAAACGTGCGTAATTGAGCAATTATCCGCGAGACCGGCTCGAAGGTAAAACGACCTTTGTAAATTGATGGGTTCTCGGGGGGGATACGGGGAGTTGTAGTCACTGAAACTAATGACAAATTGTTCGATCGATCGCCGCCCAAGAGAGGGTTCCTTTTTTCTTGCGGCGAATCGGTCGGATCCTCTCTCAGTGCTGGTCGCCGCTACCGGACGCAAGGCAATCGTCGAGAATGACTTGGTCCGTTCGAGTCGAACACTGCAAAGTGTAACGATCAATTTGTTGGAAATCGAGAGCTTCCACAGATTCGTGGGACGTCCAAAGAAGACTTTTACCTAGACTCGAAACGAAACCGCGATTTACATTTCGAAGGAGAGGCTACACACACACACACACACACACACACACACACACACACACACACACACACACACACACACACACACACACACACACCTTAAACAATTCGATCGCTTCGGGCAAAACGGCCCAGCGTCTGTCTACCTAACTCGATTCTCTTTCGGCCGCGCCGGTAAATCATCCGCCGGCAAATTGGATCCGTGAATCGGTAATGCCGTGAACCGCAGAGGATACGTACATTGTACCAAACATAACTTCTCTGACGCGAGACAATGTGCAAAAGTCTATTTAATAAAATTTACGACTAGACAGAGGGAGGATAGAACAGACAGACCCGACTGAGAAAACTAAAAGCGGCAAAGGGTGAAGATGAGACCACAGGAGGGATCCCCCTGTCCCAAATCGGGCTGGCACGTTAATCACCGTCTGTTCTGCAAATTACGCGTGATTAAAGCGTCGATTGAACAGCCCAGGTAAGAGGGTTTCGGGCCCCACGAAAATTTGTGGATTCATCCCGAGGATCCTTGTGTTGCGGGTGGATTAAGTCGATCGGGACATGGAGGTCGTAGGGTCGAAGGTAAACCGTGGGATTCTCCCATGGAGGGAAAATCACCGACGAATGAAGTGTGTATCTTCGAGAAGGATCGAAAGAGTAACGAGAACATTGACGGATCTGATCTGCCAAACGAAGAATACAGTGAGAGTTTCGCTCGTTTTCACGAGTGAATAACAATCTTCAAAAACAAATTCCTCGAATTCGTTAAACACGCCCTCCGACGTGGGGACAGGCTCAAAGAGACCGACAGCAGCGTTACGGACAAATATTGCGCCGGATGGAGAAGATAAGTGCCCCGAAATGTTCTTTTCACGGCCAAGTACTTACTACTTCTTGCGAACGCGCGATTCTCGAGGATCTCCGGGCGAGAGGAGATACACGACTTTTCTGGGCTACCGTTCCAGGAAGTGTTGCCTCAGGGGAGAAGAGAACAGAGGAGAGAGGATCTACAATGCATGCAATTAGTCGCGGCGAGATAATATCGCGAAAGTTGTGCCTCTTCCTAGCCCCGTGTCCGTGTAGTAGAGTCCTCGCGATGTTGCCAACAGTTTTTCGAGCAACGGCGAAGCAGCAGATAAGCATACCTATACAAATACAAAAGGATACCGATGTAACGAGAAAGTTTAAACCGTTCTAAAAAAGCTGGTGGGTCTAACGAATTCGAGAACCTAAAGCAAAGGTTCCCAAAATATGCCAGTCAACATGAAAGTTTGCGAAATGCCGAAAGCTGATTGGCCGAAGAAGAGGCTAACCTAAATAGCTATACAAGCATCGATACATTTTCCAATTTTATGCACTTACAATCGTGTAATGTTCGAAATGCCGTAAAACAGAACATTGACGAAAATTCTCATCATTTACATACCTGATCTTTGGCGAATTGGAACCAGGTGCTGATAATGGCCGGCAGCCGGGAATGATGATAGTGTTTGGTAGTTTTCACGCTGATAAACACATCGTCGAGGTTCGTCGACGGTGGTGCCATTGTTGCTGTCGCGATCGCGGGCGTAACCGACGATTCTTCGCTGATCAATTTCCTTGATGCCGGTACCTCCACTAACACGCTCCGACTGTTCACTTCGACCGTCATTTCGTCCACCCACTGAAAAAATGAAACGTAATACGTCGCTCAGCCTCCTTCGACCATGTGTATGTATAGCGAAAATATGGGTAGTGGCACCAGCAGCCTCGACACGCTCTTTGTAAACATGGCGCGCAGGGTAATACGATCGGTGCTACTCGATGACGAGAGAGAGACCGACCACCGTTCTCGGAAAAGAAACGAGCACGTGCACGCCACGGCGAATGTTTACCCCGAGCCCGTTGCTTCGAGAATGAAAACAAACCTAACCGGGTGGACTTGGCGCGCTCTCGATCTGTCGTTCGATTAACATAACTAGATATCGACGAGTAACGCTACTCGAGAAATTAATTCGCGTGCTTTTTTCGAACCGCACGATCCCGCCGTGTCGCCACGGTCGATTAAGTTGACGCAAGGGGTTTGATATTGTTCCAATCCAAATGCATGCTATTGCACTGTTCGTTTGTGCAATATTTCGTTTTGTCTAACTGAAATCTCACTTGACCATTCGAATAATGTTACAAGGCAAAGGGAGTACGGGTCATCAAGGGGGATACTGCGTCATCAAGTACGATCATACGCAGTTACCGTATACACGGATAAGATTTGACTGATTAATGGAAGGATTAATGAAACAATTCGGGGTGAGGTATTAGGAAAAGTTGAGATTTACCTGACGTGGGACAACGGCCTGATAAAGAAGAATTGTGGCATAAGCAGTGGCGAGGACAAGTGCCAACGCCTGAAGACCTCGTCTAGTCGGCAGACCTCGGGGCATTTTGGCGCCACCGGTGCCACCAGGGAATCCTGAGGCAACCACCGACAAGCGAGCCTGCGGCCCACCGCCGCCGAATTTCACCGATCGTCCTTCCTCCTCGTGGTTCTCGCGTTTTTCTCGACCGAGGGCGGCTAAAGACCACCACCCCGCATCCTTCTCCTCCTTTTGCCGCGCGAAAAATAATCCAGTCATAACACACACTCGCCGGATCACTTGTCCCGTTCGTTTCCGTTACACCCTCGACAACGCATCGATTATCGAAACAAACGATTAAAAAAAAATCGTCCACTCTCGATATAGTCCTTCAAGTTGACAACCGTCCTTGCACGAAGCGATCGCGATTGTGCATGACACCGTGTCTCACCGTGAATTGCCCTCGATTCTCGATAATATTATACGATCACCGTCGAGGATTGTCCTTCGCGTGTCCGTCGTTGTCACTTTGTAGATAATCGATCGCAATGCACGAAATTTCGAAAGCTAATATACCGTGACGAACTGTCAAAGACACTGGCTGTGTCATCGTTCCGTTACCCGCCAATTCATCGAACGTCGCTGTCGAGATCGATCGAGATTCGCGAATTTAGAGTTCACCGGATTGTAACTAATTTCAGTTTGGTCCAACTTTCCCGCGATAATTTCACTTCTTTCGAACGCACAGAACTTAACGATTCGAAGGAAATAAACGCCAGAATACCGAGCAGTCGATAGAAATCCGATGTTTAATTTGACAGTCGAGTGATTGTCACACGAGACCGCGTTCGATACACACGGAAATAGCACCCGGCGTACACACGCACGAGAACTCACTGTTACCCGGCGCACGTCGAGCCACCGACTGAACACATGGCCAGTCGTCGTGACTACGCTGTAAACATCGCCATAGCGGCCACTTCGGCTTTCGGTGGTAGGGGAGAACAGGCCGTGAGTGGCACGATACCGGGAACGAATAAGAAGGGACGGCGCTTTTTAGATAGAACACCGCCCCTCCCTTATATCGGGGAAAATAAATTTATATTCAATGATACTTTTCAAAAAGTTGGCAAGATTATCTGTAATTCGATCAAATGAGATCATGATATTTATTTAGTATATACACATACATGTAGAATTTATAATATGATTTTATATTATTATCAAGAATATCGGATTTTATTTTTTATAAATAGGATCAACCTGAAAGAAACGAGCCTTCGAATTAAAAGTGGACTTACATGTATATGATCGCAGGTGAGGGTATCTGTATTGAGGTATTTCTTATATTTTTGTATTACAATATTTAATTATTAAGATCGTTAATATTTACATTTGTACATGAATGAATGCACTTCACTGTATAGGAAAAGAAATTAGAACGGACAATCGTAAGTACTTATGATGCGCATACATCTCAGCTATAATTATGTATATCTCAAAATTCAATAGAATCGTCGAACTTGATTTTAAACACTGTTATGTCTTTTGTTTTTTCAATAATCTTTTCGCACGCGATGGAACTCGTAATAAATCTTCTATGTTCTCTTGATATTAGACCAATGTTTCACAATAGTGGTAGAAAATATTTCTACCTCGATGATTCGTTAAACTTCTGAAATAAATTGAATCGACATTATCGTCGCGATAGCTGCCAGTTTGCACTTTTCAAAATCCAATTGTAGGTGCGTTCATCGCACGTGATTCACGATGCCCTTCGTCGTAGAAGAACTATGCTATTGTACAGTTTAATTGCAGGACCAAGACGTAATCCCAATAGCGACACTAAATCCTCTTGCGTTAACATTAAGAAGGCTTCGCCATCGATGTTCTGCAGAACAATCATCAATTATTGAACGTAACTTAAATTCACTTAATAATTTCATACGAACTATTCGATACATACATGTTTCCTGAAAATGTTTCCGATTTCTTTACAATTGGGCATACTCTGAATAAATTTAATCACTTCCTCGTTCGACCATCGTCGAGGATTCGTGTTTTGCCTCGCTACTACTCTATTCAGAGCATTACTGTGTTTCGCCCATATATGCGGCGCATCCGGTAGCGGATTATAACCAGGACTATATACAGATTGATACAGCTCCATGCGTAATTGTTTATCTGGTATATTTGCAGCGTATGGTACAGTGGTTAACGCTGAATCACTGTAGTTTGAAAGAGAATACATGGGTTCCTCGGAAATCTGTCGTCTGTGGCGATAAAATAAGTATTAAAATTAATGTAAATAAATGGCTAACTTAATACCAACAACTAGATACCTTTTCTTCCTCTTTCTTAAAAGTTCATCGTCGTCAGTTTGACCATCGCTGTGGTTATGTTTGGACTTACTCGATCTGTAAATTATGCACCATTATTTATCCACATGATCTTAATATATACATAAAGATAAAATTATTCGAATAACTGACTTTTCCGAATTTTCAGACTTGTCGTTTTTATCGGAGAACTCCCCATCCTCCTGTTTAATATCTTTCTCAGTCTTCAACAACCGTTCTTCCGTAAACAACAACTTCTCGGGTTTCTCCGACCTCTCCATTTTAATTTTATCAGTCTTTTCTGGTTTTGGCTTGTCCACCATATCGTCATCGAAATCACAAGTCTCATGTTTTAAGTTCAGTCTGTCGGACAGTTGCCTGACTTTGTGAAGATTCTGAGGGGAATAAGGGCAACCGGATGCAGAATTGTGCGTTGAGAACTTAGGTCCTTTTACATGTCCTATTCCTCGACAACCGTACGTTCCACATTCTGGCCTGTCATTTAAGTTGTCTGGAGCTGAAATCGAACATACAATTATAACTCCATAAATCCTAAATAAAATACTTAAATACTATTTCATCTGTGTAATAAGTCTTACTCAATGGTGGCTCCAAAGGATGCCCTGTTTTCAAACACCAGCCCATAGGGTGTATGTCCGGAGAGTCATCGTCGACCGAATAAGCGTGATTCTCTGGCCATCCATCAAATCGTATTTTCAGCCTGAAATATAAATTTTTCTTTTCAAGTAACCTTCAACTAAGCCGATTAACATCTATGGACGTATTCCTAATTTACGAACATGTGGTCTTTTACGTCTTCAACCGTTGCCACCCTAATCAACTGAGGTACCCGTTTGTCGACTGCCTCTAACTTCATCCCACGTTTAAACCCGCAGGGCGGTCGTTGTTTAAAAGCTCTCGCCGGTGCAACCATGGATCGCGTTTCTCGCAGATACGCATCCCATGTAAAAGACTTAGGGTCTTTATAATCTGAAATGAAAAATATGTACAGAGTTTTTGTTACGGAAACAGAATTACCAAATTCGTACAGATACAAATGAACATATTTTTATTTACTGTTAGGTGGTGTGAGGCTGTGACCATTATGGTGACACCATCCCACTGGATGAATGTATGGAGAACTTGCATCTGCCCAATAATCGTAAACCTCGTCCCAAGAATCAAAATGAACTAACAGGCGCGAATCCATTAGGCCTGCGATACTAGCTACACAAACTAACGAAGAATGCTTCCTATCTACTGCTTCCAATTTCATTCCTACACGGAAACCAGTTGGAAAGACCGACTACAATAATAAAATAAATTCATCAGTTTTGTAATCACTTTCCAGAGGAATTAAATGAAAGCTTTATTACGTACGCTCTTATTTGAAAATATATTTTTCGGTGCTGCAGTAGCTTTGCAAATTTTTAGATACGCATTCCAATTGAAATTGCTGGCGACGTAACCTTTCGGTGGATCTAATCGATGTCCGTTCTTCTCCGACCATCCAACGGGGAATATATCCATACTGTCTGCATTTACCCAGAAATCGTAATTTTCTGCGTAACCATCGAAATGTAAACGTATTCGGTAACCTATTACAAAAGGATAAATTCAAGATCTGACTTTGGACAAACAGAATTTTATTAGATGAAAAATATTAAACTTGCCCGCTACTTCAACGACTGTAAGAACACAGTATCGTGACGGATGTTCCGGATCTATTCCTTCTAATTTCATGCCAACTTTGAAATGATTTTTACTATATGGGAAAGGATCCTTGAACAGCTTAACAGGTGCAGCTTTTGCTTTGCAGTGTTCCAGGTATTTAGCCCATGAGAATCCAAGTTTTCCTGTCTGCCAAGGATACTACATACAGAGACACACTTATAAGCAGTACGTTTCAAAAGATTTGAACACGCAGCTAGGACTCGCCTACCTTTGACTCCGTTGAATCTCCCTGACTTTCGTCGTCCATTCCTGTGATAGTGTCTTTTGTATCCTCATCTGTTTCAGACTTCGAAACTTTCTCCTGCGTTTTCTCATCAGATTTATCCTCTATTTCTTTAGACTGTTGTTGTTCTTGCAACAATCTTTTACGTTTCCGTTTTGCACGTAAGTCTCTATACAAAAAGAATGTTTAAATTACAGATTTGTATGTGTATCGATTTATCGAAAATATCTTATCAAGTCATACTTCAAATCTTTGTCTTTTCGCATTGACGGTTGCTTCTTGGATTCTATTATTTCTGTACATGTTGGGCTACACGATATTGGACTCTCAAATTCAGCAGCCAAACCGTAACACCCGCAACCTTCACAGTGATACATTGTATCTGCAGAAACTGTTCTAGATTTCCTATCATCGGCTATAAAAGAGAATATTTAATAAATTCTAAATGAAATTATTTATAAACGAAGAAAACATTGTTTCCGATATATATTAATACTTACATTTCTTTTCAGAGTTCACACTATTAGCGGTTAAGGGGCTGGACTTCGAGGAATTCTGTGTTAAGCAAACATTTTCCTTATCACCAATACCATCTTTGCCTTGTTTGTTGTTCTCATCCTCATCGACTACTTCCATAATACCAAATTCATTCATACAGAACTATAAAGTATACATACCATCATAAAATGCTACACCGTTTATGCACTAACTTTTTTTAAATTATACAACATACCTTCAGTGTGCTTCCAGGGAGAGTACCAACACCATCTTTCCAGTCTAGTACTTTTGCAGCATCAAAATTCGAATCATTTGCATGAGTGGTGTTCGAGTGATCTTTTAAATCATCGTGATTGCTAATTTTAGCATCATGTTTATTATCTGATACTGACTCGACACAACTCGTGCGCGTTTTAATAATTTCTATTTTTATGTCATCATCCATACTAGCGTTAAGTTTAACACTTTTGTCTTCGCTTGGAACCACTTTAATCAATGTGATATCGTCATCGTTTTGCACTTTCTTGTCTTTGTCTTGCTCCGATTCTGGGCTGCTCAGTGTATAAGTGACATCAACTATACTGTCCTGTGAAGATTTTGAGAGATTCTGTTTCTTAAGTCGCTTCTCGTTCGATCCCCTTAATATGTTGCTTATTGTTTTCTTTCTTTTCTCAGGCATGCCAGTATCGTCTTTTTTTGGAATAGGGGTAATAACAGCAGAGTCGGGATTCTCTGTGATTTTTATGCTGTCCGTAGAATTACTGTTTCCTTTATTTGCACTTAATAAACTCATTTTCGCGATCGGGTGCAAGGGTGGCGGATGTGTGGAGGAATTTGTTGTTTTTGACTCTCGTAAAACTGTAATATAAAAAAAAGTTTTAAAAATAATAATTGCAAACTGTAATGTAAAAAGGGAAACGTTCTTCGTGGTTACATACCAGTAATAGTGCCTTTACTTTCTGTGGTAAGTTGGCCATTATTAATTTTTAAATTAAACATGCTGGATTTGGTAGGTCCACTTTGTTGAGGAATACTGACTGGTAGTAACAAATTCGCCATATGCTTGGCAGTCTGACTCTGAGATCCTGTAGTAGTACTAGTTGATGTTTGAGCTAATTGTGATAAAACTGGTGCAATCACCAATTTTTGCTTAGCTATTTGAGTTGTTGTTAAAGCTCCTACCAATAAACATCAATTGAATTATTTTTTTTTAAGAAAGAAATGTAAATATTTCCACGATATTATTATTAAATGAATTAATCACCTGGGATAACAACAGAATCACGTGATTTGTTTGGTTTAATCAGAGTTCCAAGATACGCAAATGTATGCTTGCCTGTTTGTGCATTATTTTGATTTCCCTGAGAGGAACTTAAGGGCACGATTTGTGCAGTTGATACATTGGACTTTCTAAGCAATATGTGTTTCTGACCTTGTGATGTTGCTGTAGTACTGACTGTATTAATTGGTCGATGGATCACAATATGTTGTTTATTCTGAGAAGTAGCAACCTGACTTGGTCCTTGTATAAATACTTTGTTTTGTCCACTAACAATCTGAAATAGAAATACACCAAATATTTGAATATTCCCAAGACCCGTAATGTGTTTACAGAGAACTGATTTAACGATCTTGACACTTCAAGGAAAATGATCTTTATGACAAGAAATTGTGTAATTTAATGTAACTCTTTATTTATTTGATTTATCCCTAACAAAAAACACACTTTTCATATTTCTGCAGCAATGCAATGAAAAACACTGACTGTTTCTGAATATTATTGTTAATCTAATCTCTGCCCTTCTACTTGCAATCCACTACAGCAAGTATGTTGTACAAATCTATATTTAATGTAAAGAGATGTACCACTCACTGTTGCCACCTACACATGGAATCTAATAAGTCTTCACATATGTAGATCATAAGTTAATTCATGTATGACATAGTTAAAGTTCTCTATGTTAAACAACAGTTGCTCAAAATACTCGAATTATTCTGCATTATTTTATATAATTATAGGTTACTGTGACCTACATAACTAACCATGTAGTTTATTCTTTAACATAGCACAGTGTTAGATCTACTATATGCTATATCTATAAGTATCAAATTATGAACAGTAATAATTAACATAATTTTATAATACTTTCACTCATTTTCATTCTGCTAATACAAGCAAAAATGTATTGCTGGCCTCAAAATATTTAAATGCTTATTTAAATATATTACCTGATTGTTGACTGGATTAATAATGGCAGCAAGCTGAGTTGCATTTGACGAAACCAAAGTCTGATTTGTTGTTGTTGGTGGTGCTGAACGTAATTTACTCTGTTGAATATATAATAAAGGCATAACGGGTGCTGTTGGGTCATCTGACTGCTGAATCTCTGTGCTACTATTCTCATCAACATCATCTACTACTATTTCTTCCTCCATTCTGTCAGGAAAACACAACACAAATACATTGTTGATAGCTTTAAACAACTTTTGTACCGTATACTACTGCAAAGTACTTTAATTCTCATTAAAAAAAAATCTTACGTACAACAATAAATTTTTAGAGGCACTTTATTTACTTCAATATACATTGCAGCCAAACATAAACACAATTATACATATTCACAATATTTAATTAGCAAAAGTATAAAAAAGTATTGATAAGTTACACAATGACTCAAAGTATATCCATATTTAAGGAAACCAAACCTGAAGAATTATAGACGAAAACGATTATAAAATTAGGATTATTAAAGAAATAAATAAATGTATAAATAAGAAGATGTTGATAAAACAAATTGAAAGGACAAACACAAAGAGAAAGTACGTAGTAATTTTTACAAACCTAACGCTGTATAATGTCTCCTATCACCGAAATTGTTGCTAGTTACATAATTCGCAAGGAATTGTAACAATAAACAACGGCGAGACGAATAAGCTTAAGACAATTTCGTAGTGTTTAATAACTATCGCAGCCGTGTCCACGGATAGCCATAACTGGGCGTTCAGAGCAATCGCTAACGTGATTTGAAACACGCGCCGAATTATTATTGCTGAGCAGAGTTACGTTATTAATTTTCACAGTTTTAAACAAGCCGTCAAACAGTGAAGATATTACTTCTCGCATTCTACGCGAAACCGTCGCCCTAAGAACACGAGTCTTTTTAACAGTTACAACAGAGATATCCACGTTCAAATACTTTTACAAATTCGTTCCCGTCGCGCATCACGAATCACTCGAAGAACACAACGCGCACGCACAGTTTTCACTGGAATAAGAGACCAACCGTAAGACCGATCTGAAAATTGATCCGCTCTACGGGAATCGAGAACAAGAATCGAATAATTGTGACTGTGTAAATGAGGACGAAGACAACTTAGAATTCCACGGCTTTTCGAACGCTTGTATTCACATATCTTTTGAGCGTTCGAACCTTCATTCTCCGTACGCTACAGCTACATCCTCATAGGCTCTGAGTGTAGTGGCGACGGCGCAACAGGCCACTTGCCATTGGTTCGTCGCTGCTACAGCGAAGAAAGAGTCCGCGATCTCGACCAATCGTAACCTTCTCGTACACATTACTAACCACATTCGATGTACAGATTTTTCCTCGACTACCGAATAATTTTGAAATCGTTCAATGATCCTGGTTATTCGATCGATGACCATCGAATCCGAACAAAAGTTTGTTGGATACGAATTCGATTGGACAAACACGGAGTATACTTAACGTCCGTGTCTCGACCATTCTCCCGCGCAAATATTTTTTTTTTTCGTGGGGGAAAAAAGGACAACCAATTTGTGTCCTCCAGATCGATGGAAGCTGGACTAATATTTTTTTAAAATGACAGACCACATTTATTCGTCAACATTTGTTACCTTATTTGTTTGACTTTCAAATTTGTGCTGTTACACGCGTTTTCAGTGCAATGCAACCATGTAATGCATGATGTTTCACGATTGAAGTTTATTTCAAGTACGACTGCACATTAAATTTTATTACTTCATTTTTATAGAGACCTTTCCCCCCGGTTTGAGCCAATGGCAGCCGATACTTGTGTGACGTCGTATTGTTGCGTGGTTGGATTGGCTAAACGAGCAATACGTGTGATCAGGAAAAGGATTCTGCCTTTGAAACAGGAATTTCGATGAGTCTTGCAGAATTTCGCAAATTCAACGATCATTGTTTTCGATTGTACTATATGTGAAAGTATCTTTCGTATCGATTTGAGAAAAATACTGTTTGAGGGACTTAATTCGAAAGTCGAACAAATATTCAAGTTTCAATTTCCATATACTTCTGCGTTAACCTCCAAACTATAATAATGGTACTTGTAATGCTCGCTAGATTATCGATTCGTCTTAAATGATATTCAGGTCACAAATTGTTATGAAAAGCTTTTAGTATTCAAGAGGTATAAAAACAAACGACAAACAGATGCTGTTTGTTGTTATAATTTGCTTGTATGTATTTTATGAATTGAGAATAAGTTAATAGTAACGATATCAATACGATACAATCGCCGATTATCAATAGTTCTTAAATTCAAGAATACAATAAAGATTATATGTTACTATTATAAACAAAATTGTTTTATTAATACTCTTTTCACGATGTAAACATTACGAGTACTTCCGTTGATTGACGAAAAAATTTTGTAATTTCTACCTTCATACATACAATATTTATTGTACAAGTTATCGAGGTTACTAAAAAAGATTTCGAGTATAATTATAGTACGAAGGACGGTTTGTTATTCTAAGTTTAACGTTATAAATTCATCGTGTACGAATACATAAACGTAATCGTTATCAAAGCACCAAACTTATCAATGTTTCGAGTATTTCAATTGTGTATTAGTAGTAAATTAAAAAAAGAGAAAGAATGTACAGAAAGATTGTCTTGAGAATCGAAAGAATATAAAAAACTCATGCATGTTGTGCTCGTTCAGAGAATACTGTGTAACTTTTTTTTCTAACTAAGCAGCGCGAGAAGTTATAGGCAGCTTTATAGGTATACTTACTAGGATAAGTGAATGTTGGCTTAGCGAATTATGAGCGGTAATTTTAAGGATATACTCTAACGGGCAACAACCGTGGTAAAAGATTACCTGACCGATGAGGATCTGAATATTTAATGATGCCACTGTTACATTTTACACGCGAACTGCACATTGTATACATAAGAAATTATATGATAATAAACTCACGTTTTAAAGTTGTCAGTCGCCATCATATGCGAGGAAACGGTATCATTCAAACTGCGCATGCGCATCGACCCATGTTGCTTCTGCTGTAAAGACTCATTCACATTCGTACATACGGAATGCAGTCAGATAAAAATATTTTAATCATTTCGAAAATATGTATTTATTTATATATAATTAAAATTTCAAATTATCTCAGTATTATCTCTGACTTGTAAACCTAAAAAGAAGTATATACTGCAATATACAAACTGTACGAAGAAAATACAATACGTATATCATTTATATGTTTATATAATTAAATATGTAAAGTTCCGAATGGATATTGTTACCCATATATGAACTTCCTGTGAAACAAAATGTTATTTTTTCCTCGTCTTTTCAGTTTAACAAAATGAACTATATACTTTTTAACTTTCTATGAAATGCGTAAGGGTCATTTACATGTTCGATTGAACTGAATAAGAATTAAGCGTTACATCGTTTTGCTATCGATCGAAATAAAAAATAGAGTTGGTGTATAAGATATTAAATAGAGCGATGATACAGCAAAAAACACATTTTTTATTTGATTCTCGTAGTGACAGCATTGTCGTGTTGTCAATCATGGAAATTATAAATTCGTGGCAGCATACGACGTTCGTTAGTTTCGTCGTATATTAATTAAATTCTCGTGATGTTCTATAATCTATACCGTAAACTCCGATGCACCACAAAACTATGTGAATTGGCGCAGGGATTATAAAGGCAGAAAAAATTGGGCTTTCAGAGTCATCAGAATACTTGTACATACATTTACGCATGTATACATATTTACATTTTCATTGGAGGCATATGTCAAGGAACATGGATAATATATACGCTTGTGCTTCTTAAAATGTGTACAAGTTGTATGCCCCACTCTGGCAACCCCACACTCAGCAACTGAAATGGGAGCTTTTTTTTGGGCCGTGATATTTAATGGAATAGTAAGCATTTTATAAATAACAAAAGAATCGCTTAAATTGAGAATAAAAATTTCCTTAAAATTTTGTCAGATTATTCGCGTAATCTCCTTGAATTAATATCGCACATCAATAATCGTGATTGTGCTCGTTTTATTAAAGATTCAATTTTACAATATGTAAATAAGTTTAATATGGTCTGTGGCGCCATCCACGGCAAAACGTGCAAGCTATTAATCATTTAGTACAATAATCATGATGATAGATGACGTCGCTATGCAAATTAGGCGCCAATTTTCAAAAGTAAGCATAGTCATGGACGAACTACATCTCGACTGTGCTAGCTTAAAAACGTAACAAATAAATTATTGTAGGCTAACACCAGTACAGGAGACTTCAATAGATAATTGAGTATCAACGAAGGATATGCTTAGTTTGCCTTTTTAATTATTTCATTTTTTAACCAAAACACTTGGGACCACAGTAACGCCACCTAACGGCATGAGCATAGTACTAACTGGCTAGTAGCTTGAGAATTACGTAGATGTCGCTACAAGTGTCTACGAACCACATTTCAATATTAAAATATTATAATCAATAAATCGTTAACGAAGAAAATCAATTAAAGAGAATAATACGCCGACAATCGAAATGAATTAAATACATGTGTATTTAGAAAAAAAGAGTATTTGAGCATACGTGAAAATAAGAATCTCAAAGTTATGAAAGAACTTCGATAAAATAATAATTTAAGAAAAAAAATAATTTCACAGCTTTGAATCGATGCATGATCTTTATTACAAGTAATTAAACTGTTCCAATGAAATACATCTACCGTCCGAAAATTTTTGCAACCTCAATTGCAAGTTTTGAAGCCTGTTCAGTGATGATTCACCGGTCATCTACAACCCCAACGAATATGCACCTCATACTTTATAAAACGGCGGAAGAGAAGCATATTTCTTGTACTAAGAATTTGATTAGATTCTGGTTCAAGTAAACTTTAAGAACATTACATTCGAATTCTCATTTTTGACTATATTATAGACTAATAGCACATGAATATGCGTATCTGTGATTACAAAACTGACCTTACAAGATAGCTACCTTCAATACGCACAAACATTACTGATAAAAATTTCTCTTATCTCTGCCGACGAACCCCGCGGAGCTACCACCACGTTCCACCCCCTGGAAAAGGCGTCTGTGTGCAAGGGGTGGACTGAGGGTGCGCGCCGAGAGATCAGTCGTGCGGAAGAGGCTAACGCCCAGCTGCCCGACAGATCGCAGGTCCGTTCGTTCGTGACAACCCTCGAGAACCATCCTACCGAATCTGACTTTTAATCGTCCTATGGCAAATAAGCTCGATCAGAATGTATTTATTCTCGGTGTATCGGTCCCCGTTTCGTTAACCCTTGTTACCCATAGCCCGAACAAGGTGCACATCATCCCTCTCCCATCGATATACCCGATAACATGATTCACACCCCTCCAGAACCACGGATCCTCGATATATGCTTGATTCATCGCGATTATCCCTCCTCCCTTGTGTTGTATCAGTGCGGGAATGAAGTGTGTGTAACAGTTGACAAAAGTGTGCGTGTGTGTGTATGTGCGCACGCTGGCTAGATCTGGAGCGAAAAGCACAGGAGACGTTCTTCTGAATTGTAATCGACGTAAGGGTCATGTGTTGTATTTATTACGAATTGAAGAATCGATTGATCAACAGGGCTGACTGGATAGAATTGCAATTGAGAATGTTAGTACCGTTCGGAACGAAATCACAGGGACTCTAGTTAAACGAGAAGAATTCTAAAACTTAGCTCCGACGAAGAGTCTGCAATTTGTCGCCAATGATTCGCGGCATCAGCTTGAACACTTTAAAAAGATAACTTTCTGACGTGCACCAGTATATTAGTGCGTCATCGAATTCCTAATGAAGCTGCAGTAAAGATTTCTGAGGGACATCCTATTCGTTAGCCTCCAACCCGCCAGATTGTTGGTCGAACCGTACATATGTTTATTTTAGTCATAAAACACTGCTTTATGTAACGGAGGATTTATAATTCCCACGCGGGACAATTTCCTCATCACCTGGCCCAGAATGCCAGTGTTTCTATCTCTGGACCACATACACACGCGTATTCGATTAAATAGTTACCTGATCGCAAATTTATCGATTCTAAACAAATTCCTCGCGTTCGCTTGAATGTGTTTCTTTACCCATCGTTTCTAACAAATTTTATTTAGGTGATCAATTTTCCCGTATCTGTTTTCCGTCGCGTGGTCGCGATAGAAATCATAACAAAAGGGATTAAGCCTGCCGTGATTCATGTCAGCCCCGCTTCTCCGATGAGATCCTGAAATATTTTAATCCGATGAATTTTATTCCAGACGAATTCCTCGAAGATGAGATTCACGGTAACCAGCGTTCCCATCCTTTTCCTCTGGTGTCTGAGCTTTACCGGGGCATCCGGTACGACCGAAGTCTCGTGCGGCGATCGTTTGACGTCGCCTAGGGGAGTGATCCAAACACCGAATTTCCCCGCGTCGTTTCCGGTCCCGATAAAGTGTCGTTGGGTAATCGACGTGTCCGACATAACGGCCACCAACGGTTCCATCGTCGTCTACCTGACCCAGGTCTACGTGTACAAGGGTCTTAGTTTCACCGAGTACGCGTACTACGAGTCGGAGAGCATGAACTTCGGCGAGTCGCTGATCAAGGAGATCACCGAGGGGAACGTCTTCGAGTTCAGATGGTTCCGAACGTTTCGACCGTTTCTCGTCGTGGAATTCGAGCTCGATCGACTCGAGGGAAATCACGTACGCGTGCTAAACGATCTTCTCGACGTGTACGGGTTCAACGTCACGTATCAGATGACCGAGGATCAACCGAATTACGATTCCTGTTCGGTCCAGCATTGTTCCTTCACCGGGCACTGTCTCGTCTCCGCCGACTATACGTGAGTTCTCGACGTTTTTCGGTCAACTATTACGACTCTAGTCGTCGAAACAGTAAACAATCGTGAAATCAGCATTTGCTACGAGTATAAAGAAAGTATAAATTCGACAAATTCTCAGATTCGGGTTGTCATTGTTTGGTCCACTAGAACCACCGAGGGCTTTCGAAACCGTTTAGAGCAGCATTGTAACAAATACACGGATTTGTCTGGATGCTAGTTAAGCTGCCTTACTATTGTTCTATTTGCTTCCAACTGTGTCATCCCGCTGCTAGTATTAGCCAGCTTTGTGTTTCCGCGCGATGCAACCTATTTCTTAACGAAACATGTGCTGGCATTCCTTATTTGTAGACTGCGGATTTTATGCATTTATAGCCAATAGGGCTTTCTGTAATACCATAGAGAAAGAACTTTCATCAGATTTAAAGTGTTTTCTACTTTATTCTGAACCCAATAAGTATTTAAGAAAAAAAAAGAAATTCCTACCTTTGCTGTTATCTTCAAAAATTATTTTAAAAAACGCCATTTTGCAATAAAAATCCGCAGTCTACTTATTAGGTATCCAAACGGCGAAACTGTATTATTCACCAGCTGAAAGTTTGCTTCGTCGCCGCCAATATTTCCCACAACTTTCAGAGAATTCAATGGTAACTGCGCTAAATGGTAATTGAGTAATTGTTCGGCCATTATGACTTAATCGAATTAATAGTTTTCTGTAAAAAAAATCACGTATTATCGTACCGGTTCATGAATCATTAATGAACTCTTAAACTTTCGTCGATATACCCGGCATCCCTGTTGGAAATAACCTGATCTCCCCGTTGGTCTTTTGCAGTAACTTTCGGTGCGACTGTTTCGAGGGTTTCAGCGGAAAGAACTGCAACGAGGGACCCCTCTGTTTCGACGATAGACGGGAGCCAGTTTGCCAAAATGGAGGGACCTGCAGGTAACGGACGAATAACAATTATACCAAGTAATTCATAGTAACAGCGAGATATTAAATTCCCCGAACGTTCATTCGATTCCCATTCAATACTAAATTTCTATTTCCCTTATCGATCCAAGACCACCAATAACCATCACCGTAACCCAGTGATAGAATTATTCCGATAGAATAAAAGTAGGTCGATCGCGGAGGCCATTCCCGTGGCGCCGAACTTTCGATTGAAAACCGGAAAGGAGCGGACCTCCATAAAAACTTCCTTTATCCCCTTACTATAAAAATCTGTCCCTTTCTTCTGCCGTGCGACGAGAACTTCTCGATATTTTCTCAAAGCGTATAACAGGGAGAATGGCAACTTGGTCACGTTCGAAACAACCATTCGTATCACGCGAGTCCAATAAACGTCGAAATTCAAATGAACCAAGATTCTTCTTCACGGTTGGCGTGAATCTTTTCTAATTCTACGTATCATCGACGGCTGACCAGCGTTTCGTTTTGGATAATTCCAGGCAAATCGGAGCGGAAGCGATGAATTGTCATTGCCCGGACGGTTACGTCGGTCATCGGTGCGAGATTCGTCTGCTGGACACCATGGACGCTGGTAACAATCTTTCTCTCTCTCTCTCTCTCTCTCTCTTTCTCTGTGAATCCATATTATTTGCTCGAGGCATCGCGAGAGATAATTTTTCGATGAGTCACGGTCTCGCGTTCCCCGACCGGATCGAGGCTACGGACGAGCCTGTGAGTCATTCACGAGGATCTCGGTGGTGGCGGTGTGGCGCTTGACGAGGTCAATGGTTTGTTCCCAGAATGCGGAACGGAGAATTGCATAATGCAGTGCCCTTTGGACGACGGGGTGCCACCGTGCACCTGCAGAAACGGCACCAGGATCTACAACAGTGAGTTCCCTTAGACCTACTTTCTCTTTTTCCTGCTTGGATTTTCCCAACCCGTTTACATAACCGCGGGGTGGAAAAACCTCTTATTTTTCGCAGATCGGTCGCGTTACGAGTGCAGAATTAAACTGTCGAATGTGACGTCGCTGAGGACCGGCTCGGTAACGCAACAGGGGAGCCTGGAGTCTTATGTCGGCAAACAGGTAAGAAACAATCGAACGAACGGAACGAGTGCATGGATTATTGATCGTTGAGAAAAATTCCTCGAGGAGAATTGACTGGTACTTATGTATAGACTGCGGATTTTTATGCAAAATAAAATTTCTACAGTATTTTGTAAAGACAGGAGCAATCGGAGAAATTTATTTTCCCTTTTAAGTATCTTATTGGGTTCAGAGTAAAATAGAGAACTCGTTGGATCCGATGAAAGTTTTGTTTTTCATTGTATTTCACATAGCCCTATAGGCTATAAATGCATAAAATCCGCAGTCTACGTATGTATTGAACTTGGTCCCGTGCGTGGCTTTTTCGGTGCAGGCTAAATATTATCTCAACAAGAATCGCGTGTAAGCATGCGTCACGGTGATCGTAATTAAACAACAACACATTTGTAATCGCGAATTCGGTATCTGAAAAATGTATTGCGCAGCCGTAGATAATAACCGTTACCGGTGCGTACGATGCTACACGATCGACGTTATCGTTCCCTGTTTCACAATCGCGGTCCATCTCCTCTGCCATAAAATCCGACCACCGGCTTGTTTACGGGCGGGCACGCGCGCTACCGTCTGGCAAACGCAACGTCTCGACTATTATATCGGGAAAAATTCAACCGTGCTTCGGTGAACAGTCTAAGAACAAGGAATACCAAGTACAAGATTTAAGGACTAACATACAATGTCCGAAGCAAAAAAATTCTAAGTCCAAAGACTAATTACATACAGTGATATACCACTTTCATATCATCACGAGAATAAAGCAAAGAATTCTTGTCGACAGTGACAGTCAGATAGCTTCAAGAATTGTTTATTTATGAGCCAAGGTATTCCCAGATCTTACACTTATCGTAGCCATAATTCTCGTTCCGGACATTTTCCGGCAAATGGTACTGTCTCAATAATTTCAATCGTTTCCTCAACTCCTCGGTCAAGCCGTGTCTCCCTGGATCGCCCAGGTATATACGTGTTCCATTTTCCCGCGCTTTCCCGAGCCAAGGAATCAACGCGTCGGCGATCTTCTCGTCGTACAACATGTCCCCGATGAAAATGACGTCTGCCAGCTTTTCCGGTGATCGTTGCAATAGATTCTCTTGCGACACTTGGACGTCCGCGTGGTTCAGTGCCGCGTTCATCGAGATGGCCGTGCACGCGACTGAAAGCATACGAATGAAACGTTAATATGATCTTTATACACCATTCATGACTATGTATTAAATGGCCCGAACAGTGGACTGTGAACGACCGTTTCCTCGACCTGTCTGAATCGCAAAAAAGGAACAAGAGATGAGAAAAAACTTGTTCCTCTTAAAATACATTTAAGAGTCACTCGATTAAAATGAACGTATAAACATGATCTATAACGATCTATCGACCGTTCGTTATTTCAATGAATTTTCAAAAGTCATACATCGTTGCACGTGTTCGGCTTTTCTGCGGTCGTAAAAGGACGCTACTTGAACTGGACAAATCGAACGCATTCATTACCGGAACACAAACCGAACTGAATCAGTTCCCGACTGGTTCCCCAGCGTATCCCGTACCCGATAAAACCGGTTGAATCGGGACCACGGTTATAAACAATAACGCTGATTTTGTAACGAATCCTTTTGTTCCTTGTTAACGAACGGCAACGGTTACGCGTCATTCAAACGCGACACGTAATCGCGCAACAAACGTTATTACATAATACGTGAGTTGGTTTCCATCGGTATGTTGTCTCATTGATACCTCCCCTCCCCCTTACACAAGTGGAGGAAATTTTACCACTAATCCTACAATTATTGATTTCCAATGGAATCGATCATTCCCGATAAAGACGAATGCTAAATATATGTATTTGTGGAATATACGCCAATATCGATGTCTCCGTTAGATTCGATAAGATAACTGTTCGACAAAGGTCGCGCCATATCAACGGGCTCTACACGCTCGAACACCACGCGACCACCATACAGCGCAGTTCGACCTGCGCGGTGACACTTTTTACCAACTCTCTGGTCCACTTAACTTATCAGACCGAAAGTAATTAAACAAACACGTTTGTCGTTCCCGTGGTCTGTTGCCTCTCAATCTTTTCTTGGAGGAACAGTACATATTAGACACGAGTAAAGGCAAGATATTTTAAGTTAACGACTAAAAGATAGAGAAAATACACTACTGGCCAAAAGTAAAATATTATTCTACCAAAGATTCGATGAAAGTAATGTCGTAAAACTGATTGGAAATGATTTGTACATGCACCGATTCCGAACTCTTTCTAATTTTGAACACTATGGGACTATGGGAGATATTCAGATATTCATACGTCTATGGTATTATCACATTCAAGTGAAAAAAGTAACAAAAATAGACGGATCGACGCCGTCAACAGGTGAACTGATCTGTCTTAATTCCAACGACCACGCACGAGCGGAACGTGCGGAAAGAAGTGTACGCGACCGATTGCATAACCCTGATCTTTCCCGGTCGATCACGGGGCCGATCCGAATGTGAGCCAGTGAAAGTGAACTTGAGGAGGCCGCATGAGACACCGGCTGTATCGTTCATTGGGTCGTTCTCGTCGCGGAGGAATCCGATCGCCGGGACCTTGGCTCGTTTTGGCTCGCACGCGGGAATCCTCTCTCACGCGGCACGAGCCAGTATAGATATAAAAACGATCATCGCGCGTTACACAAAAACGGCAGAGCGCTAAACAAAGTCGGTAAACGACAGATAACTCCTCGAACTCCTCTCCTCATCCTCTCTATCGTTCTGCCGTTATCGAACTTGTTTTGTGTTCGTTGGTCCACACCCACGCGCAAATCGCGAATGTCGATAACATCGAGTACGGTTTGTCGTATCTGAGGACTCTTTACGATCTTAACAAGACTCTTTCGTATATCAAGATTAGTATCGTTTCAATGGCCCCGATTTCCAGAGAATTTTAAGTATCTTCTGATGTTCGATCCCGATTCGATTCTTCGGAAGATCGATTCCCTTGTGTATAGAAAGAGGAAAATATTCTACACAGCGTTAATGAAGGTGTAACGTATTAAACCCATATTCGAATGCTGCGACTTACAAAACGCTCGTTGATTCCCCTTTTTTTTTACCGATCGTTACTTCTCGCGATCGAGAACGGACCCGTCACGGTGATGTTGCGGCTGCACGATGGTTAATAGAGATACCATTCAACGGTACGCAACGTCACACAGCCGAGCACCGCGACCCGATGGATCGATTTGAAATGCAGCGAACGTTGTACCCCACGGAAATGGAGAACCTTTCACTGACGCACGGCGGCCGCCTCACAAGACCCTTCCCGCTCCGTTCAGTCTCTCTATGAAACGGGGAAAACCGGCGTGCCTGACCCAGATACTCGACTTTCTTCGAACCAACGTTCCACGGTGCAATCGCCAGGACTTCGGTACCGCTACAAGAGCGAACGACGTTTTGAACCGATAAAGCGACGTGGTTTAAAATCGAACTCAGCTCTTTGCTTGCTTCCCTCCTCCCTCTCTCGGACTCTTCCTACTGGAAAATATTTAAAATGAAGACTTTTATGGAACGATTATAATTCTGTTTTACAAAAACAAAGAAACAATTGTCAGACCATTCCTGGAATTCAAACGTGATCGTACGAGAAGATATTTACAATGAATTTAATCAGAATTTTTTCTGAAGTTGGTACGCAACCGGTTCATTGATGGAACGTCCAAGTTGTTCCGAGTAGAATGGAGCCACGGCACGTGCGAGCTACTCTTTGTTATCGATTCGAATTCCCCGACACACAGCTCACGGGAAATGTTAGTATGTACTACAGTTACGAGGAAACGGCCGTCGTTTCTCTGAAATTCAATTAATTCTGTTAACTACCTGGAAACATAACGTGCAGTCGCTGAACGAACATTCTTCGTTCGACATGTGTCCATCGTGGGGATAAAGATTACGTGTGTCTTTACAAAATTATAGAATCGAACAACAACCGTAGTGATATCTCGTCGCGAAACGACGGATTAAACCAGTCGCCCGTAAAAGGAAATGGATAATAAAATTGCAAATCGTGAGACCCCGTTTATCAAGAGGGAAGGCACAAAACGAGCGTCACCGGACACGGTCGGCTGTGTACAAGCGCGACGATTAAGTATCGCGGAAAAAAGAAATCCCTTGGTATCGTCTTTCCTCGTGCGTTCGCGACCAACGTCAACGCGCAATTGTTGCCAGCGACGGTTAGCAACACCGGCGATGCACGATCTCTCCATGTGTATCGTTGGACAGGACTCGAAACTTTCCGGAGACGTTTGCAACTATTAGAATGGAGATCGTGCGGACGTAGAACCGGCTTACAACGAGAACTGGACGAGCCGGTGGGAATACCGGGCGCATCAAAAAAGAAAAAAAGACCTGCATACATGGAGCGTGACGTCACGCGATCAGGTAAACGGCTGTCCTAGTGACGCAGAACGAAAGGTCCGTTAACACTTTCGATGGTTAACAATCGATGGATCTAAAAAGCAAACGAATGTATAGATCACTACGGAAATATAACTAACAAGTGTGTAACGTAACACATCAATATCGCTCGTTTGCTGGAACAATGGCACAACTCGAAATTTACAGTATTTCAGTTATTACCGTTATCAGTGACTACAGATATACACTATATCGTGAGAGTATAGAAAAAAAGAACGGTTGTTGGCTGTATTGTTTATCGGCTGAATCCTGCCAGTGCACTTCCAAAACATACCACGTCAAGACAGTCACTTTAAATATGATATTCGTATAAAATTATACCCATCAAAACATTCTATTTTTCCTGAAATTCCGATGTTTCAGTTACGTCGTCATTGCAGCAAATGAGCGATACGTAACATGGCCGGGCGTAGGAAGGACCAGAGAAAGACAGAAACAGACTATTCGAACCTGTTCTTCTGAAACCCTTTCCTGATTATTACCATTGTACTTGGAATTTCCAAATTCCCCATACCTTCATCAATGTCATTAGCGACCACCGTGCCCGCGCCAACCAGTTTCGCTGCCACGGCGGTAGCTCCGCAGCCAGCACCAACGTCAAAGACCCTCGTTTTCCCCAAGGTTGGAAAAAGATTCTTTCCTTCGTCGAGGATGAATCTCGTCAATGCTTGTCCTCCCGGCCAGTAAATGGACCAGAAAGGGTCGGAGAAGACCTTCCATTTCGCGTCATCCCCTTCGAAAACGCTTGGAAACGGCGCGTGATACAAGTCGCAATTTGGCGTCAGGAGGAACAGCTTGATCTCCGGGGTCATATGGTTCCTCGAGATTTCAGTGTGATTTAGGATCGTACAGACAATCTTGGGCTCAGGAACAATCCCATTGCTGACGAACCATTGCATGCCAGTGACGCGTTTCCAGGCCTCTTTGACATTCGTCCCGACGCTTCCGCGGAAACGCGACGACGCTTTTCCTCCGGCGAACATCTTGCAACCTAAACAAAAGGTTTATATAAAAAGACTGGTCTCAGGAAGTGTTCTAAATATAGAATGGCTTTAGATAATTGACGGCCGATATACAGGTGCTTAATGATCCAAGATACGTGGAATCACCGTTGCTTCGTCATTTTGTAATTATCGTTGAAAGAAAAATCTGAAGCACACGTGAAGTTGTCTTTTTCCTATTTCGGGGAGGTTTCTTATTAGGTTTACAAATTGTGGAAATTCACTTTCATCGAACACCCACGCACCATTTCACAATTAACAAACGATTTGTCCAAATCGATCGTGGTGCCAAAGTATCGTGGTCCTTGTTCGTTTTTGTACATTACGAACCGATACAGATCTGCCACGATAAGCAACGAGATAAGAGGCGGTGGACGCTAACGAGAAGTAACGAGGACGAAGAAACGAATTATCTTCCGTTCTTCCTGGTACTTCCCCGAGACTCTGTTTATACTTGGACACCCTGCAGACTATCCTCGAAAGGATTAATCTGTATTTATTGATTCCTTGTTTTAGGAAAAATTCACCACGGGGAACTTTCGTTTCCTCGATAAAGACGTTGATAACGAACACCTTCCCGGAACGATATCGTGACTCGCAATCTTATTAGCAGATAAAAATTGAATTCCTATTTTTTTCTTAACGTTTAGCCGTGGCGCCGATAAGATATATCCCGCTGTCTTTGTATATTTGACACCGTCGCCGAGTTTTCGGTCGCGAAATGTTTCGATTACGCAGATTGCAGGGGCAATGGCGCCATGTTTCGACGGTGAGGGTAACCATTTCTCGTAACATTACGAAATACCCTTGGGGGCATTGTCCAGATCCATCGTAACTGTTACTGCATGCGCAAAACCAGCGTCTCCCGAATAAATACATTTCCAAGAAAAAAGGTTCGAGACAATTTAATGAGCAAAAAGGTCGTTGGACTTCGATCTGAAATATTCGACAAGGTTGTCGATATTTCTATGTGGAAAATTTCACACATTTAATCTGAAAATCGTGTAATACTTAATGGAACTTATATTTAGCACATAATAGTCGTATGAAACGCGACTGAAACGAACGAAGATGATAAAACGACTCAAGTTCATTGAACTCTAACGCGAATGGCATTTCGTAAACACTAGGTGTCGGACTATTTGCTGACGGACGATTTTACGACTAGATCGTCGTACGATTTTCCCCAAATCGGCAGAAAATATGGTTAAAAAGAAATAATACAATTGATTTACCCGTGTAAGGAAAAATTGCTGTTTTCACCTGTCTTACATTTGCATACGAATGTCAAGTCAAAATCGACTGGATTCCAACAAATTCGGTGAATTGCCATCACGGTGATCGGTCTCCGTATTACACGGAGCAGAGTTCTCCTGGTATTTTTAGCCGACAGGATGCCTGGAATCGTCGATTTTTGCAGAAACGATACCGAGGCTGCACGCCGGTTTCTTCTTGTCTAAGAACACCGGGGGATTCCCCGATCGCGAGCGCGTCAAATTACGGCCCAAGGTGGCTGACCGTTGGCGGTTTGAATCCACTCTCGCTGCTAAATTCCCCGACAAACCGTTCAGAAAATTGTTCATTCCTCATACCTAGAGATAGGTAAAATTCGAGTAATTTTCTTCTTCAATATCGTATTCGATTACGTGAACATTAAATTTTTCTTCTCAAAATCCACTTCCCATAAACATTTCACTGAAAGTAACCGGGTTCGTTCGTCGGGAAAGTCCAAGGAAAAACGGGGCCGTTGGAGGGGATCCGACCTAGGATCCCAAATCCACGTTAATCCCGTTATTATAAAACGCAACGAGCATCGATTACGTAACGCATTAACTTTCCAGCTGATGTTAAAATAGCATCGTTACGGGGGTAGTCCCGCAAAGCTCGTTACATGCGACCGATTTAATTATAACTTCCGACCGCGTCCTTTGCGTGGATACATGTCGGTTTAGTACAGAGACGCATAAGGGAGAGGGCGCGGACGGTTGTATTAATCGGAGATAAAGGATATATCAATGTACATCTGTGCACAATGAATGGATATAGAGTCGAGGAAGAGACCAGATGCGAAATATCGACTTTTCATCATTCCCCCCATCGTCACGAAATGTAATTCCCCTCGTGTGTAGATTTCCAGATCGAACGGTTATCAGCTCGCGAACCTGTCCTAGCTGCAAGGCTGATGAAACCGTACGATTCGAGACGTTTGCCGGTGCTCTTGCATCATGAGCTCTCGGTAGGTAGACACAGACGGTGTGTCTATGTACATAGTATATCCGACGACGCAGGGCACGTGTTATCGATCCAAGTCATCCCCATGATGATGCGTTCCTTCGTCCGGTAATACAAATACGACGAAACCAATTCGTATCGGTTTTCGACGTAATAAAAAAACAGGTCCCACCTTTCCGTTCATTGGACGGACCAAGAACTCGTGGATTGCAAACTGAACGATCCAGTACGAACACATCGTCTTGCTCTAGAAATTCGCCACGTCATTCATAGATGTTTCCTCTCTGTGCCTTTTTTTGCTCTAATGCAATGGGGGAGACTGAAGAAACATTTCCAGACGTCGCAGAAAATCCCTGACCCGGACACTGTCGTCGGTCGATTCCATCTAGGGTTGCTTTTTTTACGCCCGTGACGACGTGCTGCCCACTTTCTTGTCGGTTGCGTCGGAATTTTTCACGTTCTCCCACGCGGTTACACCACGTAAACCGACGGTTCGTAACATCGAAGAATGTTACAAATTCTATATACGTGTCCAATCTCGAAGACGATTCCAGTGTTTTATTTAGAGTATATTGTTAGAACTATAAACGTTTCTGTTCAATTAAAGAATAACGATTGTAATTCTTTCAAATCGTTCTGCGAAACTTTTCAAGTAATAAAATAACGCGCAATAATTCTATATTTTTCTATAAGCATACGATCAATCCGCGATAGGTGAAAGCTTCATCTGTAACGTGCAACCGTTAATTAGTGTTTAATGTTCGAGAAATTTCGTAATCGAAATACTTTTCAAGATCTGTACCTACATACCAACTGTTCACCGCGATGCAGGTCAAAAAAGGTCAGAAGTCGTTCATAGGAAGGAATACCAAGAAAGCTTTTGTCCTTCGTGTTACTCCGTTTCGCGGTAAAACTTTCGGAAGCGTCGATAAAAAAGCTCCGTTTCTGTGTATGTATATATGTAGTAACACAGAAGCTCGCGACGCTTTATCTGGAATACCCAATGGTAGTACAAGAGGCGATAGTGGGGGTAGCCGGCGTATAAAACCAGCTCGCGCGCGGCCGTCGAGGTCATTCGTTACTCGAGCTCCGACAAGTCAATTTTTCGTCATCTACCAAATCTACCGAGTCACCCAGCCACACGAAAATTCCTTGGAAAAGCTTTTCGTTATTGCATAAGCAAATCTGTGTGACGGTGGTGTATAGTTGAATCCAGAAAGAAGACTCTAGTAAATCTAGTGGAACCATCGACGAGTGGTGCCGGTTTCTTGTGATAAACCTGTCGATCAAAGGCCGAGAAAATTCCTACATTCAGTGAAGTGTGCAAAGGAGGTGCGACCAGGAGTACTACGAAACAGAAGAAAGAAATACTCACAGATATGACACGCTGCCACAGCCTTCAATCGTACACGTCCGCGGGGATGACAGACAGGTATTTAATTTGACACAATCACGCTCGGTTACCGCATGTGACGAAACCGCTCGCTTTCACGTGGAGAATCTTAGATAGGCGAAATTTTCATTCCCGGTCGTGTGGATAAACTGAAAAACGTAGTGGCATCGTAGTAATTTTCATAGAACTTTTTTATCTTGCTTTGAGATTGTTTATTTAACGAATCATTTGTCCCATCTACGAGGAATCGTCTACGTTACTGCGAACGGCGTCCGTGGCTTATCTACAGACGGCTCGTGAGATGGATTGATCTTGAACTCACACGGGTATCTCCAATTACCCTATCTCGTGTGGGTATTACCACTACTTCAAATAGAAAAGTAGCGATCGAAATAACTCACTAGCTGTCACGTATAAATTCCTAGTCATCCGATGATTCTCGAGAATTGCAATGTCGATTAAATTTTCCAGCGGAACGCTTTGGACAGACCAGAAAGAAACTGCTAGATGCCCCAGAGGTACGATAACCTGCGGTATGCTGCCCACGTTACGCGCTCTGGCATCCAAGGAATGCGAGAACAGTCAGGGCACCGTCTGTCTCGTGCCGTTCGACACAGAAATGGACTCCGCCAGCCACCTGCAGATGATCCTATTGGAGGCGTATTGTCGTGAGACCGGGATCAAGGTGTTACGTGTGTCCAGAGAGAAGATACGGGATCACTTGTGCCCAGGAGGCGGTGATCTTTCGTGCGTCCTGATCTCGAACGTCGATCCATATTTCCTCGAGACACCTGAGTGAATTCGGACCTGCTTGGAAATCTTCATGAACCAGAGAATATTTAGTCTCGACTAAACACAGTCATGTGATTATTTCGGCAAGGCGCAACAGAGTCCGATGAAATACCGATGGACGAATGGGAGAGTTTCTGAACGATTTTTTCCGTGACACCAGTTCGTGTATTCCGTGAACCGACAAAGCGTGGAAGGTTACACACCACGATAACGGACTACGATGTTCTTGCGATAAGAAGGGAGAAATACTTGCTGCGTATATTTATCGATACCCGTGAATATTCGTTGCGAGAACCCACGGGGATCATTTGCGGCTGCACGAACGAGAATACGCAAACCAAAGGATGTACCAACTTCGCTGGTCTAGTTACGAATAACGTGCATGTATATACATACGACGATTATGCTGTAATTGTTGATAGGAGGAGCAAAGAGCAATTATTTTGTAATTGTTGATTATGAAAGCTGTTGTCACTCGACTATTTTGTAATTATATATCCACTATTGAGAAAGATGACTTTGTTGATTTATTTACATCCTCACTCCTTCTTCCCTCTCGAAATCCCTCTCTCAATTCTCGAAACTCCCATTGCAATAAGATGATCCGTGTTACCTTAAAACCAGCGATATATGTTTCATTTCTCTATCGATAGGTCTATTTAGTAGGCTTGAAGATTATCAAGTACTTCCTGTTCACTTATTTCAATCTCTTCACAGCTTGCGAAATACCTACGGAGCTCCAATATCTCGTCTATGGAGGATTTACAAATCCTGAGCGTGACGTGAGTAGGTACATTAAACATTAAAACGTTCAGTTACCCCGTAATGACGCCCGACACCTATGCATTGTATCTTGAAATCACGTATCAATAGAGAACTGGGCGAAGTAGACAGTTATCGTTAATTCGATTAATTATGTAGGCCCACGTCCGAGATCACATTCCATTTTTTCGGGAATTCGGAGGACGGCGACAAAATCCGAGAGTCCCTTAACAGGCTGGTACAGCGCCGACGGCTTAGCGAGATCTCCCTTGAGTCGACTCACTTCACTTTTCAGCAAAAGCCAGCTCTTAGATTGCAGGTACTCCTTATTCTTCCGAGTTCTTGAACATTGCCATGTTGGATGTTACGTTGATATAAGATCGACGCTACACTTAAGTAAAGTAGCTACTGTAGTTAAGTAGATAATGTATATATCCACTATTCGAAACTTACAAGTTTCTTTTATTTAATTAATATCGCCCATTAGAGTCTCCGCCTCAATCGGGTGAACGAACACGAAGTTCATCTCGGGGATCAGTTAATTCTTTCTTGCGTGGCCCAAGGCAGTTACAGCATCAACTTCACCTGGTACAAGGACAACATGCTAGTGAACATAAGCAAGGCTACCAGGTAATAGGAAGCATATTCTTCAACCTGTCTCTATAAAAGTTCGATCGCTGAAGGACGTTGATCCTTTGAAATAGCGTGGTGTCATAAATTTCTCAAAGTAACACATAGAAGTGAACCAGCAGAAGTGATTCAATGATCGAATTACAATGGTTCCGTTTATATGACTTTGTTGTGCAGAGAGATCGGATATAAGCATCTTCCAAATGACGCATCGGACCTGCACACGTACTTATTGACGATCGAGAAGACGACCTTGCTCGATGCCGGTCAATACACTTGTCAGGTAGCTGACTGGGGTGTACAGCAATGTAAAAGCATGTACGTTGACGTGAAGGACGAGCCCGACGTAAAAGTGATGCCTATGAGCGCCACTATAGACAAGGTAATGGTGAAAAACCGATCCTTTTAAATATATTTACCGACCGCCTTTACTCTTCTCCCAGGGGGGTAGCACACAATTGACGTGCATGACACCCAATATGCCTAATATTGGTATAGGGTTCGGTTGGACGAAGAACAAGGCTTTGCTCAAGCTGGAACCCGGAAGTGAGGTGTGGGAGGATCTTTATCCCACTGGAAGTATATTGACGATCACAAATTCGCAGGTATTCCCGTATAGTTGTGTCGGCTGCTGCCGTTTTCGTGCGAGTGTCTTCACTGTTTGTCTATGCTTTCAGAAATCTGCCATATATACTTGCAACGTGGCTGATAAGTCAATGTCTGTCAGAGTTGAAATAGTTAACAGAAGCCACATACCAATTTGCCTGAGAGGCAAATCGTGGGATTTAACTTGGCCCGATACAGCACCTGGATCGGAAGCATTGCTCGAGTGTCCTCAGCACTTTATAGGCAAAAAGGTGTCCAGACTGTGTTCCATGAAGGATGCCACTACACCCGAATGGCAGACTCCGGATTTCTCTTATTGTCTGTACGAACCGTTCACCTCTCATTATGATAAGGTACCAACCGAGCGGATAAAGTTCAATCGATATCAAGGGAAAAGTACCAAACGTTACCCTTTGTTTGCAGTTTAAAAGCCTCACATTAGGCTATCAGAACACCACCGGGTCAGAGACAATATTCTCTTTTTGGGAAATCCTGCGATCACGTGGATTGCCCCTGTATCCTGGCGAGGGGGATCGCATATTGGGCATGCTAGCGGAAATCGAACGTTATCAGTATTATGTCGATCCATTAGACTTACACGCCTCAACAGAGGCCCTGATACGTATTATCAGCCGAATACTCAACGATGAAAATTCCATCCTGAATCAACAGGTAACGGCGACTCCGATAAACTGACAAACAGAAATGAATCATGTCTTTACCATTTCCAGAAAGTATTGCTGCTGTTGCAAATTACGCAACGAAGTTTGACGCACTGGTGTAGGATGGCACGTGAGCCTTACAAACATATGTCCCTAACTTCTTTGGTGGTAGACATCCGAGGATTACAACAACACAATGGTGACAGTATCACGCACTCCCTTCAGACCCCTCTGGACGATTCCATGTAACTATTACTAGGAAGAAATATAGTCATAGATATTCTATTTATTCAACGAATTGTTCTTAGGTATCCCAGTTGGTACGACGATACGGTGGCTGTAAGGTTGTGGAGAAAGAGACAACGGGGCCTGAAGCTGAACGGCACTCTTAATGGAATTGTGGTAGTTTACAAAAATGTGTCCCACTTCCTTCCAACTGCATATGTCAAGGAACTCGAGTGAGTGAATAAAGTGATGTCCAGTCCATTACGATATCTGATGTTTTCACTTAATTCTAGTGTTTAACTTTCATAGCGATGGTACCGACCTCGAGTTCCGTATCAACTCCCGTGTCATTATGATAGCAGTGCCAGCCTTCAGTCTGGACAAGCATAACAAAATATGGGTAGACTTACAGATGAGACACATCCAAAACCAATCCAGTTCTTGGAACATGTCTTGTGGTTTCATGGACAACACAGGCAGCTGGGATCTGAATAGCTGCATAGCCAATACTGCACCAGGGGATGTTACCACTCACTGTTTATGTCCTAACACAGGGACTTTTGCAGTTTTTCTAACGGCTCGTGCAGTGAGAGTAAGTTTATACCGTGCGATTGAGATTCTAGATTAATCTGTACTTTCTTTCAGGTGGTACTAGCGAAGAAAGAGCAAACCACATTCATCGTAATATTCGGATGCGGTAGCTGTTTAGTCCAGTGTTTTCTGTCTTCCTTAATTCTTGGAACTTTCTGGTGGAAGAACCGCAGTTGGCTGAACTTCCTGAAGCTTCAGTACTGTTGCGCTTTATTTGGGGCAATGGCTGTCTTCATTTATGCTGTACACAACAATCTCCCTGAGGTACTTGAAACATCTTGATGAAATTTCCTGAACTTGGCATTGTTATATCACTTTATTTCAGAGCTCCTACGCTATTGTAGCAATATCATTAGAAGCTTTCCTTCTCGTTGGTATGTCTGCACCCATATCTGAAGCATTGATCATCTATGCTGGCTTGACACAAGTCCGATCTGGTCAACACTTTCAGCCGACCGTCATTGCAGTAATTACCGGTATGGATTAAATGTGTTACAGAAAAAATAATCTTCCGATTGAACGTTCTGTTATATAATATGATGATCTGATTTAGGTGTCCCTATCTTAGCTGTTCTGACCACTGAACTCACACGCAAGAGTACTGGCTGGAGACACGAGTCCTGGTGGCTGATTTTCGGCAGTGGAGTTTACAATATATTCGTGACTTGCGCTACTATGATGTTTTTTATATTTGCTGTATTATATTTAGGTATTTTACATAAAGCGCATACACTAGTTGATGAGAATGTGATGAAGAAAGAGGCAATAGAAGCAAGGTATAGAGCTATGTAACACTATAGTCACACTTGCCAACTACATATTCATAAACTCCTGCAAACTAACATGTTTTCTTCATTTCAGACTACGAATGCTTCACCGAGCGGCTATCGTTATTTGCGGTGTAATTGCGATGGAAGCATCCTCCATTTTCTATATAAACTCCACCTCCATTATTTTCCATTATGTGTTTGCATCCCTTTCATCTGTTCTGGTAAGCACTTATTATTGATAATACCTGATGGTTCCTAATCAATAATCTACTTACTTGCAGGGATTCGTCATAATAATGGTCTACATCGTGAACGGTGAATTGGCAATTGTTGATTTGATCTTGAGGAAACTGAGATGGAAAGAGGCAACAGAGGAGGAGATAACGTCTGAGCCAATTAAAGGTATCTCATGAAAGAAGGCTACAAACAGGTTCAATAGTACGTTGAATTAAAACTGGGTTTTTGCAGTTGATGTTTGAGGTTTCCAGGTATAAGTCATGTTCTGTCTGATCATCATTAATCTTCAAATTGAGCTGAAATAAAATCAAAGCATTAGTTGACTTGCGTACAAAGAGAGCATCAGTTATATATGGACAAAGACTGAAATATAACTTGTATCACTCATAGGACTACATAAGACACTTCTATCATTAGAATATCCTTTGTTATAAATTTTTAATTAATTATCCCAAATCCCTTCAGTACTGCCACTTTGGATGAAGATATATATCAATTTTCCAAAGTAGATTAAACGAGAAGCTAATTTAACAGAAACAGAAGTAACTACACATTAATATCATCAGTCTACCAATGAAGCCAATTGCAATGTTATTAATTATAACATACATTCAAATAAACATGGCTGTTATCCAGAAGTCTGAAACAATATCAACTGAGAGCCTGGGCCAGAATTCTGTATACACTTTATTAGAAATCGAGTTCGTTTAATCTTTTCCTAGTTTGCTCAAAGAGTGGTGCAGAGGTAGACAACGATACAGCACCACCTCTGTCATCCTTAAGCTTGGGAGAGTCCTACATGGAAGCTCGTGGGATCGCAGCTGGTAGTATAGACATGCGCGAGTTCGTGAACGAGTCCACGTCTTCGTACTCGAAACCTTCCGTCCCCGTTGCTAGCAGATTCTTGCCGGAAATACGCATCGATCATTCCGACGACATAAATCTGGAAAATTACAACACGAGCCCGCGGAAGTACCAAGAGACAATCTCATTTGACGCCATGTTTTCTTCACGGACGACCCATTGCGCGAATGAACCGTACAGTAACAACGAATGCTGCAGTTTCCGTGAATACGGCAAGTATCGCGAGCCACCAGGACAACAGATTTTTATACCGCACAATCCAACCCCGGATAGCTCGGCGAAAGTTTTGTGCAGCGCCGATGTCGAATCACGTTTGACCGGTATGCCGGATGTCACTCTGGCCATTAAAAGTGAAGCCGAATTGTCCACAGCGGAATTGAAGACCAGAGAACATGTGAATGTTATTCCTGATATAGCAAATACCACCGAACGCAAACAACCTGACGGAGAAGAAAAAGCACCGGAGATCGTGATACCGCACGCACTCAACAGACAGTACTTAAAACTTTCATCTGATGTATCATTTGATATGTTCGGTGATCTAGTTAAGTAATGTGTTCAATGCTTTTCAATGATTGCATTTGTACATATACAGAATTCCATATTTCTGAAAAAATCAAAAGTGGTTAGATCTGATATCCAAACTACTACCAGCTCTCTTATTTGAACACAATGGGTGTTGTACAAACCTGATGAGATCTACTTACAAATAACTCCTAAACTATTAAGGCTCAATGTACACGAGCATGCGATACCGCAAGAGAACAACAAAATTGTGACAATTCGACAGGTCACACCGTATGTATTTAGCTAGTGTGCCCGCAAGCGATCACATCGGAATGTCATCACTGGTCATCAGTCATCACTACTGGTCACTACGAACCCGCAACGATACCGCATCACTCGTCTGCACCGAGCCTAATTCCTATGAAATTGAAGACGATAGGAACATGATTCATTGAGAAGCATTGCTCTATATGTAATCAACATGAAATATTTTAAGAAATCCTAATTGTTTTTTATGTTCTCATTTAATTATTATGAAACATTACTCCACCACCAATACATACGTATGCTAAAGGAAGTGTACAGGAAGGTTCCATTCGACGCGTGCATCTAACAAATAATCGAAATGCAGTACTTTTTAAAAAATGTTATTATCGTCATGATTTATAATATTGTTTGATATTATGTTTGATCACATAACAAAGACCTAGCGTTGTAAGTGTATTACATTACGCTTGCAGTGTATTAAGCTAAACTCTCTTTCTCTCTCTCTCTCTCTCATTAAATGTTCTCAAAAAACATCGATTAATAAGCAGACTCTTTATAAGGATGTTTTTTCATTATACGCCATCCATAAAAGTGTTTTACATTGATGACACCTCATGATTCTCCTTTTACTATGAAATCACACAAATAAATTTTTTATAGAATACATTGTTTTTCGGGCTGGTATTTCCCTGTATCCACAGACTTCCAGACACAAAGTACATAGGAGCAGAAGCCAGAACTGACCAGGAGACAGGATCGACAGTTTCAATGAACGAATAACAAATTTCAAGCAGTGGAATTTCGAGTTATAGTATTTATTTATCACTGTCATCATACAGCCCTTTCATAATATCCACGATTCAGTCATCGCACTTTTTTTCTCTCGTTTCATAATTTTAATTATAAAGCTATACACATTCAATTTAGTTTCAATAACTCTACTTACATACTTAAGGTCGAAGTTTATGTTGTTGGTAATAGTTGTTTTTTTTTTACCGCTAGTATGGTTAGTCGTTTGCTTAGTGAAATGCGTCACTGAAGTTTCTTTTACCGAGGTACGAAATTGGAGCAGTATTCTCTTGGCCAAGCACGTGTTATAAATGCAAAAAGACATAATAAGGTCGGTGTTAGTTTGTTAGCACTCGAATATACCTATATGACTAGTTTTCTGTGTCAACAGATTTTTCTTAAAAATATAAATTATTTACAAGGATTTCAGCTAATTTTATCGAGATTTAATAACCTTGGTTTAATCACATCAATAATACCGAAGTATAGGAGGGCCGTGGCTGCAACTGATCACTATATTTTCTTAAAAAAAAAAAAAAAATAAAACGCCACCTGGTCTCTTCTTTTATTTCATTCATTCGGAACAATAAATATAATTCGATAATTCAACTTGGGGATGATGGATTATAACATATTGAGTATTTAAGCGAAAACAAGTGCGGAGTTTGTAGTCTTCCTCGTATCTATCATTTTCGCATTGCTGTACGATCGAGCTAGTTCCGTACCCAATACCTAAATCGTCCCTTCCTCTTCTTCCTCCTTCTTCTAATCCGTCAAATTGTATATACAAAATAAATTTCTATTATACATTTCGTCACATCGCGATACAAGGTAATTTCCCTTTATTTCAATTATTACTTCAAATAATTTACCCAAGCTCTCGAGGAATTCAAACGTTTACTAGTAGAAATGCCCTTTATATCAGCCTAATAACGGGTGACAATAGACGAGTGAAACAGGAGTAGACCGATTCGTAATAACTAGACGCAATGTCTTATACTTGTTACATTTGTAATCTCAATATTCTCGTTAACTGAAATCGCAAAACGCGCCCTTTATTATTATTATTTTTTTGTTTATAATCTCAGTTTTTCATATTATCTTATAGCTTATAAGAATAATGAAAACCGATTGATTATCCAATAAATGAAATTTGACATAGAACAGCTTCTCGTGTTCTCGAGAGAAATCAATACTCGATTATACTGCGTTAAGCCTAGTGGTTTAGCCACGGCACCCTTCTTTTTATCCTTTTGTTTCTTTTTTTGTTTGTTTTAATTATTTTAATTCCATTCTTTCTTCCTGTTTACTTAAATATAAAAATACATAGCCAGTCTATACATAGAGCGTGCAAAGTGGCACAGTGAACTGAGTTACCAGATATCCTGGATGGTTAACTACCGCTCTCAGTATTCGTCGGTGGTTCAGCTTCGTCGTGACTTTTGCTCGTGTTACTCGAGACGGGGAGACCTGAGGTTTTTGGCAGCGGGTTAGTTACACTATCACTATTGGATGTTGTCGCATTATATATCGAGTTATCAAAGTGTTGCAAGCATGGAAATTCTGGACCAGGCAGCAGTAAAGTAGTTTGGGTGGGAAGATTAGTTAATGATACCATTCCTGGTGTCATCATTTGCTTGTTAAAACAACTCCTTAATGCCTCTTCGATTAAATTCGCTATCTTATCACGATCGTTCTACAAAAAAAAATCGTATTTTCTTAAGTGTTGCCCGTAAATACGATAAACGGATTAATCAACTACGCCTAGGAGCAGAAATTCAGGTGTCTTGTCCACAATATCAAGATATATCTAGCTTTCAACTTTCAAAGTGGTAACAGAGATAAAAGAAACATCAAAGACAAAGACACCTAACTTCTTGCTTCCGAACGTGACAATATGATTCATCAATGGATGGAATAATTACCTCGTTAATGAACCCAAAATGTACAAGTTCCTGCGCGAGGAGCATCGATGTATCTATTTGGCTCACAGGACACGTTAATTGCCTATTCATTTTGTCATCCATTCGTAACAATATTGTCATCTATAACACACATAACAGGCATAAAGGAACGAACCAATCTGTCTGTGACATTATCCTTAGAAATAATATCTTACTCATCACTCACAAGTAATTCACAACTTTGTTCTCTAGGCTTAACGTTACACATCATATTAACTACTCTTCGAGACTCAACGTCCACTGGCTCTGGCGTAACCGACTTCACCGATTCGGTCACCTCGGGCGATATTGCTCTAGGCCGAACGGGTGGTGGTAATTTTGCCATAAATGCTGTCAATGGGTATATTCCATATCTATTAACAGAAAAGGTTGTGGGTACCGTTAACGGGCCAGAGTTATCGTCCAAAGTTCAGTCCTGAAACCACCATCTACGACCATCAGGTTATACTCACTTTACATCTTCGACAAACTTCTCTAATTTCTCTGTAACAGGGATATCACTTAACCGAATTTGCTGAGGCGGTCGACCTTGATATTTGATTTCGGCTACTACTGTATCCGGTCCGTATAACCTTTGCAGTACCTCATCGGTTATCGTTTCCGAGATGTTGGCTGCAGGAGCAAAAGAAATTTTATGAGTAAATCTCCTCCAGTTCTATTATTACAACAAACGTACACATTGTAATATTAAATGCCAGAAAGATAAGATAAAGATAGTTATTATTAATCCTGCACTGGAATACATGGATCATTTGAGTGGATAAATTGATTAATGAATTTCAGTTTTTTTTTTCTAATTACCAATTTCCGAACGTCCATCCTTCATTTTTTTTTTTTAAACTTCAAAGATTATTGTTATGAATTACCCATATCTACTATTTAATGGTCCCAGAAGTATGTGATGACAAGATTAAACTTACTAGCTGAATTAACCAGGGCATGGGCCGCAAGTAATTTTAATGAATGTACTTCGAACAGGACAGGATGAAAAAGGAGTTCCCTGGCACTTGGTCTACTAAGAGGGTCTACTTGAAGACACTTCCGAATGAAGTCTTTCTGTTGGCCATCGTCTAAAGATTCTATCGTTTTTCCAACGTTATCTTCGGTTACGATTGTTCCGCTATCACCGTTCCCTTGAATTTCTAAAGCGGCCATTTCCAAGGCGCACATACCAAATGAATAAATATCAATGGCGGGGGTTACAGAATCTGTAAACACGAAAGCAATATAAATTTTAATATGAATTTTATTTAAAAATTACTGTGATTACTTGAATTCACTTACTTCCATATTCAGGTGCAACAAAATGCATGTTTTTCATGTTTGCTCTACAAGTTTTCACATGATGATGAATCGCATCTGGAGCCACTGGAATTAGAATGAGAAAAGAAATATTATACAAAATGATATGGAAAAAAAAAAAAGAAGTAATAGTCCTTGTTCGAATACCCGCCACCTCTGCCATAACAAATAAATTAATAAACCTCTAGAAAAATTGTGTTGTAACTGAAAATTTATCCTAAGAGTAACTTGAGCCCTCATACAGTTAATAGTCTTTGGATATACATATAGGGAGAAGGTCAAGTGGTAATACAGTATACAAAATACAAATCACTATTATACAAAGGTAAACTTAAACATATACATTTGACTATATTCACAGTCTGAAGCGACACTGTTATCGAGCATGGTGAAACTTTTGGCTAAAGGAATGGACTTCTGGATCTCGTTTTATTGATAATGAAGGATACAAAAAAAAATATTATAATACAATAAAGATGCGTGCGTCGAATAATGGTTCAGAAGGTTGAGAAGACACAAAACGCTCTGTCCTTTTCAGATTGTAATTGTTTAACTCCAAGGATGAATAGTGCAATATAATAGCACTAACAGTATTAAATTAAATAGACATGAATATTTTTTATTAACGTGTAATCGATCTATCAATAATTAAGATGTAGATATCATTAATATATACATACATAAATGGGAGTGTTTACCTCATTACGCCTAAATTACTTAGCTGGCAACTGTTGTTGATTATCTGCCAAATGTATTTCCACCAAATTCACCATCTTTTCACAATTTACACCAACCGAAGAAGGTCGAGGTCGCTTGATTTATCCCTCCGGATCGGCGAAAGTACGATTGTACTTCCTCTCTCGTCGAAGACTTTGCTGTGTTTTTTTTCATTATCTAGATTAGCCTATCTGCTACAATTAAAAACGAGGACTCAAGTTACTCCTAATATGTAAAAGCAGTTTATACACAATCTTTCTAACAGATTTACGTTACTAACGGACTTGTACAACGGAAAGTTTATATGTATGTAGAATGAATGTAAACTCAGTCACAGTGATTATTAGAAATGGTTCTGAGCTGATTGATTCATTATTAAAACGAAATACTCAAAGCACATTGAGTTTCCAGTAGAATTATCAACCATATCCGCAGAAACAGTATTCCTTTTCCATATGTCATTGATCTCATTATAAGACTCAATTAACATTATCTCACATAAGAAAGATTATGTTATAGCACCAAATGAAAGTTTCTTTGAAAGGCATACATAAATCATTCCCTTTTCCACGCATTATAATCGTTTTATAATATCAAAGTATTGTTTACACATCAGTTTAGTCTGATTATATTATCTGTCGGGCACAGATCGATTTGGTAATTGTATAAGGTGTTATTTTATTACTGTAGATTGGATAATCGTACGAGACAATCACAGTAATAGCAATATACGTACTTTGCGTATACCCCACGTAAGAACAAAAATAAATACCAGTTAGGTTTAGAGTTGTTACTTTAACTTCACCAATTCGTCGGTAATAATCCTATACTGTGAAATTTTTGTCTGTATTACTTTCTTCCAGGAAAATTATGAGAAACAAAACTATTAGCCTCTCATTGTCCTGTGAATAAAAAAATGGGAAGCGCCTTGCAAACTCCTACTCCAATGTACACTAAATTATTTCATTTAAGGATAAATGCTCTCTTCAATACCTACGAGCAGTTATGTATTGATACTTGTTAGCAGTCTTTCAATATATACAGTATAAATATACTTAAGACTGTACTCTCACCAACATATAATATCCTTCACATAATGAAAAGTTCTTTATATTTTGCCATGAAAGTACTTACCCGAGCCAATTTTTACAAGTCCATTATGTTGAATAAATATAGTGTCACAAGTGAGATTTCCATGAATAATTGGAGGTGAACAGGAATGTAAATAACTGAAACAATTTTAACCAAAGTTGATAAGCATACAATACAATATACAGGTATGAAATCAATATGTTTTAAGAAGTTCAAAACTTATACAAGGAACTGTGTTACCTCAATGCAGATAGTATTTGGGTACACCAACGTTTCCATGCTTGCAGAGGTAATTTTTTTACATTACGTTTTGTTCGTTTTAGGAACTGTTTCAATGACCCAGAGGACATGTACTCGGTTATAAATATCACCTGGCAATCAATGGAAAAATGTGTTAAGAAACATATGTCATATTCGAAATTCCAATCTAATAGTAAAGACAGAATTATATTTGACAACTTACTCGAGGCTTATCATTGTGGGTATCCGTCCAATACCTATGAAATTTAACAATATTTGGGTGTTCTAATTGTGTCAGGTTCTCAAATACAAGTTGTATTTTTTCTTCTTGTGCTTTGAAGTTTTTCCTTTCAGAAAATTGCACCTCGTTCCACACAACCTCAACACCCTCTTCTGTATCCATTGCCAAGTAGGCACAGTCGATTCCTGGGACATCACGTTGCTCCACCTATGTAACAGACATTATTTATGAGAATACATTGTTCTATTCATGCATAAACACATCCACCCCTACTACACACACACACATGCTAAGAAATTATTCACACAATGCAGATCAACAGCATAAAACACAAAATGTTAGTTTATTTATAGCTATAGTTTACGTTTACACATGTAATATATACATCAATATTTATTTACAAGATCTAAAAGCTACACAGAGCAAAAATAAAACCAGACTATTAATACACTGTAAACATGTATGTATGGAGTAACAGAATATATTACTGCAATCATTCACTTTAAAGTTACTCAAAACACAACTCAAACAATTTGATGCCCAATTTACTATTACATCAATGTGACCTTGCAAGGAATTTAAGGAGGGGAGCTCACATGGAGACAGGATTGTCATTGCAGGTATCCATGTTATTGTAGTAGATTGAAGTAATATATATAGATTCCCACCAAATTAAATGGTACATTTTCAAATGCTTCGAAACACAGACCAAGATACATAAAACAGATGAGATAGCCTATTTTCCTTTAAATAGACATACCTCCATTTCAGTGACTTCGTTTTCACTGCCTCTGGCTGCTCCAAAGGTAGAGCCTTCAGCTAATGTGGACTTGGAACCTACATATACCTAACATAAAATAATAGTTATTGAACAACAAATAGGCAAACGTATCTTTTACATTTATTTAGTATTACATTTCTCTTCAACATTAACCACAACAGAAACATTGTTGATTTTTCACTGAAATAAACTGATCTTTTAGTGCACAAAAAAATATACCCTAAATACTATAAAATAATCCTCAATCACTCTTTTATTTCTATCATTACGTGTCTTAGGATTACATAAAATAACAGAGAGAGAAATGTGTTAGAACAAAACAGTCTTGTGTTAATGTAAGTAGTCAATGGTCCAACTATGCCAATTTATTTTTAGGATGAAATATGAAAGGGATTGCTGTTGGTAAAAGCTTAGTGCCAAGAAGTTGTTGAAGATCAATCTATAGATAATGTGTACTGAAGAGTGCTAATGTTTACACAGAAACATATACTTTAAAAGTCCAGAAATTATTATAATACAAGTCCCTATTATATGTACTTGTAATACATTATCTTGGATTTTTCTCTTCATCTTCTCTAGTCTAATATTAACAAACTTTCAATTACTCCGATCAATAAAAAAATTATTAAATCTCGATGTAAGACTTGTTAACCATTTCAAGAGATAATATAGTTTAAATCACAAAAGAGAGAACTGAATAACCATCTCATGTTCCCAACATATAATATCATTTATTACTTGTACAACAAAATGTACACACATCCCATTATTGTAAACGAAACTATGCTCTCTGTATAGGAGAAATTCTTCATAGAGAATGAATAAATAGGCAATGGTTAAGATACATAGAGAGAACGTACACGTCCGATGCATTAGGAGCTGTACAATACGGTGACAAACTGAATCCATACGAATGAACAAATATGGTGATATGGACAGATACATTCGTAAAATGAATAGTAATGAAATAAAAGGGAGAAAAGGTGGATAAAAATAAAAGTACCTCTTCCCGGCGTTTGAGCCACCGCCCGCAGGGGCTCTCCTCCAGGATTTCACTCTCATCCTCGGAATCTTCACCACTTTCCCGCGGTGACTTGTGCTCTGGGTCCGTGCTGGAGCGACTCCCGGGCATCACACACGCGATTAGTTGAAGGAGTAGCACCGAACAGAGCGCAACGCGGCCAAACTCATGGATGGCAATTCCACGACGGGGTTGCTGCTCAATGTTGCATTTGTGCACCGCTGCCGAGAAACACACACGCGCGCGCTTGAACACGTCTAATGGAGAATATTAGGTAGCAGTTGAACGTCAGGCTCGAATTGTGATCTGGCACCAGGCAGCAGCAATAGCAGCAGCAGGAGCACTCACAGTGTGACACATGCAGCGACAACCCGAGTCGCAGGATACCCGGAGTTGCGATATTTCTGATCTTACGCGGTCACGCGCACGGATCCACGGTTTCTGGTCTCCCTCAGGGCTTGGCCGGTGTACCGGACATCGCGCGAACCACTCGTTGATCACACTGTCAAAATAAAAACTTCTGTTATGAGCGAAATAGGTCCAATGTGACACACACTCTGGTATTCATTTTCGCTCTGTCTTCGGTCACGTTCGCCCAGTATGGCGATCACCGTGTACCGCACCCCTTTTCGAGCCGATCCGGCTGCTACCTGACGACTGCAATCGCAACTACGTTCTCGAAATTAGAAAAGCTCGCACACGTTCCGCTGCACCGACCATGCGACAAATTGCACCATTGCACATGCTCCCCTATACTGCGGCGTAGTTCATGGTTGTTCACTGCTACAGGAAGGAGCATAAATGGTAAACACCTTTTGTTGTATTTCGCCAGCCCCACCACACCACTGACTGCCACTGACTTTTTACTTGCGTATGCTACACAACAGTGACCCTCAACTTATGTTAGTTTCAAAGGTTCACAATCATTCATAATTTAGAAACTGAACAGGGTTAACTACTTGACTATTATCTGACCTTTGATCGGTGCATTTTAAGCAAAAAAGAAATAGAAATAAAGGCTGAATTGAGATACGGTAACAAACTCTGTGAATCCACTATCCACTACTTACGGCTTTATAAATGAAGAACCGCTTTCCCGTACCTATAAAATGTACCGCTCGCCTAGCACCAGGAAAATCATTATGTTTGTTTTAAATATATAATGTTTTTTTTAAATTCTCATCTTTAAAATATGAGATTCGTAGCATACGTCGCACTGCAGATGATCAGAGCAAACTAGAAACTAGTAGCGAGTAGTTCAATATTTTTTTGGTTTCTATGCGATGGAATTATTGGAACGATTGATGAAAATTTTTATTTAAAGTCGATGGACATGTTGTATTTTACAACAAGCCGAGTGAATCTTACCGTTTCTTAAACTCCAACCTAAATTTTCAGATATATCGTATTCGAAGGTGATCTTCAAATACATATTCCGCCACGGAAACTTGCATCAACTGTTTGGTTATTGTTAACTTAATAGTTGATTATATGCGTAACGAATTACAATCTCCCGCGATGACGTCTATAAGAACACTGCCTTTGTTAGAAGGCACGAAATTAATCGTCCTTGACGAAGGTACGAGAATGTCATTTAAAAAATAATTTAGAACATTGCAAACAATAAAACTGTTCTGTTGCTATTTTTGTTTAGTTTTAAATGTACTTTAAAAAATGACTGAGACGTTTGTTTGTATGTATAAATTTCAGGGGTGGAAGCAATGTATGCAAGAAAATTAATTGCAGGATGGATACAAATGTGGAAAGATAAAGATTCTAATCATACATTTGACTTACTGTTGTTTTCTGATCCAAAGTCTGTATACCAACTTGAATCCGAACACTTCATGTCAAATAATGTGAACATTTATGATTATTACACTGTTGACACCAATCTGCTCGATATAAATACAATGTATGATAAGGACTTTGATATCCTTGAACATATTTTAAAAAATACAAAAACAAAGTCTACAGTAATCATTGATTGTTTGACATCTTTGATCTTATTTGTTGGCCTGTCCAAAGCTTTGTGGTTCTTAGAAAGATTAAGTAAACAAGTGCCACAATTGATCTGCGTTTATAGACGAGATTTTGTGCAGAATAAAATACCCTGTATAGAGACATTAGGAACTACATATGTAAGGATAGAAAGATTTTCTAGTTTGCATACAAATGATAATCTTAGCTATATTATAGAGATTATGCACCGTAAAGTAGGTGGCACAATTTTAAGACAATGTGAACTAGTAAACCAAAGCAATACCTCTCATGAGATTCAGTCAGAAAAGATTGAAACACAGAATAAACAACCAGATTTGACTTACGAAAATGAAAGACAAAAGATCGAATCTTCGTTCAGGATAGAAATTAATGAACATGAAATGAAACAAAGGCAAGAAACGATATTACCATATATGATTACATCGACTGCAACAAGTACATCCAAAATTCATTATCAACCAGAGGATATAGATGATATTGATGAAGAAGATCCAGATGATGACTTATGTATTTAACTCATATATTTGGTCTACTTATTATAAATGGTCAGGAGGTATTAACCTGTAGCACTACTTGAATACATTTGTATTCATGCCATTATTGTCTCAAGCAAAGTTATTTATTTTATACTTATTTTGCAGTTTATACAACATTGATGAAAGTCATATAGGTGTTATTGTAATAAAAATTGCTCAATAAAAAGTTTCCTCGAGGAATATTTGACACACATGAATTTATTAAAGCACCACTCTTTAAAATTATGTTATTGATAATGCAGTGATCACTTGAATTCTAAAACAACTCTGTAAAAAAATACAGACCCTCCGGAATGCTAGTCTCCCAATGATCATTAATAGTATGTAAAAATTTCAGAATAAAATAGTGGTTATATTAAGAAAATAAATTATTTCGTATTTATAGACTATAATGCAACTGACATAGATACAATTCTTAGAACAATATTCTTCTTTACAGCCTTCCAAAAAATAAATAATATTTTAAAAAAAAGGAACTATAAAAATCTAACTTTTATAAAGTTTGTATGCAATTAGGCATTAAATGTATAAAGCAAATTTTGATCGCTAAAGTGCTCCGTGCCGTCAATGTGCTGCAATACTCTGCTTTCTAATAAGCAACGACCGTATCGAACAGCATCGTCTCGATTTTGTGCAACACCAGCTTCGAGTAACCAATTAACTAAATCAGTCCCAGTGAAAACACTTTTATATACCTTTAACAATCGTCTACGACAAATAGCTATGCGAGCACGACATTCAACTAAATGGCAACGATTAAATTGTTCCCGAATGGCCCTCACATCTGGGCTTAAATCATCTTCAGGGGGTAACTGCAACTCTTTACCTACAAACATTTAATTTATATTACATATTTTGGGCACAATACTTGCAAATTATATTTCTTTCCGGTCGATTCTACAGCCACATTCTATCTCCTGTACTAGATACACTTATTTCTGTTTTAATGTTTTGTATAGGAAGAATAATGGTCTTACCAGTACGCCATTTTCGGCACATTTTTCTCAGCCAACAGCCCAGTTTCCCTAGACCAGGGTCTAAGCCAAAGATAGCGAAAGCGATTAACGACTGGCCAAAGTTTAAAGCAACGTCCAAGAAAGCCAGTTCCGCATAAATGCCAGTGAATTGTTCCATAATTAGTGTTCCAACCGATATAGATAAACCCTGTCGCAGTGTTGTATAACATTGATTACATTGCAACCGCGGCGATGACATTAAGTTGATAATTGCACATATTGCTAATGGAAAATTCTGTTGTTTACTCACAATAAACATAGAACACAGAAGCAATATGAGAAATACTAGATGTCGAAGCGTTTGTGGATCATTTGATGCGTTTCTTTCATCCTCTAAATACTGATCGCAGTCATCGGTCTCGTTATTACTTCTGCACACACCATTCGGACATCCATCTGAATATTCACAGCCAATGCTAAAATTATTATTTATTGTTTTTTTAATGCGATATACTTTAGCGTAATTTTCAGTTTAACAGTGTATAAAGTAAACGTACATCGGTGTACGGGAGGTAGGCGAAACTAAATCCTCAACATCTACCACGCGCCTTTGGACGTCTTCATCTGTAGAGTTTTCTATGTTATTTGCTAAATTGTTGTAGGACTCGGAATTGTGCTGACGCTGATATCTCTGATGTAAAACTAAACATCCCAATGTTACTGTAAAACAAATACAATTAAAAAAAGTCACTTTATATTATTCATCTTGCTATCCATTATTACTAACATACCTATAAAACAGAATATTAACACAACAGTAGATGTTGCAGCTTGAATTCTACCAAGCTGAAAGTTAGGATTTTTAAAAGCAAGATCGGATCCTTTTGACGTTACTGTACTGCACATTATAATTGCAATTAAAAATGGAACCCTGAAAATTGTAATATAACTTGTAACTATATTGTCGCGTTAATAATGAAAGAAACTTATTGTTTTTTATCATACCCCCATCCAACAGGGAAAAACCACTTCTGCATATTTTTAACAAAGTTCGGAGAACGGGTATTCAGATATAATAAAGTTGCAGCTATTGCCATGGTCCAGGTGCGACTCGCATATACACCAGAAGTGATTAAAATGAACTGAATATACCTGTAATAAATTTAAATTATACCATACAATATAAGAACAAAGAAAATAAAAGATAAGAGAAGGTTACCATAGGACAGATCCACTATTATGTGATTCGAGTTTGGTCCAAATAATCACACCTATAGCTGTAGCTAACTGAAAATATTAATATTTGCATAAACATTTATAGTATGTATTACATAGATTTCAACTAAAAATACATTACTACAGACCTGTGCAATTACGATGCATAATGTACACCGATGTGTAACGCATTTATATTTTTTTCTTCCCAATCCAACAAAACAGATGATTAACCATACACAAACTGTTATCGAAGCAATGCTCACATCGAATGAGAATACATTTAGCTGATGTGTGTAATTTGTTGGGGTAATTCCAGCAGAAACTGCGTCAATTAATTTTGCTGATACAAACATAAGTGGAGCAGATAAGAATGTACAAGCAACCATTGCTGATGCAATTAAATCAATTTCAAGGTTGTACCGAAGAGTAAAAATAAACAAAGCTGGTGCTGTTGGAATGGTTCCATACAAAAAGCCATATGTACTTAAATCTTGAGTATCCGTAATATTTTCTCCAGCATTCAAAAGGATAATAGATTCTCTTATAACCAATGGAAGAACCAACAATTTTACACATATTAATATGCCTGGTATAACCAGAGCTGTGCCCTTTAGCTTGTGCACTTTACCAACCATCATTAAACCCAGCAGAAAGAGGGCACTGGCAGAGAAAGCATTACCAAATACATCTAGAACAGTGGCTAGTGCGCATGGTATTACATGACTAAAAACAAGATTTCCCACTATACCGAGTACAGTCATAAAAAGTACTGGGTTCAGTGCAATCCCTTTCATGATGGAACAAACCATATTTTTGTAGCTTCTATGGTTTTCATTCCTACGCTTACCAATTTCTAGTAAGACAAACCCAACTGGGTTTAAAATAGCCAACGATATGGGTGCCATTAGATACAGGTATGCAGCATACTCAGGATGTGTTTTTCCATATAATGCATCAACTGAAATGTTACATTATTAGTAATGCAATACTATTAACAGTATATGCAATATGTCGTATTTTACTTACTCATAGGATAGCCAATAGCAAAATCATTACTCTGTGTGGTAAATATTGCGAACAGTGCAGCACATCCTGGATTTGATGGTCTTTTAATAAGCAAAGATACACTGAGAACAATAAAAAATACACAACTTTTGGCTAACAGAACAGCAAGCAGAAATTTCCAATTCACTAAAGTGAAATCAAGTTTTCCGAGTGACATAAAAATTAAAGATGGCAAGGCAAATGTTCCTACAAAGGTGTTCAGGCCATTTGCTTCTGTTTTTGTAATGACATCGAATCTTCCAGCAATATACCTAAAAGATATATCATTCTCAAATTTACAGCAATAGAATTAAACTTCTTACATTATTTTATGAAATTTACCCGCATAATATAATAGCAAAGCATTGTATCAATGCAAGATACAAGTTGTCCATGGGTTCATTTTCCATTGTACCAAGCTGTATTTCCTCCAAAGCAGACATGATTAACAATATTTAATGATTTAATATTTAACAAATATTCTTGTTATATATGATATAATAACTGTCATCTCTCTAATATAATTGTATCATTGTCCTGTAGTGGACAGTTACAGGAGGGAACATTACACAATGTTAACTTCATATCAACTACATCTTCATCTTCAATAGTATTACTTTCATTTGTATGTCCTGAAAATGATTAAAAATGTACAATAAATACTGTCACTATGATTAATGTTCATGTGAAAATTTAATCTATTTACATAAATAATTTTTATGGAAATATTACTTATGCAAATTAATACATTTTTATACGATCAACACCCGTAATACCATTCTTATTCATAATAATGGATTGTAATAGTGAATCATCAGACGTAGCGGCTCACATATGTTCACGTAAAAAACAGATTGCACGCAAGAAAATAAAAAATGCTGCGCTTAGAGTTTTATTATCAGTTGTTAGGGAAGGTTTAAAACGTAAAATTAATTCGGGATTGATTATAAACATTGCGCAACTTTCGATTATCATGAATTACTGTAAACATGTCAAGTGTGCTGATTATGTCTTTCGTATACGTTAAAAAATAAATAGGTACGCACAAGAAACTGCTTTTAATCTCGTTGATAGAATTGTGAAAGATACCAGTATCTATTTAATGAGGAAAAATTGTCTTATGTTCACATCAACGAAATATTCGGAATACAGCTGGGATACACTTAGTACGCGTTACGTATACGAACAATTTTCAATCTTATCCAGAAGCATGCAACATCGATAATTCTCAGCTGATTCATCTGATTGGTCCATTCGTATCACGTGCCCTGAATGAAACTTGTTACACAGAAATATTTGAATGTGACGTTTATAAGAAAAGAGATCATGACAAAAATTCAAACAAAATTCTACTAATGATTAGTACCATTTAAAAACCGCAACTGTCTATAATAACATCTATCTATATTATAGTTGGGTTTTACCCAAATTACTCATACGTTAACGACTGCTCATTATCAAAATGACATCTAATAAGTTGATTGTGAATATTTACGGAAACCTACGTCTGTATAAATTAATTTACGAGGACCTCCAGCTTATGCAACAAATTCTGTCTTAAAACTATTAATAGAAAAGCTCAGAAAAAAATGTATATCAAAATTATATAAATACTTATTAATAATGTAGAAAAGACAACTGCTTTATTTCTGTATTATAATTGTATGTATACTTTCGACTTTTATTATACATGATATGTGTACGTAAAAACTAAACAGCGTATGTAAACAGTAGATAATATAACCACTTCGATTTCACACGAAAGAGCAAAAAATATTCTTTATCTTTGGTCTGTACTAATAATGCGTAATAAGCAAGTCGTTATTGCCGACAATCATCGATGATGAAACTTATCGGAAACTAATATTCTAGTAGACTTTAAACTCATACAAATCATACATCAAATATTTTTCAATATCTAGATTTGAAACGAGTAAAGCACGTAAAAACTTTGCATTGCAGTTTGAATGATATTTTACATTTTATTTAAAACATGCTTTAGGTCAATATGTGATGAACTTACAGCGCCTCAAATAAATCGAGACTCGGGATCGTTAAAAAAATTGTTAGTTAATCCATTTGAGTAAATATGTGATATGTAACTATATACTAAAAAATTTATGTGAATTTATTGTATTTTAGGAATAATAACAATATGTATTTATTCGGTGATGTCGTACAAGTATATGTACTATATATATATATATAGGTGTAAATAAGCCTCTGACAATACTAGCACATATAGAACAAGCCACTGGTAAAATATGTTACCACTTACCTCCATGAATCATAAATTCTTGCACCTTGCGCAACAATGTGTTTGCAATCGAGAAAGAGACGTTTTCAATAGACACTTTCCCACTGATTCACGCTTACTCCATCGATCTAGAGGTTAGTAGTAACTTACAGACTAAATCCCGAGAACAAAACATCTATGAAGATTCTATGCTCTTATTCTACGAGCTTATTCGCTTCTGGAAATACAAAGAAATGTATGACTCATCCATAGCATGAAAGTTGCTTCGAGTGGAAAGTCTAATACGGAAAGTTACTTGTCTGATAGCATCTCCGCAGAATAAATCGTCTTTATATTTGTATCTAGTTTGCACTAATAACATTCTACATTTGAAAACTGAACCTGCAAATATACAATTTATGTAAATACATAAATATAAACGTATCCGGTACATGCAACCATAGATACTGCTGTGCGCCTGTTTTTATGTTAATTAAGTGTATACTATATTATTGTCTCAAGTATTCAGCCCATGTTAGACAAATTGTGCCAATAACCGAGCTAGTTAAATTGGTTTACTCCCAATTTTCCTAACTAAATAATATTATTGCGCTGTAAGTTCGTTCTAATCGGAATACATACATATTAGGTCACATTACAATCACGTGGTCGATAGCCAGTCCTTTTAACGCAATTATATATACTAATTTGCACGTATACGTATGTATGTACAAATTAAATGCCTTGTGTGCTGTCCGTGACGTCGACTGATACACTAAAACAACGTTTACCACTCGATATTGCGATTGTATCCCGATAAGAATCTTGATATAAAGAAAAAAATATGAAAATTCTATATATTTTCAAGGTCAATCGAAGTAGCGTGTTAGAAAGTTACAAGGCGGGGAATGAGTTAAACTGCACGAAAGGTGAGAAAGAACTCCGATTCCAGGTATATCCTATTTTTCCTGGAATCTGTGGATAATTATATTAGTGTTCCAGAGAACGTATACATTACTCATCGTGACGTATTTGGAGTCAGACGATGCTGACGTAAGGCTTCGATAGCCGAACAGCTGGAACAACAGTTCAATTTCCAGAGGCGCGATTATGTTCCACCAATCGCGTCAAAGGGAATTATATCCGTTATGCACTCCAATTCCCTTTAAAAGTATACGTTTTTCTTCGTTACAAAATTTTTTCTTAATCGTATATCAAACTTAATGTTGTTACTCCAAAAAGATTTTCATTTTATATAAACATTATAAGCGTTGTCTACCGACAACCGTAAGAAAATCGCCGGATGTAAGACGAGAAAGCAGCCGCGATACACTTTAAACATTAGACAAGGAGAAGAAATCAGTTTCCTGGTTTGTTTACAAAGAAAGAAAGAGTTGCGCGAACTGTGTCTTCTAAACGTTGCATGAGGGTAGCGATCACGTGGTGACCTATCAAAGACTATGGTGGGAAGAAGGAGGGGGAAGGGCGATAGACTCTGAACATATATAACCTTTCCGCTCACGTTCCACCACCCAGTTCTGCTTGGACTTCGGACACGTGAATTGCGCTAAGCTTCCGAGGAGAGAAAGTTCTTGTTTGTTTGGTGCGCTCGTTGTATGGGTGAGTTGCACAGACTTTTTTACTTTCCTCTTTTCTTTTTTCGCTATGGATAACTGTTGTGTGCTTGCTTCAAGAAGGAAATATTCTTATTCGCAGTCTCATATATTTGCATCTCGAATCAGTATATTTGATGACGTAACGAACGATAGAAGAATTTGACAACGGTATGCGTGGCACAGGAGAGACAGAGTTGAGAATGCGCGAAGCAAATGTAAACAATTGTTTCGAGTCTCTCAGGAATCTCATGTTATGTATGAAATTCTAGTCTGTAATTCTCATTTATTTCACAAATAATACCAATAACATTAATTCAATAAGAATACTATACATTTTACTTCCTCAATGAATTTTTACACAATTGTTTTTTTAAATACAATTAAGTTGCATTTTTTTAACGGTTTGTGATGTTGAATGGTGGAAAATGGATGCGTCAAAGGTTGATTATATTCGAACGTGTCAGCAGTATCAGTAATTTTATTCGTTGATATTACTACACAAAGCGAAGTGCATTAGTAAGAAAGAAGTAATAGTGTGCGACGAAGGTCGCAGTAGAGACACGTGGCACGCTCATCTATTTAGTCGTGTATTGATTCACTACGCATATATAGTGTCGCCATGTTGGACAGCAAACCAACGACATCACCGATCCGACTCTCCATGCTTATTTCGCAAATTTTATCGTACGGGATCGTACTGATTCGTGTTCTTAAATAGCAGTGGACTTGCGGTAAATCAATTTAACAGATGAAATAGTAGTTATCGGATACTGCGCCGAAATTGCGTCTGTTCGAGAAAGATTAATCCATAGCTATAAGGATCTTTATTGATAACATTTTGGAAGAGTTCGAAAGAAACTGTTTTAATCGAGTAGTATTTGAGGTAATTTTAAAAAATGGTTACTTTACAGAGCGAGAGAAGAGTATAAAACACGGAGAGAGCCCTGTGGAGCCAATAAGCAGCTGCAGGGATGAACATGGCTTTGTGCCAACGGTTGGCCGCTGGGGAAGCGAATGGCCAAGTTGACTCGAGACGGCAGAAATATGGTGCCAGCCAAGGGGGCAGGCCCGTGGGCCCTGGATCAAGGGTGTGCCGCTACCCCTGCCGGTTTGGGCCCATTATGAGTCACCAGCCCTGACCGTGCCAACGGTCGAACAGTACGAGGAACTAGCAGGCAGCGTTGAATTAGAAACGCAACACTTACTGCGTGAGCATCGCTATGATACCATCGGCAACTTTCTTAAGTGAGTATATTAATGTATGATACAACTCTGGTAATATCTGCTAATTATTTTAAATAATTCGATCGGTAATAAACATTTGCAATTAACAGGTTTTACAAAGACTATGTTGCAAGTGGTGAAAGCGTGTTGGACAGATTTTATCGGAAATATCAACCGCTCATAACTCAAGAACATCATACTTGCGTGGGCTTGGGATTTGAGTTACTACATCGGTTAAGAGGTTTAAATGAAAGATTTCCCGGTATAGCAAGCGGCCTCTATTTGGTGTCCTGTGAGGAGGTGTGTTCAACATTTTATACAAATTTTAATGCAGTTCTCATAGAGTTATAGCGTGGTCGTAAATTAACGGACCGAGTGGCGACATCGATTAATACTACCTTATCTCTCTCTTTATTTATTAAATTGCCGTTCCGACGCTCATAACATGTTTACCTTACCGCTCGACTGATTTTAGCACCACGTTATATTTCTGCGACGACTATATCTATATTACTGGTATATGTATAACATATGAAATTCATTATGGGGTCGTTATAAGTTGTTCTGGTTGTTCAGGAAATTCTTTTTACATTAGTTAGGACAAGTATTTATTTAGAAAATTTGTATCTTAGACTATTGGCAACATTGCTAGTTATGTTGGTGGACCACCCGCTGCAGACAGCGGTGAAAAAGAACATGTACTAGTGTGCCTGAAGATTGATATTAACGGGCGACGAGGTGTAATGCTTCTTGATCCTGGATATCATGTAGCCCGAGTTATTACTGTAATGGAAGATAAGTTATACCCACATACAGGCTGGTTCGTTCAGTCAGATGAACAAGATTGTAAGAAAGAGTACAACTACTTTCTATGTGCTAATGATCTTGATTATGTCGAATGGCATGAGAGAAAAACTCAACCCAATGCCTTGGAAAGAACACAAGTTGCTCTAATATACGTGGCGAGACCATATTTAACTGCTATCGATGTTACGGAACGTAGAAATTTGGTTTATAACTTCAGAAGTCTCCTTGCAAGAGATACGAAAGGTCACGTCACTGCCGGCATATATTTCCCTGTTACACTAGACATGAACAATGCACAGACTTTTACAATTTTTTATCAAACCAGCAATGGTAAAAAAAGGATCAAAATGGCGTTCAGCAAATTCTGTAGTTCACCGAAGGTAAAATATCTTTAAACGTAGTAAAACATTGTGTACGTACGTCTAATTATTCAGGTCTAAAGAGTAAAATGTTAACCTCAGATTGATCCTGATGCAGAGGAAAAAGAAATCATTGGAGAGTGTGCTCGACAGTTAAGTTTGCCGCAAGAAACATTGGAAGATCAACTTTCCGCTCTTGCTGTGGTCATGAGTGATTCAGCCTTTGTGGCTGAATTACTGGCTATTAACACCAGAATCAACACTTTAGCAGAGGACAATTAACAGATGTCAATCCACCCTGAGTGGTGCGAACGGGATAAAATATATCGTTATTTTGCCGGCTTTCCTCTTACTTTAATTTTTCTTTTGTTTACTACCATATTAATGCTTTACTACGTATTGTAAAGGTTAATTTTATTCTTGTTACAATATAGAGAGCTTAATATTTTTAAGAGAAATCTTAATAAAAACATATTGTATTTTGCGCAATAATATTGAATTTGATCAATGAAGATGTTAACAGGGTATGTTTTTTACAATTTTTGGGGACTTACTTCTTGGTATTTAATAATGCTTGGTATCACTTATACATTCTCCTTTCTTTTTTTTTTTTACTATTCTTTATATATATCATTAGGATTAATTGAAGTTTTAGAAATACACGGGAACTCAAATGTATTCACTAAAATGGCGATAAGCTAAATTCAATTACTGCACTTATGTAGAACTTCATTGACATTTCTTTGTATTAGGGGTGCTTCGTATTAAAGTTTTTCTTCTTATTTTTATTGCTAAACCGGGATTCTGAATTATACTAAATCTGTCGTTTTTACTTGAATAAACAGTGACAAAAGAAACTATTATACATAGTTGTTTATTTACTGATAAATACACTACCCCAAAATATGTTCCTTCTTATATTTGGCATTGTCGAGTATATTCCTGAAGAACACATTTTAGCGATTAAATATATTTTTGTACCAAAGCAATACACCTAACAGATGAATTTTGTTTGAACATAATTTTAGAGAATAAGTCTTCTATAAAAATAAAATACTTCAAAACCTAGCGGATAATGGTTTGTTAATTGTTTTTCATTGTAAACAGAATACTTTATCGTGTCAGTTACTGCCATTACTTAAAACTAAACCGCAGGCGAAACAACGATCAATTATTAACAGTCCTCCGACCAAATATATATACGCATCCGAAGCAACATAATATACTTTTTACCCACTCTTACTCTCATACTTTTCATACAACATGTTATACTTTATCCCATAGGATCTCTACATATAATTATACTTCATTATCCACATAGATGCTAAGAAATAGTAAGTCTATGTGTAAAATGGAAAATACCTGCAGTGAAACCTCGGTAAATGCAGATACATTATACTTCAAATAACGATTAAATTTTCACCGTTGAATAGAAGCTGGAAAGAAATATGTTACAATTTATTTAAATACAATAAAGTATATGAGAAATTGTTTATAAAATGTTCTTTTTTCAAGTTGATCAGGATGCATATTTTTTTACATGTTTCCAATAAATTTCTTTAAGCAATGAATTTACCGAAGATTTGCAGTATCGCCAGAATATAGTTTAAATGATTTTAGTAGAAGATCTAAATATTACTATCTGATACAGCGTGACGTTTATTGCAGACTTTGACATCCGGTGTATGCTCGCGTTTTCGATTTGGTGTTACATTCGCAGTTGATGTTGATGTTGCCGTCGTTGATTTAGCTGTGGCAGGTTTGCTACGACTTGATGTATCAGAACTGTGGACATGGAAGCATTCAGAATTAGTAAGTTTTTGCTTGTCTCCATAGTTCAACAAGTGTAAAATAAATATTGCCTCGATGTTATGCGATTAGTTCATGTGTACAAAATTTTCAGAAGTATTTTTTTGCAAATGGTAGTACGGTTTTATTTTGCTTAGAAAATTTCATTAATTTAAAAAAAAACACGTATCAGTAAGTTAAGACGTTGAACAGAGATAATGTAGGATGAGGCGCAACGTATATACTTACGTTGCCCAAGTGTCACCACTGTATACTACGCTTTTACTTTATTAATATTTGCGGCTGTACCTGCAATACACAATATGGTATATTCCCATACCAATGTCTTTCTCTATATTACAAAGAACGTGAGATAAATGATAAATTATCACATATAACATTTTATAATAACAGAACTCCTTGGAAGAACACCAGCAAAGAAGAGAAAGATTTAGCCATGACAAAACTACTAAACCTGTCTGTTAATTAAACATGCAGCAAATGAAACTTACATCTTTTGCTACCATGTGCCAATACCAATACCATATACTATGTACTACATTACAATTGCATATTCTTTTACGGAAGACTGTTCTATGAGTATACTTAAATTATTATTGAAAATGTTGTCATGTTTACTGTATAAACACATGGATCAATATTCTCTGAAATATTGATTAAAGATCTTATTAAATAAGACACCAAGAGTCAGACTTACCTTAAGGCATGAGGAGAGGTGTGAGTTTTAGATGTAGGTGGTGATTTAATACCACGTCTTGGAGAAGGTGTCCATCTTGAAGAATTAGAGTATCGACTATGAAAGCATATAACAAGCTAATCAATACTACAAAAACGAAATTGCAACAAAAAGAGTGTGTAGAATTGAAACTACATAGAAATGCTTTAAAATTCCGCCGATTGTATTGTCCATATTCATACTATACAAAATGAAAAGAGAAAACTAAGTACAACATTGTATGATTTATTATGACACCTCTTTTATTTATTCTTATAATTTGGAAGTTATTACATGACTAAACACAGTATACTATTGTTTAGTTTTTGATGTACTATTTCACCATGGAATGGTTAACAACTTATTACCATAATGATGTATGTACATACAAATGAATAAATATTACATAAACAACAGTTTCAGGGAATAGTAGTGTACTGATTAAAATTTAATGTTATGTGGCAAGGAATACAAAAGTAAAAAAAAAATGTAAATGTCATAAAAATAATGTTAAGCAAATGTACCTATTTGACATGCTACACTAAACCAAGAGACACTAAAATAAATATTTAGTCATGCGAGATTTTATTTTAATGTGTGATACAGAATTTTAATAGGGAATGCATGAAGTGAGATAGAAGCGACAGCATGATGTGATCCTGTTTCTCCATTCACTTTTTTTTACTGGTTCGCCTTCTGGATTTCTTATGATAATCACTGTGTAAAGTCGAATTTATCAGTAACATTGCTTTATAAATTAAATGCAACAATATATTTTATAAGTCTACATTTAATATGCTATCACTTTACTGAAGTATAGAACAGTATTATATTTATATGTATAATCCTAGGAATAAATACATATTTATACTTTACTTTCCAGTTTCATGCTACATGCATCAATATTGTATAAAAGAATTGTGCTTTAGTATTTTGTAAATGTAAATTGATTTATAGACTTCTTAAAAAATTGTCCTACCTTTTAGTAAATATTTTCCCCAAGGTTTTTTATTATTACGTATATTATAAAGTTAATAGACTAACCTTCCGGATGGTCCAGGTAAAGCAAGTTGTCTATGGTCCGAACGGTTTCTATGGCCATGGCCACCATAATGAGAATTACCAATGGCACCAACTCCATGACGAGTATGAGATTCCCATTCATTATTGAAAGTTTCTGCTTCCTCTAAAAAAGACCATTTAAACATTGAGATTTATTTGGTGAAACAGCTAAAGCTTTTAGAATTAATGTAGACAAAAGTTAAGTACCTTCATCAAGATTGATAAATTCTTGACGTTCTTCCTGTTCACCACTACGAAGATTGTGTTCACGTTCCATAATATGTGCTCTCTCACCAATATGATGGCCAATGGCCAACTTTTTAACTCCAGTGCGAGAATCAGAAACTGTTTTCTTTGTTTCCTTCACACCTCCAGGAGCTGTGGTAGTTGACATTGTTTCCTGATACACCTGTGGATGACCATCAGGACCACTGGCCATTGTCATCACAGATCTTGAAGTAAAGGAGTGACAACCTGCATTAGGTGCCATATTATCCTAAAATGTAATAAACATAATATGATTACTTTCCATTTTCTGAATCTTTAGTAACAGGTATGTAGTAAATTTACTAACAAAGTCAGTAAAAATTCCACCCATATTAAATGTTGGCATTGGTGGAAATCCAAAAGGCATTATCTGAAGGTCATTGTGGTGGTTCCTAACGTTATGACTTCCATTTGTAATAGCATTCTGACCCATTATGCCAAATGGGTCACTGAACAATGAATTCATCATATCATTCATCTGTCTCATAGACCGCATTTGAGACCTACAATGAGAAATCAATAAGAATTTGACTATAACTTATTGAGTTGCAATAGAACCTCCATGATTTGTCCATATACACAAGTGAAATAGTTTTAATCAGCCATGTTATTGAAATAAGTATAAAAAAAAAGAAAGGAATGTTCATGAAATATGTCAAGTAAACAAGGATATAAAACAAAAGTATATCACTATGAAAAGTTGAAATTTGGTATGAAGTTTACACATGTTTTTAAACCTCAATTTTGAATTATATATAAAATAAGCATATTTATTGACAAATGTATCGAAATAACTTGCAATTATAACTTGTTAGGGGTTGCAACGATTTATGTAATAGACAACAAAAACGATCGATAGCGATCTTTTATTCGAAACATTACCTTCCCTTAGTAGTTGTACACAATCTCCGTAACGTTGTGCATAAATATATAATTCATGGGAACGTTTTAAAAGAAATAAGTAGGTAATAGTTAACAAATCATTTGGTGTACATTATATACGTATTAGAAAAACGTTACACGATATTTTTTTCACTCACCCGAAAAAAGGATCATCATCGCCTAAAAATGATCCGAACAAGGACATTTTGGAAAACAGTTGATCTGACACTGTTTCTAAAGAAAAAAACTCACGATCAATAGAGGAAGATCGAGTAATAGGAAACACTCTGCTCGTGTGAAACTGTACGAACTTATTCCTGTACGAGAAAATTCCGATACTAGAAACTTCTGGATAGTATGTAAACGTAAAACTGCGTAAAATAAATGTTCGAGAATACTTGACACCACCGTTTATTAATCTCAAAACGAACACGAACAAAATATGGACATAGTGACGACGTGTGCTTCAATCTAGGTGTATGTTTCCATGCAAGTTGGTACACCAAGGGTTAAAACTTAAAACTGATTTCTGCCCCATACAGGTAATTCGAGAATCACTAGGAAAAATTAATAATATATATACGTATAATGAATTTGTATCGTGACCTACATATGTATATACAACAAAAAGCGCAAAATACGATTATAATTCATATTTTCATGTGTAATGATAAGTATGCTATTTTATGAGCGTAATAACATTTGTAACATGGATGTGTCACCATCTACGACAAAACTCTCAAGTTATTAACCAATTAGTACTATATTTTTGTCGTCAGATGGTACCATGGCACACTATTGAACATAGCACCCGTTTTCTTGCATTTTATGAAAAAAAATCAAGTACATACCTATTAAGTATTAACAGACGATTCACTACCGAGAGTTGTAATCAGTTGTAATGTACAGTATCACTTTAGCAGAAGAATGAACGATTGATCCGAAACATCAGTTACGGTTTACACCAATCATATATTTCATGCTCAATTTCTCTGATCCATTACTTTTGGCGGTCGTGAATCAATTTAAAAGTATAGGTAGTTAATTGCAGTGTTCAATGACTTCGGTAATTCTTTTTTATTTCATACGTTGTGTAGTTAGCAACTCATTTGTAACTTATAAGTTTAGAATACATGTTATACTTGTGTTACATCGAATGTGCGGGTTCGTAAATATATATCTTTATTTACAAAGTAAATCTATATCATTACTGTGTAAATAAGTCTGATAAATGAAAGATTACGCATGCTTTGAACGAGTAATTTCATTAAATTACAGGGCGTCATAAAACTATTACGTATATATTGTCTATCTCGCTACAATTCTATAGCTTGGAAAATGCGTACAGTGCTAAATTTTATTGAATAAGATGTAGAATGCTTTATAAAACGGTTATCAGTGTTCAGATATTTCTTGTTGTTCACGTTATTGCCCTTTTTATTGATAACAAGGGTCTGTAGTTCATTATGCATATAAATGTTGCTGTTACAGTATGTAGCATGTGGTGTTTAATTTCGTTCACTTCTCTTATTATATAGAGTGTCTTTTAAAGAACGTAATGCGTAATACGACAGTATTAATACGTATTTTCGAAACACCCCGTATAATAACGCGAATAAGTTACAAAAAGACTTTATCGTTTGTTGTAGTTCTATTTTAATTACAATTCCCAGAACGATGTACACAATGTGAAAATATTTCCAAAGTATCGGTATCGTACGCTTACACTGTCTTTTCCAGATTATGAAAAAAATATGACAAACAACGAAATAAATTTGGAAATATACAGTCACTCGTATGTATGTGTCAACTTTGACAAGTCAATCGTGTGTTGCTATAGCCGTTTCTTTATTATACTAAGGTACAAGCATATGCTGATCGATAAGGTTTAATCGGTTCAGCTTCTCGTGTTATTGAAATTTCGATAAAATATGATTGCTATCAATCATTCCTTGAGTCGTGCATTAGATTGTATGGTAGCATTGCAGTATAATTAAAATGGGGTATAATCTTGAAAGTTATTAACAGTCGCCTTAGAAATAGATTTATCCTCTTAGATTCTGAAGCAAATGAAGCGAAGTGTTATCGCGCCGTCACCAACTGTACAAAGAATATAGTATTACTAAAAGAAAGACAGACATCGATTATGTATCGATCAATGACTAAATGCTTAATCATTGGTTGCAAAAGTGGAATCAATACACATAATATACCTCTACATATACATAGAACTTATTTTGTGAAACATTACATACAACAGTAGATTCTACGTCTTACATACTTCTAACTCCTGTGATTTTTTTCTACTGAAAGAAAATAATTTCTATCGATCTTTTTACAATTGTAATTATATTTGAGAATGAAAATTCTGAAGCATAAACTATACACATTAAGAATTCTATCGTTCGTACGCTTACATTAACGCACGCATCATTATATCCCGAGCATGCAACTTGTAAATTCTATTCCTACTTAACAATGGAATATTTTTTATACATATCTAATGAATACATTCAAATGATTCGACTGGTTTTAATTACAAGATGCTCTGGTAAAGTTATAAATAGCATTGAATAACGTAAAATAAATTAAATTCGTTTGCAACATTTTAAAGACTTTGTCCATCTGTAAAATAAACTACTTTGTACCTACTTCTAAGTACAAACATACACTCGTGAAATAAGTTTTTAACACGAAAGAAAGAAATGTGTCTTTACATTAAAAAACAAGAATAAATAGTGTAAAATATTGTTACTATATTTTTATTTAAATGCATACTATGATAGTATTCCTTTATTCTTTTAACGATTTAATTTAAACCATGATAAACACGTTCTTAAAAATACTAGATTATACATCATTATAAAAGAGACATTAAAATAACAACCAATTATTGCTGTACATGTAACATAAGAATACAAAATTAATAGTCATATATAACATTTTTTGTAACATAAGTGCAAAGGAGAAAGAAGATTACTATTAACAGAACATACAATTTCGTCTCAGAAGTAATGTACACACCACATTCATTTGTCTGATACCCTGGCAGTGTAAAGATAACACAACTGATACTCTAGCAAATAGTTACAACAAAGTAAATTACGTTGTAATTCAGAGTAAATATAGACTACAATTCTTCATTCTGTAGCCATACAATTTTATCACTGTTTATAATTAAAAACATTATACAGGTGAGACTGCACCACATCTACCAGAGTCATTCAACTTGTGAAAATCAATCGTTTTCGCCATAATTCATTGCAGCAGCATGCGCTAAAATAAAACTACATAAGCTACGGATTTTGGCAAGCTATTTATATATTTATAAATACGGATACCAACAGAGTTCCAATATGTTTAGTTCTATATTTATTTATATGCCTTGTTATAACGGCATCTTAAACTAGTAAGTTCAATAGAATATTCGACACTCATTCTGCATACTCTGTGATGACAATATTCTTTGAACAAATGATAACTCAACAGATGAGCATGTAACAGTTGTCAAGTGTGCAAGGAGATGTTATGAAAAATATATTTGGGTACAAAAACATAACTACTTTATAAGATCCACTGAAAGCAGGGTATGACTTAAAAAAGAATACATATAGAGTTGGATTAGTAATATCATCGACAGGAAATAACACGAAGAGGGAACAACCGATCAGCGTAGATCCGGATTATCGTTAACTTGTTTTTTGATACGTAATAATACTGTTGTATACCACTGATCTAACCGTGAAATTGAATCATATTCCTTTACCGCTTCTGTAAAACCTTCGAGGTGTTGTTCCTCGAGGTGTTCTATTAATGTCTGAAATGAAAATTGAAGCCTCTACTGTACCAAAATGTAAGTTAAAATTTCAATACATTTTCACTTTAACACGTTGATCGCCGACCGATTTTCTTGGATTGAAGATTTTAAATACAAAGTGTATCATAATAAAATAATATATGAAAGTATTAAATATTAAAATAAGCTGCATTGTCATACTTTTTTTTTATTCGAATTAACTTGCAATTAATTTCAATATCGCCGGTCATCACAGATCGATACGGCATTCACGTGTTAAATTTGAGTTCTGCATTATGTACTCTTATTAATAATCAAGACTATCATTGTGTTTCATACCTTTATCAATTTGTACTCCCTTGAGTCTTGAAACGCAGGGTATTGTTCTTGATAACGCTCGATTGCGTGCTGTGCATTTAGTATATCAACGCATAAGTGACACAGCGCCGCTCGGAAGAAATACTCTTTCGCGCTGTATTTCAAGAGTGAACTTTCTAAGGATGCAGAAGCGACCTGGAAAACATAAAGGATAGTTTCACAAACTGTTATTTTCTAATAAGTACTACTCAAAATACCATGTATGTAATTTAACACACCTGTTCATAAATTTGAATAGCCTTATCATAATTTTCCAGTTGAGCAGCATACTGTGCAACTTTCAGAAGACACTTATTGGCAGAGGAATTGCTTTCCTCTCCACGAAAGTAATCAGCAGCTTGTTCATAGTGATGAACAGCTCTCTCAAGATCTACAGCGTCAGTTTCATACATTTCAGCTATACTTTGATGATGCTTAGCTGCCATTGTAAATCTACCCATATCAGTATAGATCTCAATTGCTTTTAGCAAACAGCTAACAGCCTCTGGAAGTAAACTTGTGTTAGAATTGAAACTTTTCTCTGTGATGTAAATAAATTAGTAGACTTAAAATACAAGTATACCATTTATATTAGATTTCTTAAAGCAATTAGCAGCATCCACATAATTAACAGCTGCATCATGGCGGCTGCCCGCTTTCACGTGCAATTCTGCTGCTTCGAAGAAAGCACTGCCAGCTGAACTCCACTTCTTTGCCATTTTGAACATATTTGCGGCGCGTTGATAACATTCTACAGCTTCTTCGACTCTTGAGGATCCTCTGCCATGCAACAATGTGACAATATGTAAAAGTGATCATTAACAAAGTGACAATACTTTAACTTGAAATTTCAATTTTTAGAGGAAAAAAAAAACGTAGCTCACAGAAACCTTTAAACGCTAATGAAAATTAATACTTTCACGATTCCGTACGATGTATTCTTAATTTGGTTTCGACACGCTATATCACGGCTGGATGGTAATTGCTACATATATACAGAAGTGCATACACGAAGAAACAGTGCATCGAAGGATTGAACAAATAAAGAGAAACATACGGCAATGAAACGAAATATTCTGTAAACAGGTAACGAGAATCCAAATCTGATCTAATCGGTGAATCATAATAAATAAGTAATGCGAGCCGAGATGTGTCGTAGATTCAGTGTCGGACGAGTTCAAATAAATCGATGTGGATAAACTTACCCGAATAGTGAGCCGAAGAAACCCTTTGAACTTAACTTCTTTTCGGCCTCGGCCAGCAATTGCATTGCTTTCTGTTCGCTGTCAGCCATCGTCTCGTAGAATTCTGACACGCAATAACTCAAAATAAACGTCTCAAATCATGAACCTCGAACGAAAATTCACCTCTTACTGCCTCTTACGAGCCGCGACGTCACTAAAGTCAATGAAAGTGAATCAAGTGTCATCGGTAACAGGCTGGCCAACATCGAAAATAGCCTCAGCGAATTTAGGACCCGTTCACAATAACGGTTCGTAGTCCATGGCATACAATTCGTTCTCCCTTTGTTCTTTAAAATTCTTTATTCGATAATTCAACTTCAATACTTTTAATAATTGCTCTACCAACAGAAGAATATATATTACAATTCTCTGTGTAGAACAAACTAAATACGTTTGAGAATCAGATAAAACGTGGATTTTAATTCCATACAATTCATAATCGCAGAGTTTCGAATTTGATTAACGGTTGGTAATAACGGCGCCAAAAATTACTCTCTGTTCGGAATAACTTGACAACGTTCGAAATAGATAGTGTTGTCGACTTAAAGAGAAATATTAGAAGAATTCAAAGGGCTATCAAGAATGTCGAGTGTACACAGACAGGCGTTGAATTCGTTGCAGCCTGGTGCGCAAAACGCGCTCGTAATCGGCATAATTATACACAGTTTTAATATGAAAACACTCGATGCCACGAGAACGAGATGTACGGATTTTATGTATCTTTGTCAGATAAAACGAATCGTTAAACTATTATAGTTCTTTCTAATTTAGTTACGTTTGTTCTTATTTGTTTTCACATTACTTGTGTATATTTAACTTTTTTGTATGTTCAATGAAGACGTTATTATTATTATTTCTAGTTAACCACGGTGAACGCGGCGTGTGGACATTCACGTTACGCGATTCCAAAGAGGATATGATAAATGTGACAGTATGGGGTAGTGTTCAATTCGTGAAAAAATTGTCTTCGAATTTTCATGTGGGCAGCATAGGTTTGTATCGAGTTGAAATCTACTGAATATAAGCAGCTTTTGTCATTTTGGATTGTTTGAATTCAAATTCAACAATATAAAAATACTTCAGAAATAGTAGGCCAATCACGAGATCATCGAGTACTTTTAAACTGCTGTTATATACGAAACATTCCGATCTATATGTAAAGATGAATTAATTCAATCAAAAGCATATTTGAATTTGTTTTAACTTGATTATTCGATATTCGACTCACAGTGGAAGTGATTAATCCGAAAGTGGTGGAACGTCGACCAGAGGATAGGAACGAGTTATTTGTCCCTTCCGTGTCCAGTCGGTGCAGTTTAACAGTGAACGAGGGCAATGCGCTGGTGCAAGCACACGACGCACCAACACGCTCACAATACGAACCCTTGCTCATGCTCCCTATTAAAAACCTAACCGGGCTACGATGCTTGAAAAGCATTTTTGAGAACCTGGAGTCACTGCGCGATCAATATGTCGAGGTCTTGGTCGTTGTTACATTCGTACGTTTCCATTCGAATAGATATGAGGGGATAAAATTAAAGATTTCGCACAAGCTACGCTATTACTGTATCACGACGTACATATAATTTTTTATCAAGGTCATCGACAAGTCATCTCATTGGACATAAACATGTCTGTTTTTTTTTTCATTGTCATTAAAATGATCGATGACCTTAAAGATGTTAGATAAAGGACTTATTTTTATACTTATTTTTGTTTTTTTTGCTGAACAATTGTTAGGTGAGTGATATTCGTAACATAATCACACGAGATGGAAGGAGCATCAGATTTCGCAACTTCGAGGCGGTGGATGGATCCACGGACGAAGTGGTAGCATTGGTTCTTTGGGATAACGAGTGGATCGAACGGGCCGCGTTTTGGGAGCCCAGACGAACCGTTCTTTTTCTTACGGATGCCCGTATTGTTTATGATAATTTTAAGAAAAAAATTGTCTTATCGCTAGGTAGTAACTTGAAAGAAAAAGAAGTAATTACTTATGCGTAAATTTAACGACATTCATAATGCAACGTGTTCATAAACTTTCAGTCAGGAAAACTCTGATTACCGAAAACCCTGATTTGCCGCAAGCAACCACCGTCAGGGATTCGGTGAAATACTCTGATCCAGATGTAATGTCTGGAAGTTTCTTCGCAACGCCTAATCGTAAGGATAAAAAAGAATAATGTTCATTCACGCGTTCCGAAAGAGAACGTTTGATCTTTCAATTTTTTTTTATCCTGCCAGCGAACACTATCTCCACCGTAATGACCATACAAGACATATCGAACAAGTTGAACAAACAGCCGAAGCAAGGAGACAGAATTCAGTTTGCCGTGATTTTAAAGGCCTACGTAATAGACATAGATGTCGACAGCTTGAATCCCGGAATCATATCCAGAAGATGGTTCACTCATTTTCTTCTTATCGCAAGCCGACATTTCTTTTTAATCATATTGTTTCATTTGCTTTACTGTCGTTTTTCATAGCGCGTTATGCAAGAGGATCGTCCTCAAAGACGAAGACTCGTGTATGAACCTTGAGTGCCCATCGGGCAATGGATCTCGCGTTCCTATGAACGTAATGAGCCTTAATTTAAAGGTAAATCTGAAAGACGACACAGGATACCTTATTGGTTGCAAATTATCAGGAGATGTGGCCGAACGCGTCCTTGGTTGCACGACTGCCGAGTTCCAGGTGGCTATAGACAGTATCAGAAAGTTGTTGCGTGCATTTTGTCGATACACGTGTTTTTAAACTGAGAGCTTCGTGCACTTCAGGCAATGAAAATTCCTCAACGTGAAGACTTGAAATGGAAATATGCGTTAGAGACATGCGACATTCGTTTGCACATTCTTGGACCAACGTCTGTCTTTCCGAATGCCGTTTATAACATCCTTTCAATCTGCAGAATTGAGGACCAAGACGAAGACGAAGACATGCAGCTACTTAATGACTGTGTCGGCACAAAAAAATTCTAAATGGTTCTAAATGGTTTATTAATGAGTTACTGTTTTTACGAAATATTTTAATCTCATAAAATTTGATAACCAACAAAGCAGTTTGTAATATCCTGTTTTTATAGTAGTATATTAGAATAATTGGAGAATTTCGGATACAGTTAAGAAAAAATAAAAGACATTTTGAAGTTACATCCGAATATACATAAATTTCAATCAGTTGATCGTTGGGATTGTAAACTTGATATGGCGTATAGTGTTTGTATGTAAACATTGCGCGATGGATCTTGCAAAATATCATTGTTAAAACGTGTGTTCCATGAATCGATTCTTAGGTCTTTTTTTATAGTTTTTATAGTTGTATTAACTCTAGCAAAGAAAGATGGAAGTAGATGTTCCTTCGAAAGGAAGCGCTATCGAGGTTATGAGGGAGAATGTAAGGGAATTAACTCATGCGGAAAGAAAAGAGTACCGTATGAAAATATTGAATAAGAACCGCGTGGCTTTGGGTAAGATCGTGCTGGATTCATCTTTTACAACGAAATTTGTTGTTGAAAAGGCAAACGCGCTTAAAAAGAAGCCATTACCAGTCGAGGAGTACAAACAATTACAAAATGCTCTTATTCAGGTTACTGTTTCTGTTTTTGTCGTTTACAAATAACAATCGCAATTGGACTATGTACTATCATGTTTGTATATTTTTATTAATGTAACTCTTTTTTTTTGTCATCAGAGCGAGGAAAATGTGAATTCATTTCTGAAAGTAAATAATATATTGTTTGCTTTGGTGCGTGATTTTTCTGGTAGTAAACCAGCTTTACAATTATCTGCCATTAGTTGTTGCTGTAATATAGCACTTGGAAATGCAAAGGCTTGCACATCATTGACTAAAAGTATTGCACCATATCTTATTACAGAATTAGAGAGTTTGAATTATCCTTTATTGGTGAGCACCTATATTTTGTACGTGGAAAAAAATAATGTAACTAATATAATTTGTGTTGGCAGGATGTTTGCATATGGACAGTGGGAAATTTAGTGGCTGAAAGCAACAAGGCTTTTGAAATACTTCATGCACAAGACTGTTTGAAATATATTATATCATTAATCCATAGTTGTGATAATATTATCTTACCTTCAGTGATATATGCAACTATGCACTATGTTCATATTGGTTTTCAACATATTACGTAAGAACTACTTTGTTTTTATTCATTTTGGAGGCTACAAACATTTGTAATGGTACCTATCAATATTCTTTTAGTGAAACTGAAATGATTGAACTTGTTAAAGCTAGTGCAGAAAGAAATCTGAATTTTGAAAATTCATACTTCAGTTGGCTGCTAGCATTGTTATCTTCACATGTTGCCTGTAATACATATTTATACAATACAGTACCTTTAGTAGTGGATTATCTGTATCAAAATATTACTAACAATATTGCTGCTGTAAAAGAGGCACGTGTCTAGTATCAATATTTTTGTAGATTTGTATGAAATGTATAATATCAAGTGTTTCTTTGCTTTATTTTAGATCACAGCATGTATCAGGATATTGGCGAATATGATCTGTGAAAAGTCTGGCCAGTTGGCTAAAGTTCTTTTGGAAAATCTAAAATATACAGAATCTGATTTAGAGATGTTGTTAAGCACATTACTTTCATGTCAATATGTACATGTTAGAAAGGAGACTTTATGGTTAATAGGTAGTTTTAAACAATTTATTGTTACAATAGATAACGGTCGTCAACGTTTCAACAAAAATAAATAATTCTTTCAGGCAACCTTTATAATCATAGCTGTACCAATATTAAAAGTATTGTACAAGATATTCTACCCAGATTATCATCCCTCGAACAAGCAGTTTTATCTGTGACACAACAAACTATGACAATAAATACTGATTTAACCGTCTGAACAGGTATATCATACTTTACAACAAATTGATCACGATATTTACATATGTATATATATCTATATATCTAAAATTATTAATTTTTACTGGCAAAACACCTTTTCAAACTTCATATTTTAAGAAACTCGCATACAGTACTTCGATAAAAAAATATTAAAATGATTACTATACAATATAAACTACGTTTCTTCGATGATTAATCACAACCCAATAAATCCGTTTTAATAACTCATTTTAACAGGGATAAATTGTCGTGCACCTATGGAAGAATGGTCGCCCCTTGTAGTGTCTTCTATACAGGGCACTCTCACTAGATTGAAATAAATGTGACCCATAATGTTTGCTGTTGGATGTTTGCTCGCTTTTAAACAGCGATATAGCGCATCGTCGCAGGCACAGTGCGATCTACAGAAGGTAAGAATAAGATTTATCCATCTTACGATAGACTGCGCTGCCGTACCACGATAATGATACATGAATTATATGTATAACAAAAGGCGTAAAATAAATTGTATTTTTCATACTTAGTGTACAAGGAGTAGTTGGTGAGATTGTATCGTGTTTGTTGAGCACGAACTTTGACAGGACATAGGTCGTGGCTACGACAGCACCTAAAACGAACAACATTTAGTTACGAATAAAAGAAGAGCCTGTTTAATATCGATATTAGACACTGTAATTCGTCTGTTCGTCCTGACCTATCAATGTCCGCTTCTTGGCCTAAATCGTGATAGCTCTCCGCAATGTCCCCTGTGCCGCACCATTTTGTTCCTGCAACGGTACAATGCAAGTTGTATCGCTGGTTTTCTGTATGAATACATGCAGCAATTTGAGAAGTTCACCTGGAAGGATGCCCGAAAGGAGAGACAAGGAATTGGTCACGACCCGACTACCTCTGCTCAGAGTACTCGTCGTAGTTGAAGACAGAACGTCGTGCTGTATTTTATCTAGCAGCTCGCACTGCTGCATGAGCTTCGTTATTTCGTAGAAGGATACTTGCTGTGGAATCGTTGTTGCCGATAGGTTTCTTAAAACTTCATTGGCCTCGTCTTGTTCGCTGAAACGTGTTACTTTCTCTAGATATCCGTACGGTAACAGCCCAGATAGCATATGACCCCGAATGACGTCTTGAAGACGGTTTAAAGGATTTTAGGTTTAGACCTAAAATAGCCATAAAATGGGCGTCTTCAAGGCGGCATACGCTGTCTGGGAGAGAATGTTCAAGTTTCTATCGAACTGTGTATCGCTGTTGTTCGCAACTTATGGGATATCCCTTTCAGATCGGATAGGAAATACTCACTACACTTCAATCAGGTTGCAATTGTGTAGCTCATTGTTGGCGCCGATTTCCACCACTGCGATCGTTTGATCATGATAGTAGACCGCTGTTATCTCATCTATGACGGGCAACCTGGTCCTTGGCGTGACACCGCTCAGCCCCTTGAACGGGTTCTTGAAGAATAGCGGCTGCTGCACGCTGTTCGAACTTATTGCTACCACCAGAAACACTACCAAGCCCCGAAAGCACATGTCGGTCTCTAATATTACACTACAGCAAAAGGACACTCTGTCGCTTCCCGATCGCGTGATCAAGTTTTATTCGCATTCTGGAGATTTGTCCGCCGGAAATCGTTAGATCATCTCCACGAAGATTCAAGGAAACGGCCACGAAGAGCATGTATTACATCATTGATTCGATCACGAATCGTATCGTTCGTAAGTAGATCTGATCACCTTCGCCTGGTCTTGGTTTATTTACATGGTCGCCCCGACACGCTTATAGTGCGACAAAAACGCGATCACCTTCAACTCTCCGTTCCATATGATATCAACCCTGCCGTCCATAATCTGAAAGAAATCTACGATCAACACGAAGCATTCTCTTCTGGATTTTGGAAAGCGCGTAAACTTATGCGCTGCGATAATTTTTGTATCGAACAGAACAGGTGGCTAAAGGAAATACAATTCACTTGTTCCGTTTCTCTAGAATGTTTCCCTTTAATTCGAGTAACTCTTTCGGATTTCCACTATCCAAAACGTATATAAAAAGAAAACTAATCTGAATTTTTATATTAAACTAACACTTCACGCGTAGCTCTCTCGAAAATGTTCACCAATTTCATCCGACCAAGCTTATAATCGTACCTGATGTCGGTCTCCACGAACCTTTGTCATTCTCGCCGTGTAATTTACGTTCGTGTACAATTTACTTCATTCTCCGCTAATCGCATTTATGAGACAATTAAAAACATCACCGCATGAACATGCAACGAATACAAGAGCCAGTCGGAATTCACGTTACCGGAAACTTTCTGGAGCCTATGGTCAAGCTAAGGTGTTTCCTGTGTGAATCTTGCGGCTTGCATATCTATAATGCACGCGCCAGCGTGTCTGGAAGTTGGAACGTTTTCCTGGGCACACCGATCGAATCACGGATGTATAAAGACGCGACACGTTACGGAAGACCCCTGAAAGAGCGTGTCGCTGGAACGTGGTACGACGCGCAGCGAGAACGACACTGGCCCCTCTCCTACCGCAGTAAACATTTTTAAACTTATCGAGCAGGCACAACTTGGAAGGGTACACCTGCCCACGGTTTCCCTCCTTCCATTCCCATTGCTTTATCACGACGTTACAAGGTATTTGGCAGAGAGGATATACGCGTGCTACGTATCGGGGGGACCCACATTCAGGGAGACTAGGACGAAGAAAGTAGGACGAAAAGTGAAGAATTATACGGCTAGTGTACACACTCACACACTCATACAGAGTTCATTCAAATGTGTTTTTGATGACTTCGCGAATTCGAAAAGAGATTCAGTATATTATCGATCAATTTATTATCCGGAATTTGGACTGTTTAACAAACGAAATAGGAATGCGGTCAATCAATCTACATTCCGATCGATTAGTCATTGATCGCTCTCGTAGGAAAGTTACAGCGTTCTCTCAGCTAGTCGCTTAATGTTTCCTTCTTTTTCGTCCGTTGGGTTATTCTGGAACCGAACCTGTGTACCGTGCATTTTTGTTCCGCGGCGATAGTAAGTACTTGGTAATTACCCACGATAAGCGATAAACATTCAGTAATTTACAAGTCATTATAGAATGCGGCGATAAGCAAGAATATGGTGGAACGAAATTTTCTGTCGTTAAGACTGGCTGGATTTCAAGGGTTGCTGCTCGTGGGACGACGGGCTTGTCTTCGTTGCGGTGTTCACCGGATACTGATTCCCGATCCGGGTTGTGCTCAGCGTGATACTAATAGGCGTAGCATTCGAAAGTTGCTGGCGAACTGGGCATTGACGATAGCCTGAAACGGGGAAACGTATGAATAATTAAATCAGCTTAATGTAATGTGCTCGTTGGTTATGTTATCGTTGATATATCATTAAATAGGAAACCCGTTGAACTTTTCGGATAATCGGTCAGACAGCCCAGATAGCACATGACGCCTTGAAGACGGCTCAAAGGCGCCTTAGACCTAAAATAGCCGTAAAATAGGCGTCTTTAAGGCGTCATGTGCTGTTCGGGATTAAATAGAAGTACAGACAAAATCTTTTGTATCTTTTCTTCAGACTATAATAAAACCAATCGATGCGCGTCTGGACCTAGAATCGCGTGTAACTTGTCCTTTACCGGCATGATGGGGGCCGGAACAGTGGCAACAAATCGGATTGTTCCGCGGCCTGGGACAGAACTCGACGCTGTGCGGTTCCCCGCATCGAACGCAACGGGGCAGGTGTCTGCAATTGGCTGCCATGTGCCAGAAACCCTGGCATCGATAACACTGAAGAACACCGTCCCCCGTTTGGAAGTTCGTCGCCTCGAGGAAATTGCTGACCATTCCCGGTCCCGGCTGTAGGGATCCCCCGCCGTTTCCAGTCCCGCCGCGCCACCAACGTTCCGGGATCGCGCTGAATCGGGCAGCGCCGAAGAATACCAAGCCTTGACGTAAAAGCAGCTCGTAATGCCCGGCATCGAGCACCTGGTGAGAATATTTAAACGATACCGGGAACGTCGCAGAATCATTATGAATGGAGGAATTTAGGTATGTACATCCACGAGCAAACTCGGCTTCCGCTAGGGAAAAAAGTTGACGTAGGAGAAGGGCCTCTTACCATACTCCTACCTGTTGGTATTTGGAATTACTGAATTTTATGCCATATTAACATTCGATTTAACATTAATTTCAGTACCTGGAATAAATTTACCAAGCGGTAGGAGATTTTCATTCTACGCCGCTTTTTCCCCTACTGGAAACCGAGTTTGCTCGTGAGTGTATGTGTATACATGTACCTCGACGCGAACGTATTGACGCCAACGTTCGACGCTTCCCGTCGCGATCCCCTGCTTCGACAGGGCGGAATTGATGTCCTGAAGAGGAATTGCCCAGGGTACGTCACGCAACAGCACCGCCTGCCTGTACCGCGAGTCCTTCGCCGAGAATCTGGCCACCTAACGCAACCGCGAAACTCGTCGATTACTCTGTCAATCGTTAGCCCAGATAGCACATGACGCCTTGAAGACGCCCATTTTACAGCCAGTTTAGGTCTAAGGCGCCTTTAAGCCGTCTTCAAGGCGTCATGTGCTGTCTGCGAGTTTTTTTGCTCGCGATGTAAATTGAAAAAAAGTGGGAGGAAGAGAAACATTGGGATTCCTATTGTGAAAGACGTCGCGCATCGAAAACATTCTCTCCAGGCGACGCGAGATTTAACGGACGGTTGTGCAAAGCTAGTCGTCTCCATTCTTCCGTCTGTCTAGGTTTCTTACATAAGAGAAAGCGAAGAGGAAAGCAGACCGTTTAAGAGAGGGGGGAGGAATTTTTTGTTTTAGATCGTATAACTTCGACATGGCGGGGATACTTGTACGGGTCCTTCGAAAACTCGCGCCAAGTCGCCGCGTTGCAGAAGCTTCTCAGCGTCAACCTCCCGAGCGAACGCAGCGATCAGACCGCAGGGTGTTTCGGACACGTGCCACGCCGCCAGGGGTTCCGACACACGGATCACATCCTCCAGATTCGAACGTAACAGCTCGCCAACTGATGATATTATTTTACATTAATTTTAGTCGAAATAAAAATATTAACAAAAGTCTGAATGGTTTACTCGTTGACGAACGATTTCATGACGGTGTTACGTATGAAATGAATGTTACAGAAAAAAAATTTCCAAGAAACACACACACACACACACATACACTTGGCGCAACGAGTACCGATTACATCAGTCCCATGGACTGGTCCGAGCAAGTTGCGCGTTTTTTGATTCTGCTGACCGAGTGTGTATACGCAAAATGAAAGCTTAGTTTTATAGAACGAGTTGCGCGTAACACACAAGATTCGAATCCGGTGATGTAATACAGTATGGGTATATAACTATGTAGCTCCGAGAAAGGCTGGTTTTCGTCCGATGGAATTTCTTGTACGAGAGCCTGAATTATATAATTTATCGTGTTGAAACAGAAAAGTGTGACGACTGTTTATGCAATCGGAGGATTCGCGAAAAAAAAAAAAAATAGGAGCGGACGCGGTTTGCCACCTTGCGTTCCTTGCACTTGGCCTTGCGGGCCAACGGCACGCGATATGTAAAGGGAACACGTGAACTCTTCTTGATCGGAAGCACGTGGTCGATCGTCGCCGTTTTCAGACGTGTTCGGTGCCGAGATTGTGACTTGCAGCTTCGCATCCCCCTTTTTATCCTCCTGAGGGGACTCCTCCTCCATCTTGTGCACTTTGTGCACCACCCAACGAACCCCTAAAAGAATATTTTTATTTCTTGGTGGAAATCTTTGTAATTTTTATGCGAAGAAAAAAAAAAGAATTGTCCCAACATAAGAACAGTGATTATTTCGTTAGACGGATGTCTGCGTAAACTGGACGCCATGCGATGACTTACTCAACAATTAACCGGTTAGTAATTGGGTATATGGGTAATACGGTTACGGTTTACCGAATACGGGTTAATTGTGTTTTTCTTTTTATTATTGCACGGCATAGACGCATAGTTGTACGGCGGAGTAATAGGTTAAAATTGTTCTTATCGTAAGTGTGACGCATGAGTATAATAAAGTTGCAGAAAACGACCGATAAGTTCAACATAATTGATAGGAAGTTCGTTTCTGCCCATTGACAATCCCTCGAGTACAAGACTTGGTCGATTTGAAATGCGGTCAAAACGACGATTTGATATTTCGATGTTTCACAATCAAATATTCCCTTCGCCCGATTACCGTTTCCCAGCCGCAATGTCTCGTGCCAGATAATTTCTGGCAACGAACGAATCACCTTAAACGTTTCCTCTGCTCGTTCTGTTCACGGGAGAAGGAATCTAGGACCGAAGAAGACATGGCCCAATGCTGGAGCCATTAAGCGGCTTCTTTCACGATCGCAACAATATCGACTCTCTCTTTTTTCCGAAATTGAAATTTCTTCGGTAGGAATTTTTGCTCGTTGACAGGATCGTTGACGTTAAACGAAATCGATTTTTATCTTGATGATTATTATAGAAATATGTAAACGATAATAGTGTTCTGGTTTGATTTATTTACTTTTGAAAATCGAAATTCTTCCAAATCCTCCGGTCGTTGACGGAACAACGCTATTCCTCCCTCTAGTGCCACTAAATGAAAGCACGTCACTGTTCAGCTATTTGCATTCTTGATAAGAACTCTAGGAGACCTGTATTATCTATCAGGGACAGTCTAGTATCAAACTTTCAATATGTACACGTACATACGGATTTGATTTTCAGAACAATGTTGATCCGTGCAATTATATTATTATCGCTTTATCGTTTCCTTATTAACGCTACACCTATAACGAATTTCGCAAATTGTTCATTACTACTGGTTTCTATCAGATTATTAATGAAGTAAAACATCTATGTTATCTTAACGATATTTCTTTCCACATTTGCAAATCAACATTTCGCGAATATGTTTCGAACGTGAATCACGGTGCCATCTTGTTAACCCTCAAGAGTCGCCGGAATTTCCGGCCCGGAAATGCGTTCGTTGCGGTTCTCGCAAAAACTTACTTCCTGCTTGTCAAAATGATGTATTTTATAATTTTATTTAATTGTCAGTTTATAAATTCACCCATAATTTGTAGCAGCAACATATGTAAAAGAATACACTGTCATTGGTATTCATAAATGGAACTTATCATGGTAAGGTCTAATGAATGAATACATATACTGCCCACAAAGGATTAACCCCTCTTATTTTACGTTTGATCCCTTGAAATTTATATTCAAAAGAACATCATTAATAAATTCCTTGACATAAACATTTTATTATAATGTATTATCGGTATTCGTCATAAAAAAAATAGTGAAACAGATTCAAATATACTTTAATCTAATCTTAAATATTAGTTTCCTAGATTACAATATTCGAAATGTTATTTCTCGTAACGATTACGATTTAAATTTTCTCACTTACAATCGTTACGATAAGGAATGATAAAATGAAAGAGGGGAATAAAGGAAAAAAAATTCATGTTTGTATCTGGTGCGCTAGACCAGGCCTGTTCAACATGTGGCCCGCGGGTCATTTCGCCAGACGACGCGGTCCCCACCATCACTCAGTCCATACCCCACTACTCGCTTGCGCTGCGATGCGATCGTGGGGCAAGAGGTACGTGCGGGTAGGAATTTCTGTAGCGTCAGAAGTGGGGACAGTCAGATCATGTACACACGCTTTCTTGTCACTACATCGTCGGGCTTCTTGTGGATATGGAGGGGGGTCATTCCCCTCGGCTGAAAGAGCAAGTCCGTAGGGGCGATTATCGATTTTGGCCCGCGGGCCACAAGTTGGACACAGTTGGACAGGCCTGCGCTAGACGCTTACTTTTACCACGTCTCTGTCTAAAAGTGGGGGTTGACGCTGGTGGTTGGATGACGGAGTATCGCCATCGCGGCAGCATATGCGCGTGAAGAAAGAGACGTGACCGACGTGACAGCAATTGTTGCGGCTGTGTTTGCGCGTTCGTGATTATCGAAGGCCTCTAGGAAAATGGCCGAAATAAATGAACGACTTGTTTATTCCCCAAGAAGTCTGTACCAACTGAGTGCGTCCAAGATAGTCTACCTCTTCGTGAATGATAGTTTCCCACACGTGAAGTCCTTGTCCAATTTACCGAACGATGTAATGTTCGATCTTTACTATCAGGTAAACGTCAAAACGTCTTGTGTTGTGTAGTTCTCTGAACACATATACAATCATCGGTGATTCAGACGTTCATATACGTATATGTATATATATATATATATATATATAATATGTATACATATACATTTTCATGTGATCAAAGCGGAATCTGTTTCTTTCGTCGCGATCACTTCAGAAATGATACGATTCCATTGCTTGATTTAATTTGTAAATGGATCGTTTAATGTGAGTAATATGTTCTACCTTTCGATCAATGCGTGCACTATAATTGCAGCACCGAAACGATCGCTGTGTAGTTCAATATTTATTGTAACAGCGTTTATAATTGCACGCTATTAAAAAAGAAAGAATCGTAACGTGCCAGCAAACACATTGTTGTTTCATGATGTGCCAAACTTTATTCTATTGTCTATTGAATCTGTAGACATTTCTGACTTATATAGCTTTTATCGCGGTTTCTCTTCGATTAAATGTAGGTTTCATTCGCGAATCGCTTCACAATAGTGCGATCATATTGGAGCGATTACACACTTTATTTTTCTCTTATTCTTCTTTCGCGTTCACAAAACGGAGTCGTAAATTTGAAAAAAATATAAATAAACCATCTTGCGATTGTAATAAATAATGATATTTTAAATAATTGCGAACGTTTATGCAAAATATAAATGTTTATGAACCAATCTACAGAAATTGCAATCAAAGAGAAATTTGTTAACTGCATTGTGGATTATATCAAATTCCAAATTAAATAAAAATCTCATTAAACTATTTTCCACTTGTTAGCATACTAAGTTTCATATTATTATAAATAATAAATATGCTTTTACAATGATGCACTATACTCGTTCAAAAAATATAAATAATTTATTGCTATTCTTGATTTTGCAGTTATACAAAGCAAATGAACTATGCTTCATAAACTTGGAACTAAGCAATCTAGATACCTTCTCTAAGATGTTGACTGTTATTGATCGACGCATACATTTGTTCCAATGTTTCCAGGTAAGGAGCATGAAAGATATTATCACATTACCTACCAAGGTCTATTTAATAGGATTTTTAGATACAACGATTAACAGCCAAGAATTTTTTTTAAACACTATTGCAATTCATAATTCAAATTTTAAGATTTTAATACATTGTCTAACATGTAATTTGAATTATTCTTCAAGGAACTTATTGAAGGCAGAACAGGAATCAAAAAAGTGCTGACTATGAGATATACTTCATGTTGCTTCCATACTAATAAAAATCCAGCTAGTCAAGAGAAAATGATAATGTTAGGTTTCAGACTTGGTGGATTTTTAAGCGATGCTGGCTGGTATGTCGAAAGTGAACAAGTGTTCCTAAATTGCCGCCAATTATGTTTAGCAAATAATACTACGCCCGAAAATTGGTGTAGAACGTTAGAATGCTGCCGTAGGTAAACAAGATATCATGTATTAACTTCTACCTTATCTGTAAATGAATTTTACATTGATTCTTAATAAGTATCTGATTTTAAAGATTACTACACGTCCAAGCAGCATACTGCTTGTTTCAATGTGCAGCAGACACACAGAAGTTTGCTATGGAAATAGTGAAACAATTAAAGGAGGCAGAGTTCGATTGCAATTATGCTGCTCTATGCAGTGAATTCAGTGTATTATATTATATGAGAAGCGAGTATGACGAGGCTTATAGGTATTCGCTGCATTTACTTTTATTAACTTCATTCTTTGTAAGTTTTAGTAAGAGAATTTTGGATCATTTTTTTAGGTGGAGCATACAAGCATTAAAACAATTGAAACCGACGCTGCCCGCCCGCATTACTATTGACGTTTTGAGGCAGGCAGCAAAATCATGTGTAATGAAACGGAAATTCCAGAAGGCTGGTCTGTTGATCAGACAAGCTCTGTATCTTACTAGACAAGTATTTGATAGAAATCATCCAGTGTACAGTAATGTTCTTATAGACTATGGTTTTTACTTGTTGAATTTTGATAGCTTAATCAACAGTGTAACTGTTTACAAGGTCAGCAAATTATTTATCATAATTCGTTTTCTCACTAATTACATCGATTGCATAAATGGTAATGATCTATTCTTTCAGAAAGCGCTAGAAATAAGGAAGTACGTATTTTCAAAAATGAATTTACATGTTGCACTGGCTCACGAGGATTTAGCTTACGCTCTATATGTGTGCGACTATACTTCTGGTAAATTTCAAATAGCAAGGTAAGCGAATTGATAACTAATCATACTCTAGGCTGTAAAAAGTATGCTTTCTCTCATTGTATATTTATTAAGCAGCGAACATGTTGGAGTAGCGATAGGTATAATGGAGAAGCTTCTACATGGAGATCATTTATTGTTAGCGAGTGCGAGAAGAGTACACGCTTTAATACTCGAGGAAATAGCAATAGACGGTATATCCATATCGTTGGCACAGCACAATTTATTATTCAAGGCTGAATGCTTACATCTGAACACTTTGCAATTAGCGAGAAAAGCATTTGGCGAAAAAAACGTGCAGATTGCAAAGCATTACGGAAATCTGGGGCGTCTCTATCAGAGTATGAGGAAATTCGACGTAAGCGTGACACGTTAAATATACTGAATAAATATATCATGTAATAAAAGTGATATTGTACATATATGTATATATATATATATATATGTGTGTGTGTGTGTGTGTGTGTGTACCTGATATCTGTTTTAGGCAGCAGTAGCAATGCATATCAGAGCCATACGAATCAAAGAAGAATTACTAGGACCGGACGATTATGAAGTTGGCTTAAGTATAGGACACTTAGCATCATTATATAATTTTCATATGTATCGATACAAAGAAGCTGAGACACTTTATTATCGTAGTATCGCGATCAGTAAGTATATATTGGTAATTACACAGCTTAGTGTCTATTCATATTTCAGTGCAATGTACTTTTACGTTATTAGACCAAAAATTGTTCGGTGAAAGCTATAGTGGATTGGAGTATGATTATCGAGGGCTTCTACATGTTTATACCAAACTGCACGAATATGATAAAGTGCTGCAATACGAAACTGCATTAAACAATTGGAGGGCATTGAGATACCAACATGTCCGATCGGAAGGTCCACCAATTGATCACGAGAGACGCCCGCAACCGATCGAAGAAGTGCTTGATACATTCTTTTCTATGTAATATATTTGTACACTTACTTTCGAATGTTGATATTCATCGAACGACTTTATATTAATTTCATATTGCTTGGTATAACTCGAACCAAAGTATAAACGAAATTATGAGTTAGGTTGTACAACTAGCATTTCGTAAATCATGTATCTGTTTAGCTGTACATAATGCGATAAATTTTTTATATTGCCGATACGTTATCAGAGGACTGTATATTCATTGTATGTTACATGACATTCTACATGTCTCTGTACTGTGTACTTCGTCGACTTGTATGTACATGCTATAATTATGTTTACAATTAGTTTCAGAATGAGGCGAATAGATTCATGTCTGAATGTTTGTTTTGTTTACGTTAAAATTGTTTGCAATTAATGTATTAGGTTGGTGCAAAAGTTCGTCCCGTTGTTGGATTTCAGTTCTTTAGCCAAAAACCTCAGAACTTCTATGAGCTCGGGATTATGCAGTTACCGCGAGATGGAAAAAGGTCATCGAACAGAATGGCACATGCTATATTTATTAAATGTAATTTTTAGTAAATCAAATTTTTTATCAATTTTTGTCAAGTGGAACGAATTTTTGCATCAACCCAATATGATACAAGATTTCTAATTTATAGCAAAGTGTATTATACAAATGTGAAAACCGAAGAGAGTAAAAAAGTTTTTATTATACACAATGACGTTATTTTGTGTTAACGGAAAGAATGTAAGCATATTGTTCGTAGAACATTGAATCTTTAATAGAGTGATACACGAGGAATAATTCGTAGCAAATTACCAACTTTCGTAGTGTGTGTGTGTGTGTTAATAAATAATGTACAGTAAGAGGCAGTTATGTTATATGCGCAATGCATTTACTGTAAATTGTACGCAGCTATGTGTAATTTAATGGTATGGTGCACATACACATATTAATGCGTTATTTCTGAACAATTTCGATGAGAAGTTCGAGATTTTTCGAACACCAGTTAATTTGTAATATAGCTGTACTAGATGAATTATTTTCACTCTTACTCTACAAACCTCGTACAATTAGATATGTGATATATTTTGTTTTATCGAACACTCTGTTCCTATATAAACGTTACACCAATTACTGAGACTATAAAAAAAGAATTTGATGGCTTTCGAAACATTAAATTAAAAGAAATGTGTCACACTACAGGGAAGTGTAAAAATTTGTGCTGCTTTGGAAATAAATAAAAAAATTTCAAATGTTTTACATGGCTAGTGTTGCGATAATGACAGGGTGTATTTACAAATGTATATATGTATACATGAACGCACACATATGCAATTCATATTTTCGAAAATTGTGTAATATTTTGAATTTACAAAAAAATTATTTTAATACGTAGAAGTACTAGATAGCAAATCAAAATGACTCAGTAAAAATGAAGTACATTAATGAATAAATGATTAATGTATTCGTTCTATACGAAGCTTATTTTTAATAATATAGATAAGAAGGCAGTAGATAAACAATCATAAATTTTTGGATAACACATACATTCAAAAGCTTTAATCTTTTAAATTACAATAAACGTTAAGTAGTACATAATTCGTATTTACACGATATTTATCTTATCACTCCAGTTTTCAGGTAATAGGAATCTTATCTAGCCCCCTCTCGCACTAGCAGCATCTCTAAAATTTCCTGAAACTAATAAAAAAAACATGCATTTAATGCACTTATGCGTGGTTTAAAAAAGAAAACATTTGATTCATGGACGCATAATATTACCAAATCAATATTGCACATCGCTGGACTGGTCTTGCGTTCGAACATTTAATCAGGTGTGTGTGGTGGTTCTTGGCTAAAATACGGTGCTGTATCTTGCACCAACAGCGTATGGCAAACATCACAGACTCTGGATGGTCTTTGTTTCGGTCCGCTTTTCACAACATGTGAAAGGCACGACTGACAAAATATATGGCCACAATGACGGCAATGTACCTGTGAGAATATACTTTAGTCTTCACTGATACGTTTAAATGAAACGTATGCGGTTTAGGTTTAATTTTTCACAATACCTTTTTCTTTGTAACCGTGAAAGCAGTATGACAACTAGGGCATTCTTCTACGTCCTCCTCGTGTTGCCATCTAACTTCACTACCAGCTTGTCTGATTCTTTCTAGTTGTACCTGATGACAACAAGTAGGATATCAAGTTAATACTGCACATTTTCCAACAACCTAATGTTACACCACTTTTTTTTTTATACATCATACCTGCAACGACTGTGACAGTCTAACAAAGTCTTTCTGAACTGCTTCACTAGTATCTAGTTCTTGTTGAAGGCTGGTAACTCTTTGTCGTAATTCGGCTATTTTTGAATCAGCTTCTTTATTTTCTTTTAACACCACGTCCAGTTGTTTTTCTAAACGTTCTAGTTTTTCTTCTTTCTCAGCGAGCGATCGATGATCTCTGATGTATTTATCTAATTGTGTTCTGCAAAACAATATTATCAGAAATAGCAAACATTTATTATTACTAAATACTTAAACAATTAGGGAAACCTAATGGATAGTGTTACCTTAATCCGCTGATATCATTCTTCAATACCGACACTTCTTGTTCTTTCACTCTACTTTCCTGTTCCATTTGTTCATGAAGCAAGGTCACTTCGTATCGTAACGTGTCCTCTTTTTCTTGCGCAACCTCTTGCGCAACTTTGGCAGTAATCAGATCCTCGCGCATTTTTAGAAGACTAACATGCAAGTCTTCGACATTGTTCGGCATATTGATGCTCTCACTTTGCAATTGCTGGGAATGCTTACTATGCTTACCAACAAGATTCTCATTTTCCTTTTGCAGTCTGCAAAGATTCAACTAATTTTCAATAAAATTTTATCTGGAATGCCTCGACGAAGGATGTTACTTTATATTCGTGAAAAATTCAAAAAGGATGGTGAAAGAAAAATCACGTAATTACTAGAAATTTTCTTACGCAATAAGGTGCCTCTGTACTTCTTCCCGACGCCGCGTTAACTTCACCAGTTCATCTTTAACGTTCCTCTGAACTTGTTCAAAAGATTTCTTCAGCTCAGTCAAAGTCTGTTGTACAGTTTGCGAGGTGACTGTCAATTCAGCTACTTTGATTTTGTGCTCTTCTTTTTTTTCATTCCACTTCTCTTCCATTTCTTTACGGAACTCCACTTCTTTGGCCAAGTCTTCTTTCTGCACTTGTAACATACGCTCCGAGTCGAGAAGTTGCCTTTCGAAATCTTTAGCGGTTGCTTGCATCTTAACTAATTGCGCCTCGTAATTTGCACACATATCGCACACAGGTTCAAAGGAACCAGATTCCTGTTGTCTCTTTAGCGTCTGTGCTTCCTTGCATTTCTGCAGCTCATCGTCTGTAGATCTCAGTTTTTCTTTTAAGGCTTTAATTTCTTCTTCGAGTGGCACTACCAGTGAACGCAGAACTTCTGCATCTTCCTGTGCCTATAAAGCAATACTTTCTAATATTTGCACACCTATGTAAAATCAATAGGGGAAAAAAAACACAAGTAATAAAATAAACACCTCGCCGTGATCACTGAAATGATTTATGAACAGTTTCTGAAATGCAGTGCCACTCTATAAACTCATTGCAGAACAGTTCAAAAACCATGTATCTTTAAGCTTACGTACATATTTTTTTACCTTCCTCATGCTTTCCTCGAGATTGTCAGGGCCTAAGGATAAAGCATCTGCACCTAATTGTGAAACTACTTTTCGAGCTATTGTTTTGGTGACTGTGGATAGTGAGATCTGTGGTCCATCTACAGGTGGCTCCCGAGGTAACTGCGATTTTAACAACGTGTTTTCTTCTTGCAACTTGGAAAGAGTCATTTTCAATTTAGAGACTTCTGTGTCCAATTGTTTTCTTGAACATGAACTTTCTTCCACCGTTTCGTGTATCACTTGTTGTAAGGATGCTATTTCTTCTTGAGCTTTTCTTTTCTCAATAAGCATATCATTCTGAACTTTTAGGTCTGCAACAACCAGTTGAGTCTTTGCCTCATCTAATTCATTTTTCAGTCTTGCAATCTCTTCTTGCAGACATGTGTTATCGCGTAATCTCCTCTTGAATTCTTCTACAAATACAAGGAATTCAACATAAATAACTGACAAAAGATTTATTAGAGTTATTTACATGAACCCAGTTTACCTTCTCTTTGAAGAAACAGTTCCTTTAGCTTTGCTCTCTGAACATTGAATTCCTCACGCATCTTCACATTTTCCAATTCCAGTTTATCTACTTTCTGCTGTAGATCCTCTGAATTGTTACGAAGACTTTGTTAGTAAATTCGGTTAAAACACGAGGAAAGTAACATTAGTCTTGAGCAATAAAGCTCAACTTTGCGGGAACGTTTCTCAGCATTAACAAGAGCGTTTCTGTCAATTGATGTGACACTGAGAAACATTTCGTGAAAGTACGACCGCATCAAACGTACCGCTTCCGTTCATGTTGATGGTGCTGTCCTGCGTGTGGTTCTCCATTATTCGACGATTCGTCGCGACTAAATGAAATTTTGTCGGAGTCGGATCAGTGGCTATTGTGCAAGACAGAAAAATGAATTTTAAGGCATTCCTAAGTCGAACCTTTCGATGACATTATGGCACCGTGTGCCTAGTTAGTCACTCTCAGATTTTACTGACATTCATCTCAACGACAGAATTCCCAAGATTGCAATCACGCGTGGCTACGCAGAACGATGTCACGTTCGACGAAATGGAAAATGAACCTCAACAATTTAGCGGTCTGCCAGCGGTGTATTATCAGCACTTCCTCATCAATCGGTATATCGATATTTTGAACAGTGTGTATTCGATAATCGAGTACTTGAAATCGACTCCGCCAAAATCTCGTTTATGTCACTTGACCACTTCAAAACGTACGCGGCAGTACAAACTGAATAATGTATGTTAGGATACACGTGATTGATAATATTTTCCATAAAAACAGTGAGGTGACAGAACGTAGTATGAGTCTACTGTAAATCTATTTATATTAACAATGGAGATTTACTAATGGAACGAGCGCCATTTTTTTACAAAATCTAATCTAAACATTTGTTGCTAACACTTTATGAGTATTTTGAAGAATGTCTTTAAATATTACACATTTGCTACTAATGCTTCATAAGTGTTTTAAAGAATGTCTTTAAATATGACACATGCGACACTCGCAACTTTATTAATATAGTGAATGGAACCCGTTGGATCATATATAAACAGTCACACCTTTAGGATCCTATAAATGAATCATTATTATAGATTAGCAATAGAAGAGTTGAAAATCAAAAACTGAGTTTTTAAAAATATTTCAAAGCTTTTCTAGACGAAACTATTTCAAAATAAATACAAATTTTTACCAAAAATAATGGATTGATTACTTATAGGTACCTTCAATCGAAAGTTGCAAATTAAAACTTATATTATAACAATTAAATCTAAAGTGTCATTTTACTATAACTTCATTAATTCCTTAAAGGAATTATTAAATAATAAATTGAAAATGAATAATTATTATATAAAGCAAAATTCTAAATACTTTTGCAAAGGTTAAAGTGCTTTTATGAATTGCTGATTTGTCACACAATGTATACAAAGCAACGGTATAAATTTTCGACCGCTAATTATCCCCTCTCTCCTAAAAACAGAATCAGCAAAAGTGCATCAAGTTATCTTCCATGAAATCGATGATTCACAATAATAATGTTGCGTGATTATGTGACTACAGACTATAAGGAAAGGAACATAAGAAACCAATCAAGGACATTCGTTGTAAACAAATAAACTCTTGCAGTGTTCCATAAAGTAACAATCATGCTCGCAGAGCGACCATTACCGAGAGTTTACCTGTTTTGGAAATTAACAATTTCTCGTCGTCAAACAAGATAAAAAAAGACTGATACACATTTCCGAGGGAAAAAGAGAGCGCGAAACGTTAGCCTTGAATTTACTTTCGAATGCGACTCGAGTGGTTTTTTCAAAGAGTTGCCTGTTGCAATCAGCGCATCCGCGACTGCACTGTCAGTTGCTCGTAATGGAGCTGTTGCTACTAATGGGCATTTAACTCTCTCGACATTGTACAAAATCTCTTGTTCTTGGTAAATTTCTTCAAGAGTGCCGAAACATTAATCGTTATGTCGTGATATTCCTTAAATGTCATAAATCGTCAAGCTTCGAAAGAGTAAGAACGTCGCCATCACAGCTTCTGTCAATTTGCGCAGTTAACCGGTTGACCGAATGTGTCTTCATTTTTTTTCGTCATAATAATTTTTTCTCTATCTTCATTCACAACACACTGACTGATCCGTTCGTCGATGCAATCATTCAAACGTAAATGATCCAATGATTACAATGCGAGTTTATAGATAACAGTCAATCTCTATTTACGTTTCCTTGGCATTCTCTGGACATTGTTGAAACTAAATATGTGTATGTACAGATGTATACAGACTTTATTACGTTTCAGAAGTAACATCGAATAACATCATGAGTGCGTTATGGAGAGAACATAAAATGGAAGCGACTAGACCAGCTATTATGGAGAGCCTGGATAGCATGTGCATTTGTAACAGGGGCGTACACCATTCCAATCATGACTCAGTTTCCATAAATGGTATCTGTGAAAATGGATTAAGAGCAAAGTGCCAGTGCAATGAATCTAGGAGCTTCTTGTTAATAGATGGACAAGAAAATCTTAGGGTGTTTAGTGCTGAACAGTTCATAGAAAAATTAAACTGTGGTCAGAAGGATCTAAAAGTAAAGGTAGTGTCCATCTTTGGGAATACAGGTGATGGCAAGAGCCACACATTGAATCAAACATTCTTCAAAGGAGAAGAAGTATTCAAAACTTCAAACAAGCAAAACTCATGTACCTTAGGAGTTTGGGCAGCGTTTGATCCAACCCTCAAAGTGATTTGTTTGGATACAGAAGGTTTATTAGGTATTTTAACATTCAAACGTATATTGTGCATCATACTTTAAGACTGTGCAAGAATGTTTTAATAATTGAATTATCTTTATGTAGGTGTTTCAACTCACGAGAATGAACAAATGAGGTTGTTACTTAAAGTCCTTGCTGTGTCTGATATTGTTGTGTACAGGACACAGTCCGAAAGATTAAACAAAGACTTGTTCATGTTTCTTGGTACCGCTTCACGGGCGTACAATCATCATTTTCAAACTGCCTTACAAGCAGTCGGACAGAGAGAAGGTGTTCTAAGCTCCTTAAGTACATTGGGACCAAGTGTTATAGTACTACACGAAACTAGATACACCGAACCTCTGACCAACAGTACATATTGCTACATTCTCAGATTAACAGTAATTTCAAAATAAGAGTTTCCTCACAAATTGTAATATCAGTTTCACAACAAATATATTGTTTTCTTTCTGTCGCAGATGGTGCGGAAAGTGCGGAAGAAATTCTTAGAACACGATTTGCACAAATGAAACTCGAAACGGAGGCGTTCAGTTCCATGAAATATGTCAGTCTGCAGACGGCAAATCCCACGGCTGATTATGCACTTTTGCAGGCTACAATTAAAAAAGAATTAAATAATACAACCGTTCGATCTGCCAGACAGCCGTATTTAGTTTATAATACCCTAAAGGTTTTAAATGATAAATTTTCTGGAGAAATTGAAACTTATTCCAATTCTTTGTTTCCCGATCAATATTTCACCTGTCCTGTTAAATGTCTTAGCTGTGGATGCAGATGCAGTAATAGTATGGGTCATCTTCGAGAGGGAATACCACACAGTAGCAATACTAGGTCAGTTTTATAATCTACTAAATAAAACGATCACGATTGAACTGAATTTTACTTCATTAATTTATATATTTGCAGGTGCCGGTATCAACATCAGTATGAAAATCTAGTATATATATGTAAAAAATGCCATAGTAATGGAAACGAAATTCAAGTTACAAAACGGATTCAATCACAAAATGATAATAGTTGGTATGGATTGGTTAAATATGCTTGGGCAGGGGATGTGATAGAGTGTCCCCATTGCGGAGAAATATATAGAAGTCGTCAGTATTGGTACGGCAATAAAAATCCAGAAGACTTTGCCGTTCGTACAGAAATTACACATGTATGGAATATGGTACGATATTAAAATATCATTTCGTTCCGTAGGAATTCACTCTTTCTTCCACCCTTAATCATCTCATATTTTTAGGCAAACCCATCGATAACTTCTCAGAATACGGCGCAAAAAGTAATCGATGGTGTGTCGTATATTACCGAAGCTGTGAGTAATGTCTCCTTACAACCAACAAAGGTGCTGTCTGCGTGGGTTGCCGATCAGGTAGCACCCTCTTACTGGAGACCTAATAACGAGATAAAACATTGCCACAAATGTAAAGACGTATTTGGACCAACCGATACGAAGCACCATTGTCGGGCATGCGGTGAAGGCTTCTGCTCACAGTGTTCGTCCAAAATAAAATGTGTTCCATTTAGGAACTGGCATACACCAGTACGCGTCTGTGATAACTGTTATAGCAAGGATACAAACTCCAATGATGAAACTACCGAAACTTCTGAAGATGTGAGTGCAAGAAAAGTATCTGAACAAGTAGTCTCTACCCTGAGCGCGGTCGGAACTGTTCTGAACTATTCAAAATGTAAGCATACGTAAAATTCATATTTATACTGGCATTTTCGAACTCTTTAATCGTTTAACGTTTCGATCACTGTTCCAGCATTCATAAAAGATACCGTTCGACCTTCCTATTGGATCCCTGACTCAGAAGTCGTTAATTGTTGCATATGCTGTCAAAAATTTTCTATTTCTCTTCCACTGCATCATTGTAGAGATTGTGGACGTGGAGTTTGTCAAGATTGCTCGCAACATCGTAAACCCGTTCCGCATAGAGGTTGGGACAAGCCAGTTCGTGTTTGCAACTCCTGCATAAAGATTGACTAAGGGAAATTATATACGAATGATAATAGAAAATTAATTCCTTAGGAGCATCATTAATTCATCGGCACAATATACAATGACTTGAACTAAACGCTAAGGCGATTAAAAACACCAGTTTCCTGTTCTTCAAATTTTGTTGTAAGACATTTGTATATGTTCATGCAGTATTCATTTAATCCGTAATATTTTAATTTGTTTTCCTATTGAATGAACTAAAATTGAATATTTTAATACATGAATGTAAAAAAATTTTCCTATGAATTGTGCCATGTAAATGTATTTATCTTTTCTACGGAAAACTACGTTTGAAAGAGCGAACCATCGTAAATATTCAAATATCACACAGTATAAAATATATGGAACAGTATGTTGTAGCAGTATCTATGAAATCATAAATTATAGCGAGAAATATTCTTATTGATGAAAAGAGATGAACTTCGCCACCGATGTCGCGGTTTACTGGGCTGTGAATGTCTTAGATTCCAAAAAAAAAGCATTTCCCGATTTCTCTGTTATACTTTCAGTACCTAGTTTTATATAATTTAAGAAAAAAGAGAAACTACCTTTATTAAATACTGTAAACCACTTCGGTTTCAAATAGTAAAATAAACTATTGACACTTAAACGATATGGCTGCTTATTTGCCTGTAAATCTAATTGTACGATGCGGTGATACGCAATTAGATATTTGAGTTATTGCTAGTGAAATTTTCGAGAATGTAAAAAAGTTGTAAAAAGAACTATGTTAGAAACTACGTTTGTTTATAAAATATAATACAAACTTCGCTATTCTTCACTTCAAAGCTATACGAATGTTCTGGAGGATCTAATATGTATCGTTTTACAAAGTTCATGTTTTCCCGGGTCGTACACGATACATCGATGTTCGAGTTGCGATAGAAGATGTTTCGGCGAGCACGTGATGACGTCAAAACATGGCGTCTCAATCAGCTGGGTGTTGTGTAGAGTGTGCTTGAGATGCCCGTCTTTAGAAAACCAACGAAGACTGCCGTCTGTCTACTTGAATACGTGAGTTTTCAAGAGAACCCTGTACCGTTTTGCTTCTCGTGGTCGTTTCTAAGTGACAAAATTTAAATGCACAACGACAACTCAACGTTACAGTAAAAACCAGAAAGACGCAAAACACCGTTTCATTTGTTAAACATTTCAATGTGGCTATCTTCGAAAAATTTCCCATAAATAATGGGAATTTCGGTAATGTTTCGCGAATGGGATTGTTGGATCGTGAAATCGTGAAAAAGTTTCATTCCTTCGAGATTAAGTGTCCGAACGATGACGCGTACGTAAAAATACATTAAAAATATGGTTGGTGGAGGAGCTTTTTTCGGGACGACCGAATGTTCTTTTATATTTGTGTAGTATTCGACGTCGTAATCGTCGGGAACGATTGAAAAAAAGTGGATTCTCTACGGAACACGATGTTGATACCGTGTGGAACCGATGCCGTGGCCATTTTCATGTTTGCTCCAGTTTCGTAATCATTATCAACTCCATATTTGAATTCAACAAGTAACGCAGTGGCATGTTTCGGCTGTTCTCGAATTCTTCGTGTTATGCCTAGATTTCGCTAACGACACAAATTCTATCCAGCTTTTCCTCTTCTTTTTTACTATGTAATACGCGTGCAATGTGAAAAATCGTGTCTGTTACTTGCTCCGAATTTTTCGAAAAATGAATACATCCGTGAAAAATTTGTTTATCACATTCCACGTATCCACCAGCGATTTCTGTCCAAACGTTGTTGCTGTGCGACTGTGAATGAAAAATCTAGAACACGAATGTTCAGGAGTCATTTGCGTTACGACTTGTCGATAATAAGGCCGAGGAAACACGCTAAGAAAACTGAGTGCGCCGTTCAAGACGCCATTTTTTTCGAAAACGATTTAAAAGTACATTGTCGGTACGATGAATCCCGTGAAACGGAGTACGCGTGAAATACCTGCGACGCTGTCGCTTTAGGGGATGTACATCGTGGAAGGTATCGAGGAACACATCGATCCCTTCGAAGTTTATTTTCAGAGTCCAATGTGTTCCGAGTAGCACGGCCATTTTGTCGCTTATTAGTGGATAAACAAATGACGATGATACTGTGGGTTCGAGGCTACATGCGCATTACGATGCGCGGAAATTCAATTTCACTGACTACGCGTCCATTCTTAACACTTCGTTGACGAGGCGCTTCAAAATATGCTTTATATGGACACAACGTTATGTGCTCTGTGTTAATTATTACTTATTATTATGAACATATACTTGAAAACGTTCTATATCCAGTGCACCATTGATGGTGCACAATAAACTTTTCGTTGTGATCATTGACTCTTTTCATTGTCAGCACATCGTAACATCGATTAATTTTACTTATTCAATGAAAAATTAATATTTGCATTCTTAAATGTTATCTAGTAAATATTTAAACGTTTATAGTTTACTGTGGGCTATCAATGACCCCCGAGTGACACGAACGGAAAGTCACTCGAAAATACTGAAGACCCGAAAAAGAGCAGAATTTATTAAAACAGAAAAAGTTACAATGAATTTTAGAAAGCGTATCAACGCATTAAACCCCTTTAGTAAAGCGTTAATTACGATGTTTCTATATGTTACAAAAATAAGAAACGAATAATATTGAGAACGATCGCTTTCTGTACTTCTCTCTTATTTCTCCGTAAAATACTTTTCGTACCTGAAAATTGACACACATTTCTTGATAAAATTACACGTGATCACCATTTTTTATTACTGACGAATGGTAATTTGTTATGTAATCATAACTATTGACCGTTTTAATGTTTTAAATAATTTTCTCTGTTGCGAAAACTTGCAATTTACGCTTCAGAATAATGCCGACAATAATTCGACTGTTCTAAAGAATAGAAGCGTTCGGGGCTACTAGATGTAACCATGCTACTATACAATTGCGAGGAAGCTGTTGCTTAGCAACAGCATTTCTGCCTCGTTGCCGACCGAATCATCGACGCTTATCTATTTTTTCTTCGTTTCGAAGATAAAATTCTCTTTCTCTTGAAAGAAAAAAATAACGAAATACTTCTATTACTAGCACGTAACTTTTTTGTTTTTTTGAATATTATTTTTATCTTTTGCCGTTTAAATTCTTGTGATATAATACAGTGTGAATTCATTCTAGAAGTAATATGTATGTATATAGGTATATGTATGTATAGCATACTGAAGTTTGAAACAATTTTTTAGTAATTATAAATGAACTTATCAATGCAATTTAATATTTATAACTTTATGTTACAGTGACAAGAAGAATATTTGAAACAATATGCCACCAGATAGGCCAGATGCATCAGGAGTAGAAACTGGAATTGGGCTGAACAGCACTCAGGTCTTCAATTTCGGGGAAACAGTGTACACAATGAAAGAGGAAGAGAATGCAAGTGCTTTTGTTGAGGCAAATTCGACCGACGAGCTTCACGAAGATGTCTCAATGTCAGAGAAATCTATAGAGAGGAATAGTCAGTTAGATGATGATTTAACTTCTTTAACCTGGTTACACCAGCAAAATTTGTTGAAGGGTTTGGATATTTCGAATCCATCCAAAGACATAAAGAATGAGAATTTATTAAATAATAATGTATCTAACGAGGTGGCAGACTTTTCTGAGAATACCAACTCCATTTCGAGTTTAGACGACGGTTATTGTCCAGGTAACTATTATATGTTGTCTAGATCAATTTGGTTGGCATAGCAGCGTTAATTAAATATCATTTTCTTCTTTTCTCATTCCCACAACAGATAATACTGGCAAGATAAATAATTCAACGTCGTACAGTCATAGTCAGAGCTTTCAGCATACAAATAAGAATGGTCAAAGGTCAATGCAAATATTTCAAGAGTCGGTGAAAAATCATTACAATTCCTCGCAAAATAATCAAACGAAGATCTCTTTGAGCAACAACAATCTGCCAGTTTCTAATCGGAACAAACATCCCACTCATATACCATATGATCCTCATTTGCACAGAAACAGTAAACCTCCGTATTCATTTTCCTGTTTAATTTTCATGGCTATTGAAGATAGCCCTGTAAAAGCTCTGCCAGTCAAAGAAGTATATGCATGGATTTTGGATCACTTTCCATATTTTAGGAATGCTCCCACTGGATGGAAAAATTCTGTAAGACATAATTTAAGCCTGAATAAATGCTTTCGTAAGGTGGAGAAAGCACCGGTAAGTACATCGCGCGTCGCGATATTTTTGTTTGATACTTACATTTTCGAGCAGACATCATCAGACGAAATTCTGCCCTTTCAGAATTTGGGCAAAGGGTCGTTATGGATGGTGGACGCGCAGTATCGTCCAAATTTAATACAAGCGTTGTCTCGTGCTCCATTCCCGCCTCCTACCGCTCAAACATTGTCTTCCCCAGAAAAACCCGTGAGAAAAAATACAAGTACACGGCTTCCAGATCCTATTCTCTTCCCGTACCTTTCCAAGAGACTGGCATCAAGTAACATTACTGACAACACAGATACGGAAGTGGACAGTGATGTTGACGCAGCGGCAGCTGCTATGCTTTCTTTCAAACACGGACCTATTATTCTAAATCACAATAAAGGTAGAGACCGTTAATTGCAATGTTCGAAATTTCATAGTAATTCGTATAATTTTATCGTAGATCGTAAACGAAAATTACCAGAATCTGAAAAGTTGATTCCAGTAATCACTAGGAGCTCTAGCGAAGATCATACATACAGTTGCATTACCTCAGTAAAATTAGAAAGGTAAGAGTAATGTTATATTACATTATATTAACAGTCACGGTTTTTTTTATTTATATTATATGTTTCTTACGCGTTCATTGGTTTAGCAAATTCCCGAAGGAAGAACCGAATCCCGACTTTGACGAGCAGCGGAAGATAGCGGAAGGTGCGGACGCGTTGTTGAATTTAGCGGGTGTAACCACGGGGCTTAGTAGAACGTCTCAAGTACAAGGTATCGCAACAAAGTCCGAGGGTACCGCGAAACCGAAGAAACGTTCGACTCCAAATGATTACTCGAACCCACCGGAGAAAAGGCGCAAACATTGGCCAAAGTGGAGTGACGGAAAGCGGTATTTAAAGCAAATTATATAAAAAAAACTTTTTTGTCGCGCGTACGTATATGCAGCATTTACGTACAATCTTATCTTTCGTCTCTGATAAAATGAAAAGAAAAAAAAAGGAATTTCTTAAAATTCTATTTTCAATGTCGATTATTGAAATCGAAAGAAACTTAAAAGTCTTATATCGCTGATAACGACTCTGTCGTTTTTCGAATGCAACCAATGTTAGCGATGATTTGCATCGAAGTTATTGCCATTTTTAGGCCTGTAAGAAGAAAGAATATGAGAAGACGCGATGCGTTGCGTCGCGTTCGAAGAAAAACTCTGTCGGGTGCATTTCTATTTAATGAGAGAGAAACCGAGAAAAGGGGAGATACGGGAAAAGAAAATAATTGGCGGTCGCTCAGGGTTTAGAACTCGCTATATGCCAAAATAAATTGAGTAGCACTAAGCAACAAGCAATAATAGGAAGATAGTGTTAAAGGAAAAATGTTAACTTTTCTCAGCGTGTTACTAAAACATGATTACAATTAAGCGGTTCGTGGAATGTCAATGAAGAAAGCACTGTCGCATACTAAACTAAATAACGGTAAACTTTTTAGACCTGTTGTGACAATTATACATATTAATTCATAGAGAGTTTAATTAATGATAATAGAGTTCTATATATTAGGTTTTTGTAGATATGTATAGAGATATAATTGATATCTATTCGATAGAGAAATTGATAATATATTTAAAAAAAAGATTATATATATATATACATATATACATATATATACATACACGTATATACACATACACATGTTCATGTTCATGCGCTCATTCATTTACATTTGAAATACATCTGGTCATGTACGCAGCTGTATGTGTGCAAGAAACGTACCGCACGAATAATCAGTAATAAAACAAAGAAACAAGAAAAAGAAATTACAGAAACGAGGTGCGCTAAAACATGGACTTGAAATGAGAAAAATAATATCATTTCATGCCTTTTTCTACTCTCTTTGTGGCTTTTGAGATGATTTTGAACAGTGCTGTATATATGTAGATCCTATAATGTATGCACGAACCAGTTTCGAAATTTTGTTAAAAGGATCAATATATCATGTCGGGTTGATAATATTGACTGGAACGTAAGGTGTAAGAACAAGAGGTCATCCTATTTTTATAAAAAAATAAAATAAAAAAGATAAATAATATATCCGTAATATTAAGAAAATCGTGAATACCTGATAAGTAATGAGAGATGTATATGTGGTATAACAGGCGGATATCGATAAAGAACTGGTCTTGCATACATTAATATCTAGTTCTATATAGAGAGAACGTATATTTTTACAGGGCACTGCCCGCGTGATAAAAGCTCTTCCTAATAATTCGCTAAAAACACAGTTCATTAGCTTAAACCATTTACTAATTGTAATCATAGCATAACTTGCGTGACACTACAAGCACAGCATGGTAGCGCAGCCTGAACAATTTCATGTGTTTATGATTACATGCCATATAATTGTGAAATTTTCATAAAACGAAACTGTATAATTTTTCGATTCTTTCGAATAGGGAATGCATGTAGCGAAGGTACTCGCACAGAGAACTTGGTTACCAATTTAAAATGACGAAATTTTAAATCGGAGACACTTCGAGAGTCTTACGGTTATACGTATAAACATAAAGGGAAAACAAAGAAGTATCAGTTGTTAGGTCGATAATAAATAATGATATTTAAGCGTCGCAGTGGAAATAACAATAAATTGTTACTTGTAATATATGTTACTGCTGGCTCAGATATATTCAAGACGCGAGACTCGTATAGTTACTGCTTTCAAGAAGGTGCAATTTAATTTAACTTATTAATTACTTGATTGTTTATTGTGTAATATTTAATGTGTTTAGTTACTTTTCAGAGTTTCCAATTCATCTTGTAGAAAATTTATTTAGTTAGGAATCGTGATGATGCGTTTGCTCACGAAACGGTAAAATTTCTGGCGAGTTAGTTTATTGCATTTGAGAACATTGCAGAAACGTAACATTCTTAGGTGTTATTAACGTAAAAATTCTATAATTTAGCGCAACGATAAATTTAAAGGACAAATATTGACAGGGCGCGCTGCCAAAACTTTTTATGTGATTGTAGCTAGTCAGCTACAAAGAAAAATCCAAGATAAGGGTGCAAGGAAGAATGCCATGTTATATATAATATATACGGTAAATCAACTTCAATTTTTGAGAGAAATGTACATTTTTATGTAATGTAAAATTATTCTATTTAGCCTATGCATACATGTTTATATTCTTTAGAGGTAATGCTCTTAAGTGTGAGGAATTTCTTTTCGAAATTTGTATAAACATACACACAAGCAAGAGTTTTTGTAGACTTTATGTTTTCTATTGTCTGTGATATTATTGCAAAACTAAACATGCCTTGTTGTTGTTGTTATACTTTGGTGAAGCAGACGTTTTTTTAGAGCTTTATAAGTTTTATTGGTTAGAAAAAAAGGGGAAAGGTATTCCCTAAACTTTCTGATATTATTAATTGGCATTCTTGCTGACACCTTAATATTCTAATCTAGATAGGGAAACTGGCATCTTCAAATTAGTAATACATTATATATATTATATATATATATATATACACATATTGAAAGTAATATCACGGTTTTCACTATTTGTTGAAATTTTTAGTCTAGCTTTTGTTTGCTATGACTAAAGATCTGTTCTTCCATGTAGTTTATTCTAATATAATCATTTAGGGGGTGGGATGCCATTTATAGTAATAGTAATCTAGCTAATCGATCAATTACAAATTAGAGTAATCGATTAGCAATACAACGTAAAAGCAATACACCAGTAAATCCTGACATCGGGCAAAATACTCTGGTCGGCCGATCTCCGGGAGAATATTTATTTATAAATCAATGTAATGTCACGCATTTGCACATAGCAAAGATAAGTACAAGAAAGTTGAATAAGACCGTAATTGTACAAGGATAGCTCATTCGTTGAGTATTTTTTACAAGTATTACTGTAGTATATACGCGGTAGAAATATCATTTCTTTCACGCGATCTTATAATTGCATGCGATTCATTACTTAATATAACGTTTAAATCCTGTGAAGGACGGCCGACTGACAGATAGATGAAACCATCGATGATTAAAACACCAAAAAATTAAGTGTACGAAACAAACCATATTTCATTGTATCGCGACTAGCCACGGACAATCAAAATGTAACATGGTGTTTAATTTGCTTCCATTACATGACATCGTGCCAAACGCAGAAATCATTTATTTGAGGAACAGATGTTAATTTATATCTACGAGCTGTACATTGTACGAATTTTGTTGGCGATATGTGTAATATTATTATTATTATATGATTATATTATTATTATTATTATTATTATTATTAATATAATTTCTATTCATTTTAAACAAAACACACACTGTAAAATGTTTGTTAAGTTTTTGACCTTGCTTATATAATTGAGTAAAATATTTAATATTTTAGATTGTAACCAAGACAGAACTTTATTAATGAAAAGAATGTGAAAAATCAAATGCGTGCAGAATTTATTGTTTAAACTCGCAACCTTCGCGAACGCGGTACATCACCTACAATTAAGAAAGAAATTTAAAGACCGATTGTTATTAATTGATGTTAATTTGAATACAATATATTAATATATATACATATATTAATTCTATATTGATACTCCTGAGTCAATTAACTAAGTTATCAAGTGCAGTTACTGAATGCAATGGAAGCATATTTTAATCGTAGTTGGCGCGATTTATGTAGTGATCGGTGATGTCAGAGGGTAAAAAATACTTGCAACGTCATCTATGACAAAATGCTAAACTACTAATCAAGTAGATTTATTTGCAGATGGCGCCACTTTGAGGATTTTGCATTTTCGCGCATTTTACGAAAATTCTAGAATTAGTTTCAATGTCCATGACCAAAGGTCTACCATTATTTTTGCGATCTCATGATTTTGCAGTTTGCTCGCCATGTTTGAAATTCAACAACTACTGCACACTTCGTACAAATATGGTACATATTTACTTTTTATTTAAATAATTACAAGACAATGTACAATTGACAATTACTGTGATATCTGAAAATCAGGAAATTCTTTGGCTATTCTCGATTTTATGGCACAAGTTCCATAAAATAATGTTCAGTCGTGAGGACTATAAAAATATATCAAAGTACGTTTCCTGTTTCATAATATATAATATTCCAAGTCCTAAGTTAAAATAAAGGAGAATTACTGACACTGTGCTTATTAGGCTTCATACTCCTTAAAAATGGTGCACATCTTCTGAACACACACAATATATTACTATGCCTACTATGCACATTAAAATTGCTAAAATCCAGTATTTCCAATAGTTTTTATTCGTTCCTGTTTGTAACTGTTTCCTGTCAGACTTATCTTTTCCTTTGCGACGTGGTTTGAATTTTCGTTCAAATTTCTCAATCTCTTCTTGATTACGTATTTCTTCGGCTTGTCGTTTCTGCTCCAGCAAAGCCGCTTCCGCTTCGCATTTCTCATTTTTCAATTTCTTACAAATATCATCGCATTGCACGTGTATTTGTTGCTTTTGTATTATAGAACACACAAAGTTCTTCTTGATCCGTTTGCACGGACAGAGTACCTTAACATTTTTATTGCACTCATTATCGTTCTTACATACACCGGGATGGCAGTCATTCATACATCGGTGTCCACAAGGATACTGCAATAAAAGTGATCCCAATAACGATTAAACAGAATACAGTCATAATACAGTAAATATATAAATATAATAAGATATTCATTTACATTTTTAGGACACTGGTTCCCACATTTGAGCAATTGATTACGTTGCTCCACTGTAGCCGATGTTAATTCGACGCATCTTCGGTACAAAGTGACTATACCGCAATGACATGAAATTTTAACTAGTTGTTTACAAGGACTACACGGTGCTGGGTGACATGGCTTTGGACACGAATGCGTACAACCTTGTGGTCGCGGGAATAAACATGGTTTCTCACATTCCATGCATGGGGTACTATTTTTACCATTGTCGGATTGTACTTTGTGGCAAACGAATTCACAATTATGGTTCGTACAGGATAACGTTCTTCCACAGAGCCTTCCACAAGATGTGGGTTTGGCCATATGACAAGGCCATGGACGCGTCTCATGGCCTCCTAAACATGTAACTGGTACTGATACTTCGCATGGTGGACACGGTAGCGTTTTCAATTGCTTGGTTTCTTTCTGTATTTCCCATGGCCCCGTAGCATGTGCATTCAGATCATTCTTGTTTACTTTTACCCAGACTTTCGTGTGGCAAATGGCAATGCACGAATGACCGCATCGTTTATATACTAAATCGCAAATTTTTTTACAAGGTGGACACGGACCTTGATGACATTTATGAGTTTCTCTTTTAGGGTGGTGACAAATCGGCGGTATCTTACACGGCTTGTTACAAGGCGGTGGTTTAATTCTCTTTGTTGTACCGCATGGTACTGTTATCTTATTGTAACCACATCTGCATTGAATAACGTCGGTAAGCACACACGGATAACAAGGGCCGTTGTGACATGGAGCCGAACATTTGTGCTTGCGACAGTTTAAAGTGTTCTCGCAAACTTTTTCGCATAAGTTAAACGTATTCTTGGTCAAACAATCGCAACATTTCTTGTTGCACAAATGCCTTCCGCATAGTCGCATTTGCGTACATTTTTTAGTGCAGTGAAATTCTTTGCCGCAGGCAATTTCTTTTTTATAACTTCCGCAACGACATGACTTTTTGACCACTTCCAAGCATTGTCCACATCGATTCGTGTGACATCTCATGCTGCAAAAATGTGAACCACAATCTAGTAGTTTGCCACACGTGTCGCCGCATGTGGGTAGTTGTTCCTGTTTGCAAGAAATCGCGTAACGCTTTTTCCCACAGGGACATGTTCTGTTCTTTTCCAGAGGACAAGGACCACATTCTCCAGGTAAATGGCATGTGCTCTGACAAAAGTGAACGTTACAAGATAGAGGTCGGCGACAAGGTTTATCGCACTTTAATGCACCTTCCGAACATTGCGTTACACCCTTGTAACTCTTACAGTGGCATTCAAGTAGCAACATTTCTGGACACGGAGGGCAGTCACCATCATGACATAATTCCTTGCAAGTATGAGAGCATGATTTGTATTTTTTGTTACATGCAGTACCGCAACTCCATTCTTTGGCATTGCATCTTCGTTGTTGAGGTGCTTGTTTGCCACAAAAACATTTAACCGACACTGTCTTAGCACACGGAGGACATGGCCCAGGATGACAGAGTAAAACACATTTGTGGCCACACTCTGGTTGCAAAAGTTTGTCACAAGTATCTCCACAAGAGTGTGGAATATTCCATGGATGAAATGCAGGGTCCACAACTTTTTTGCAGAAGCATGTATAGTTACGAGGAATTTCATCTTGCCTATACTCCGTACGACAATTTGGACTGAAATAAGTTTGTCAATGTAATAAAAAGTAAAGGGTTTAAATTGTATGATATTATGCTGCCTACTGTCACATGTTCCTTACCATGCCCATACTGGAGCAATACCTTTTTCACGTTTAACATTTAAACTATCACGTATCCATTGTAGTATGCAGGATAAATGTAAAAAAGCAAAACACTTACTGCAGTTCCAGATCTGAAATATTCTCATTAATTATTTCATACATATTCTAAAGAAGGTATTAAAAATACCAATATAATTTACTATACCGGATCTGCTTTTCTTATTGTTGAAATACATATTAAACAAACCGCGCTACCGGATTGAAATATATTAATTAAGTATGATAAAATCTTTTCTGCATCTGCCTCTCTTCCATGGTAGGCAGATAGTACTTTGCTAACCACATTTTGTATATCCTCTGCACCTATGTCATCTTCATCCTCACTGGATGATTCTAAATGAGCATTTGCTTCTAAATGCTTATTAATTGCTACTTTATTTTGTGCTTGAGCTCTTCTAAATTTCTGCATGTTTTTTTGGAATCTTGTATTGATAAGAAATATAGTCGATAACAGTTTACTCTACAATAAAAAAATGTAATTAAATAAAACTCTGAAATAAAATTTCAAAGTATGTACAAAATAGTTGTTAATAATTCCATTACAATATTTCAATTACTGAGAATGTTATATAAAATACTTCTTTATGTATAAAAGACAAATAGATAATTTATGTACCTATATGTACCTGTGCAAAGAAATAGTTAACACCTGAATAATATACTGCAGGTAATTAATCCTTATTATATAGTATATTGAAACAAAAGGGGAACATTTCATGTCAATTACATTACATTTGAATGCTACCAATTTTAACCATACTTTGCTATATATGCCACGCACACCACCGCACATGCAAAGTCAAGTGACCCGTGGACACTATACCCCACTCTTGCCATCCCTACTTATGTATGGTTTGATACGATATTCTATGATGCGGATCCAAGTGTAATCGTAAAAAACCTTAACAAATTGGACAATTATGAAGAAAAAATATGTACCAAAGATAGAAAATAATCTACTAAACTTCCATGTACTGATATTGAATGAAAATAATATTCGAATAATTAAATATTCAATTAAATGACAAATTGCGCGCTAAAAGTGAATGATGACGTCATCTAGGGAAGAACAGACGAACTACATATGTGCCCGCCAGAAAGTGGCGAAATAAATACGTGATGAGTAATAAATATCTTTTAGTAAAAGTGTTATGTATTCCACAAACATGTGAATTCCATTTAGTGGTCAAACTGAGGTACGAAACCGTGTCCTATATCTTGTAAACGTAAAATGTAATTATATTACACTGTCAAGGAGATTGTTTCCGATTTGCAACTTTGTTACACGTGGCGCCCTATGACTGTACAGTTGAGGTGTTCTCGATTTATCACGTTGTTCCTTTTGTTAAAATTTTAAGAAACCAATTGGTCGTTTAAAAAGTGCACGAAAATTCAGGACAATTGAGTTCTCTGTTAGTAACTTTGTTATATATCCCATCAGAACCTTACTATTTATTCAGTTTTCGGGAAAATCGCTTAATATATATATTCTATTTATATATTAATATAATAGTATATATCTGAATATATATATTCAGCTACGTGTCTCTTAAATTAAGTGAAATACAGAAGTTTTATTTTCTTGAAAATTAGTGTCAAAGAATGCAGCAACTGATCAGATTAGCTTCGTAAATAAATCGAAACCCTGTATCGACACATTGTTTTTTAGGCTATCAAATATCACACGAAGTCTTTTAGGAAGTAGTAAAATCTTTTACACAAATTCAATGAAATACTTTCAGGTAACCAGTCTAGGGCTATGAAATTAGAATGTTCAAGAAGACGTAAAGAAGTTTCATATTATGTTATTCCCATTCTTTACAATTTCCCTTGCGAGAATGCCTTACCGTAATGAGCCACCTCGTGGCCGCGGGATTCCGGGAATCGGGTGACGTCACGGCGTGCGAGCGAGAGCGGTAGAGCGAGCCGCGGTATCGGTGCTCTCCGTCGGTGTTGACGGGTGCCGAGGAATTTCGGTGGTCTATGGGAGGGAGGTGTGCGAGCGAGAGAGTACGGTAGAGCGTGCCGAGTATCGGTGCTCTCCGTCG